TATAAGATTTTGTTGCACAATTTAATATGTCTTATAGAAATAAATTAAAGCTTATATGAGTTATGCTTTAGACCATTAAATTAATCATAAACCATGAAATAAAACTTCACAATAATTAATGAATTTTGACCAACTAATAAATTCCTGTTGGGTAAGTCTTTTATTTATAATCATTATAAAATTCACATCAGAGATCCTGGATTCATTAAAATTTATTATATTAAGGATGGATAAGAATTATTTTTAGATTATTTAGAATCTTGTCTTTTTAATACGCATATTGAATAGCCAAATTAGCTAATTAAACCATCTTCATTGCATCCATAAATTTTTAAATAAAATCTTAAATATCTAGGTTTATTAATTATGCTTTTGGAAGATTATGCATTTTGAATAAACAAAAGACGGAAAAAACTTTTATAAATTTTATAACAGTATTTTGAAGGAAAATCCTCAATATCTATGAATGATTAAATTACTAAGTTTATCAGTTTTATATATAAAATATACTCTCTCCTTTTATGATGTTTTAATTTTTTCTAATTTATATTCTTAACTTATATTAAAAACATATTATAAATATCCATATTACTCCATATTTTTTTAATTTTCTTTTATTTAAAGAATTGATCTAAATCATGTTTGTATCAAACAATATCTATTAAAACCTGAATGTTGTAGCCTATATATATTTGATAAATATTCATTTATTAGAATTTTTTAACTTGGCTTTGACCAGATTTCAAGTTACAAAACGATAAAACCGACCTTATCTAGATAAGAAGTTTAGAATATATTATAAATGATATTAGAGTATTAGTACATGATTAAATATATAAAAAATAAAGTCAATTTAGACTTTGAGTTAATCAACGATTTCTTTTTCGTTTGATTGTTTAAATGAATTTAAAATTTGGAGATTCTGGAACAATGATATGTGTTTCATTTTCTAATTACAATAAATGATCATCTCTCATATGCATTTCCTCTTATTGTTTTAAAACTTCTTTATTTTTAATGAATTTATTGTTTTTGATTCCTAAGAAGTCCATGTATTTTAATTAAAAAATTATATGATTCGCTATTAATTAAAAGAAATATATAAATTGTATAATTAAATCATTCTGTTAATTTCATTTTGATAAACTTCTACTCCTACTTCTGCTTCTATTTTTTTTTTCATTTTTCTCTACTTGATTATCCTATTCTTTTTGTTAAAGACCAATTCTAATTTTTAGAGTACATGTCTTTAATTCTAAATCAAGCTTAGTTACACTTTATGCTTCATTTAATGTACTATATTCAATAAATGCTCTTCGCTTAGTAAATTAAGATCCTTCATTACGTGGTATTTCTATTGATACAATTGTACCGAATTATGAAAAGAAATCAACAATCTCTTTATCACTTATTTTTAATGGAAGTCCTTATACAAAAATAGTTTTTTAATCATGATCAATTTCATTAATATCATCATCAATTTATTCTTCATCATCATCTATATCATCTATTCCTTCAATATCTGAATCTAACCATTCAATTTTTTTTTATTTCTCATTAGATTTTTCATTTATTATTTCTTTTTCTTCAACTATTTCAATTTCATTAACTTTTTATTAATCCTCCTGTTTCACTTATTCTTTTTATTAAATTGGTTATTCTTCATCTTCAGAAGGAGGCAATTGAATTTTTTCGAGAACTACTTAATCATCAATATCTTAAAATTCTTATTGCCAATCTTTATTTTTCTTTAAGAATTGAAATTACTTTTTCATTTTAATAATAAAATATATCAGTGATTCATAAATTTAATCTAAACATAATACATAATTCCTCCAAACATACCTCCCCCTAATCCTGACATCATTAATCCTTTCCATCCTACTGATTCAGCAGCTAGTACCATAGATGAAAACATGCAAGAAAGAAATGAATTGGTAGCATCATCTCTAATTCTTAATTTTTCTAATTGACATTCAAATATTGAATAAAATGCTCCAAAAATAGCAAATCCTTTTGCCATTCCAAACATTTTATTAATATCTCTCTAATGATTGATTAATTATTTACTCTTAAAACATATCGAGTTGACTATTTGGTTCTACCATAATCCATATCTCTCATTTCTACTGCATTCATAAATAAAGCCATTAAAAAACCCATAGCTCCTCCAGCTACAGTAACCATTCCTGCTTTTGCTGCACAATTAGTATCCATAAATGTTACATGCTCTAAATTATATATTTGTATAATTTACTAAATGGATTAGGTTCTTATTCCATTATTAATTAATTAAAAAATATGGCAGTGCCATCATAAGTATATAATTTAGGAAATGCATGCAAAAAGTTTTTAATTTCAGCAGAGTTGATAGGTATGCTTACACTTACAATATTCGAAAATAATTTGACATTATTAATTGGAATACGATTATTGATTGAGACATTTGCTGCTGGATATTTTTATCTGTAATGTAATGATTCAGCTGGTGAGCCAATCTAAGAATTATAATAAGATTATGAAATGGCTGATATGTCATTTTCAAGTTCAAAAGGAGATAATGGATAATTTGAATCTTAAACACCTGATAGAAATGAATGTTAAGAATGTAAAATTGTTTAATCTTACAGAACAAAACATTGTTCTAAGTGTTAGAAATGTATACCTAAATATGATCATCATTGTTTTTGGATTGGGGGATGTGTAGGTGAATTAAATCATAGAATGTATTGGTTATTTCTTTTTTTCTAATGTTCTCTTTGTTTTGATGGATTAATTTAATTTTAGAATTAATTTGTATTCTATTCAATTTATGATGAAGAATATGGATACGATTAATACAAATATTAATATTTCATAATTTTGATAATGGCAGCAACATCATTTGCTTTCGGATTATTTACAGGAACTTTGCTTATTTATCATACTATATTGATATTGACTGGTAAGACTACTTGGGAATAAACAAAAAGAGATAAGATTTCATATCTAATTTTTTATCCAAAGTATTATCACCCTTACAATTATGGTTTAATAGAGAATATAAAATAAACATTTTTTCATAAAGATATTTTATCACATTGGATACCACCACAAAAAGATTAAATTAAAGAATAATGCAATATATTTGATAACAAATATTACTCTTGTTGTTGATATATTTACTATATAGTTTTATAAAGTGCATAAAGAAATCATATATTGATTTTGGATAATGGATTTATAAATGTATTAATTGTTAGTTCTTTTTTAATTCTAAGATGACTAATATAATAGTAAAATACTTTTTTTAATTTTTTATATCAATTTAAATATAAAAAGAAAATAAAGTTCTTTGATATATAAAATTAATAAAATTTGTTCAAAATTTAATCATAATTAGATGGGTTTTTTGATATTATTTTATTCAGTTCTAAATTTAATTTTAGGTGTTAAATTAGATCGATAAGTATAATAATAAGGTGAATTTTTATAATTAGATTTACTATTAGTTCTGTTTATTGGACTAAGAGGTTGATTAAAATAACTTAGATTTTCAGTTTTGATTCTAGTACATTCAAATTAAGAAGTAAATGGAAGTTGAAAATGTTTCTAAGTGATTGGAATAAGACATTATATTTTTTACTCTAATTTAATCAAACCTATAGGTCTACTGATTTTATTAATTTATTTAATTTAAGGTTCTTTCTTTCCTATGATATTTGATAGAAGAGAAGATCTTGATTGCATGTTGAAATTGAAATATTATGTTTTATGTTCATCGATTTTATCACCAGTAGTATTAGTATCTATAATCGTTGTTTTTTTATCATTTTTTTTAATTGTTCTCTTTTTTGGAAAGAAGATCTCTTATTCTTTAGATATAAGAGGAAGTTAATACTTGGTAGCGTTAATACTAAAGCATTTTTTGGATTGTCTGAGTTTCTTTTATTTTAGTTTCTAAAAAACTATCTAGTGTTCATATTTTCAAATTAGAATTTACCCAAACAACCACATTCTGTACAATAACAACTTTTTCTTCTGGTATGGGTTTTTTAAGATTCTTAGATGATTTCATTAATATTTTTGAAATATTAACTGCTAGATCGTTAATCAGTCAATTTGTTTTAGATTCTTATAGATTAGTTAGATTGATAATCATTGTGAATAGTTGATGAATAAATAAGAATATCCATAAATTTAATAATTAAATTAAAGAGAATTAATTTAAACTGATAATAATAAACATGAGATAAAACGAAGGAAAAAAACAATAGTAGAAATGATAATAGATAATTCATTAATCAATAACATTCGTAGTTTTGAGAGATTTGATTGTTTTAGCATCTAAACTTTTATTGCTTTTTTTAAGTAGATATGATTAAATATTTAACTACTATTATTATTGTGAAATTTGATTTTCTGATAGAAATTAACTATCCTATTTATCATAAGATGTTTTTTCAACTTTATCTTTAAGATATGAATGATTTAAAGCTTATTACGCATTAATTCTTTTAGTAGGATCTACTTCTAACATTTTTTAAAGAAGATCTGCTGCATCTTCATCTCCAATAAATTTTTATGGATTATTCATTTTATATTTTGACATAGGTTAATTAGTGATTCTAAAATGCTATTAAAAATTCTATACAAATTAAATAAAACAACACCAACACTAAACATATCTGAATTATAACTTGATTCTTTTGATCTCAATAATTCAGGAGCATAATATCCAGGTGTTCCACATATACAACTGACAGAACCAAACTTAAGATTAGCTGCAAAACCAAAATCTATAACTTTAATAGAATTGTCTTTTTTTATGATAATATTCTCAGGCTTTATATCTCTATGAACAATTTTTAAAGATTGTAAATAGCTTACTGTATTTAATAATCCCTATTAGTATTTTATCCAATCATACAATCATTATTGACTTAATTTCATTGCTGCTAAGTTTTTCTTTTAAAATATCACTTAATGGTGTCCCTGCTACAAATTCTTAAACTATCCAAAATGTTTAATCATTCTCATATACTTCAAGCACCTTTATAATATTCTCATGGTTAAGCGACTTTAAGATTGACACTTCCGTTTTCACGATATCCTTAAATCAAAATCAATTTAATTTACTTACCAAAGCTTATTCTTCTCTACCAAACTCTTATTTTATCATTTTCACTGCCACTGCCTTTTTACTCTTCTTATCTATACTTTAAAATACCTATATTAAATTATTAATTTACTTTTGCTGACAACCCTTCTCCTATCAATTATATTGGCTCATAAAATGATGCCATATTTCTATATATCACTCGACCACCTAAACTATTCTTTAATTATTCAAGATGTATTTATGATGCTTCAAAATATTTTATTTTATTTTGGTACACTATTCCAAATGCTTTTAATTATTGTTTCCCCATTTTCCATAATATTTATGTTGTTAATTTAAGTTCTATACAATATTTTGGATTCTAATAATTGCTAAACTTTATATTTTAATCATAAGCTTACTGCAGATATCACAACTTCATCATCCATCACTTTCAAATAATATCTCTTAGAAAAAAATGTATGAGGCCTAATACAACTAAAACTAACCAAATCTATCTCCATTCCTTTATTATTCTCTAACTAAATTGATTTATATTATTAATAATTTTATATTTCTATACTCAATTATGTAACTCTCATTTTTATCATATACAATACATTTATTCCAAACTAATCATTATTTATTCTTCAAAATTCAACTTTTCACTTAATCACATACACATTTTCTCTCAAAATTATTTTATAAATATAAACAAAGTTATTATATTTAAAAATATCAAAAATCCTTAGTTTTTATATATCAAATATTCTTATTTAATCTATTTGATCTAATTAAAAAAAACAATACTCTTCTAAAATTACCTAACTAATATGCTTCTATTAAAAAATAAAATAAAAAAACATATTTCACTTTTATTTTCAAACTTTTTCATAAAAAAACTTTTCTTTTTATATTTCTTGCAACTTATTTACATAAATTTTTTGCAAATTTACAAATTGTCTTCGATCAACCTTAAGAATAAAATAGTATAATTTTTGTTATTAGTTTAGATTATGCAATTAACATTTAAAGGAATTAACTTTTACTTCAAATTTTATATGACAATAATAGAAAGAAATAAAATTAATTATTTAAAAAATAAAAATTTAAAAATTTATATCTTTTTTTCTTGATTCAATAATCAAATAGTTTCAATATAAATTCTTATCACTTACACTAATTTTCTAATTATTATAGTTTATTTTTAGTTAATAACCAATATAATAAGACTATTTAATTTTAATTAGTTGTTTATATATTTTCTAAGTAATTTGCTATAAAAACCCAAGAAAATGATTAGAGTTTAAAATATTTAAATAATTAATTACAAATTTATGAATTTTTTATTAATATATGGCAATTCTTTACATATTTTTTTTAATTTTACCCATATTTAATTAATGATGACGCATTAAAATATCTCTTTATATTCAAAATAATATTGATAGGATCGAAATTATTATTTATAATGAACATTTTTAATTATCCTAATGAAAATGACTGCTCAAATAATGTGAGTTCTGAAATAGAGAAATCTTTGGAAAAAAAGGAGCTTAGGCCTCGAAATAATTTAATTCCAGGAGCCTTTTAAGAATATAAACGAACCTACATTAAAGTACCATCTAATTCAAAGGAGTAACTTGCATAACTTGTATTCAAGGAAGGGTTTAAAATCAAAGATGTATATTACTGAATTTAGAATATAATAGGCTGCTAAGAAATTGAACATTAAATATGCAACAGCAAAGACTATAATATTTCATATGCGTAGATAAAACATAAAATAAATGAAGATGAAGAACAAAAAATGCAGATATACCAAAATAACAGAGAATTAAATTGTGAAATACAAAATTATTTCCACTCTCTCAAATAATATAATATCTTAAAAGGAGTTTATTATTTAATTTAAGCCAAATGGTTAAGAATTTTAAATGGTATGAAGTCCTTTAAAGATAATTTTGTGTAAAATTACTTAAAAAAATTATTTTTTATTCGTTAAACATTTAAAAAATAATCATATTTAAGTTACTCTCTAAAGTCTATCGTTAGATCAATCTTTATTTTTTAGATAATTTGGCTAAATCCAAAATTATAAAGTTTTTAATATGCAACTAATAAAATTTAATAGAATAAGGTAAACTTTCGGAATCAACAATTCTATTCATATTCAATAAAATGTTTTTATTTAAAGAAAAGAAGAGAATCTGTAACGTTTTTCTAAGAAAATGAATAAAAATACTTAAACAAATAATTAGATTATTGATAATTAAAAATACGTTGTTTTATATGTAAAATAGCAATGAAATATGAAAGATTGTTTATTTTAGGAAATTTATGGGAGTTGAAGAGATATTTAAGAATTAATCACTTGATAATAAAAAAACTTTAAAAAAATATAAAAAATAACACGACATAAAAATTTATATTGTTCAATTCAAAGTCATGTTTATATTTTGATAAAATAATATATATAACATAAAATGAATTTGTATTTAGAATAGGCTGCAGAAGAGTTTGAATAAGCTATATCAGATGCAGATCAATTGTTAGCATTAACAAAAGCTACACTTTAAAAATTCACAAATTATTTGAAAAGAAAATAATAAGAAAAAATGGAGCGAAAATTTCATTTGAACAATATTACTGAAGATTCTAATAGCATGAAACATTTAGATAAATAATCATATAGTTAATTGAAAATATTAGAATATTTTAATAAGGTTCATAAAGAGATGGATAAATAATTAAGAGATTTGAAAGAAATGATTCCCTCCAATCCTTAAACTTATGTAATTGAGGAATTAAATGAATAAGATTAAATAAATAAACAAATAGAATAAAAGATACCTCAAAAGGTGGTTACTCAAGAACAAAAATTTTTTCCTTTATTCAAATAATAAAGAAATTAAGGTTCAACAAATCAAAGTTCAAAACCTCAAAGTTAAACTAATTTGAGTTAAAATTAAATACAAAGTTAATAGTAAATCTAAAATTCTTAGAATTAGTTATAATTTTAGACATAATAAAATTAAAATACATAAAAAGAAAGTGTATCATAAAAGGTTTAAAGTTAGGTTTAAAATTAAAATAATAATTAATTAGAATAATATACAGAAGCAATTAAACCAATTTTAAAATAAAGATAAGAAATAAAAGAATCTGTAATATCATTTGGAAGATTATAGAAATTTTAATATTAGAAATTATAATATCCAAAATAAAATGAAGGATTTTGTGTATTTTGTGGTTTAGAAGCAAATGATTAAAATTTAGGACCTCTTTTATTAATACCATCAAATAGTAATTAAAGTGAGAAATATTAATTACATGAAATGTGTGGATTGTGGAGTTAGAATTTAGTGTTTTTTAGTAGTTTAGGATAATGTGATCCTAAAAATATAGATGAAGAAGTAGATAAATCTAGAAAAACAGTAAGAATATGATTTAATGATAGAAATGTTTTTTATGTAGTAGAGTAGGAGCAACAATTTGTTGTGCATTATGTCCTTAATCATTTCATTTTACCTGTCTAATGAAGAGTTCTCAAACAGGTAAAGTTAAATATTTATATGATAAGGTAAATTGATAGAAAATTAATTTAAATTTTTTTGTGATAAACATAAATCTAAAGCAAGACATGAAATGACAAGTGATGAAGATTAATAACCTAAAAAGAAAAAGAAGGTTTAATAAAAATTAAACACATCAAAATCAATAATTAAGAATAGTCCTAAAAGAGGTAAATCACCTGCATCATAATAATAAGCATTGATTCATTAAAGCTTAAAGAATAATGATGAAGAATTTAAACGTTAATGGTTTTCATCTGATGTTATTTATTTAAATTTACCTTAATGGGCACCGATTGAATAAAAATTTAGTGATTTTGATCCATTATTAATATAGAATAAATAATTGGATGCTTAACGTAATTTTTAATCAGAAATCAAATAAGAATAAATGAATTGATTTTATATATTAATAAATAATTATTAAATTTAAAAGATGGAAGCCAAATATATAACAGTAGGAAAACCATCAGGTGATGATTTTGATGATGGAATGATAGATAAAATAAGTCGAATAAAAATTTAATACAATAAATAAAATATTGTAGCAATTGGATTATTTTATGAATAAAGATAAATCTATAAATTTCATAATTTTTGTGGCAATGCTGTCAGCAAATTGTATTTCTATGTTTGGGAAGAAGAATTCATTATAGAAAAAGATGATTGTAAGAATAAAACATATGTAGATCTTTAGTAAGTAAGAGGCACTTTTGATGGAATGTATATAACATCTTTACAACTTACAACATACAATGCTTAATATGTCCATTATAAAGCATCTTGTATTGGGAATGAATTTATTATAGAAAATTATGGTATTTATAAAAATTATAATAGGTGACACTTTCTCGAGTTGTAATGGATCATTTGATAGAAATGGATTAACATCGCTAGGTCTTAAACTTATTCCTCTTAATTAAATTGATTTTGAAAGGATACATAATAAAATTCTCTATTTGTCATTTGGTCATCATTATCCATAATAATACATTCCTTAATTTTCATAATATCTAAATTATCCTTCAAATTGAGTATTATTCATTATTTTACTATATAAAATTAATTTTCAAAATATTTAAACTAACAATTAAGTAATTAATATAATGTAATCAAATGCTCCTATGTAAACTTTATTTGGTACAAAAACTCCTTAATCAAATCCTTTTAACTCTGCAACTACTACTGCAATGCCATAAACAAATAATCTTTTTGGAAATTTATAACCAACACAACAAAATAATTTGTTATTTGGATAGAATAATTCTTAAGGTATATACTTATATTAATTAAAAGGTGGATTTACATAAAATACAATGTTGGGATAGCCACCTCAAAATTAAGGAATCTTTAATTAACCATAAGCAATCCCAAATTTATTTGGTAATAATTCAACTGGATTTGGATAATAAACAAATTTGTTTACTACTCCTTAATAATAATAAACAGGTTTAATGCAGAATGGACTTTAATATCAATAATAAAATTAAATTCAAACTTTTATTAATGATTCAAATGCTTTTAAAGATAAATATAATTAAGTGACATAAAAGATAAGTGAAATTGAAAAAAGTTTTGCGAATTAACCCTCATAAAATTAATAGTGGTAATAAATGATCTAACCTATTTCACAAATTATTTTTCAAATGGATACCAAATCTGTTCTTGATACTTCTGAATAACTTTTAGCTGGACAAAAAGAATAATCAAAAAATCTTAATGAATACATCTCTACTGTTGGATTGGTTTAAAAAATTACAGAAGATGGATTAGAAGTCTTAAAAAAAGAAGAGGCTTAATGTATAGATTATTAAAAAGCTTAATAAACTATGAAGGAAGCATATGATTAATTATCAGGAACTGTTAGAATTAATCAATAATTTTCTGTTCCCTAAAAATATTAAGAATAGTTAATTCTTTAATAACATGAATAATTAGATTTATTGACCAATGCTGTAGATAAAATGATTAAATATTATGAAAAATAACCAAATATGGATGTAGATGAAGCATTATAATATAAATTAATGCATTTATAAACCTTATCCAATTATTAATGTATGCTTTCATCAAGAATAAGAAATATCTAAGAAAAAAGTATAGATTTATATTTAATTAGTATCTACATTTTAAACTAAAACATATTCTTAGATCATTCCAGATAAAAAAATTGATGAATTTTATACAATTGATACACACAAAGACATGCTAGATTAAATTATTGCTGAAAAAATATGATATAAATGTTTATATTATTTTTAAATAAAAGTGTCAATAATTCTTATTTCTACAACAATTTAATATTTATTATTTTCAAAATATCTATTAAGTTATTAATAGTTGGATTATCATAAATTAGGTAGAAAATACTTCTTTTGAATTACAAATTTTTTAAAAAAGCCATAAATTTGATTAAAAACTAAAATAATTGAATGAAATTAATGAATAATATTCGTGAGTCAAAAATAATTAATAAATAAGAAAAAGTCAACTCAATTTAAATGATTTATATTGCTTTATATAATAATATTAAATTATAAAGATTATCAAAAACAAATAAGAATTTAAGAAATTAACTTATTTTATTGATAATCAGAATTGTAGGGTTAAATAAATTAAGAATTAAAAAAATTTGCCATTTTGACTTGAAAGAAACCCTCTGAAAGATTATTATTAAAAAAAATTTATCATAAAAGTTATTTTTAAAGTATAATTAATCAAAATAAAAATTATGTAATTAGATACAATTTAATTTTCAAGTTTTTGTATAAGATAATATTTGTTTTTTCAATTTTCTAGTCATCGGTAGACCAGATTTTTATTTGATTGGAACTAGGAGGTTCAAATTTAGTTATCGAAAACTTAGATAAGGAGATAATTTAGGAATTTCTTTTTATTTTGGTGATGTAGTAGTGTTATTTTAGTCGAAAGCCCCAATTGTTCGAATTCTAACTTTAGGACTATCTATTTATAATAATAATTAAAAATAACTTATAAAATAAGGAAGATGTATAGATTATTGACTTTTAACATTCATCAAATCATCAATAAATAATTTATTGTTTGATTATTATTACGAGTTCTTAGAGAATGAATTATCTACCAATTTTTAAACATTAATTCTTGATTTTCTTTTTACAATTTGACGTATATACCAATCAGAATTTTTTGATTCTGCAGCACCATCGATAGGTGATTTAACAAAATCAGTTCTTTCTTCTTTTTTTAAAGTATTTCTTCTATAAAATACACTTCTATCTTGATTTAGCATAAAAAGTTTACTTATACTTTATAGATTTAAAGTGCTTCTTCTATCACTATGAGCATGTGGTTTTTTGACCATAGATGGTTTTTTAATTAATTAAAGATCCATATATCTTTATTACTTTTTACTAATCAAACCACATTAATTGCAATAACAACTTTTTCTTCTTGATGGACCCATTTTTTATGCGATTATTTACTAATTAGAATCATTTGGCTCTTGACTTTTTGGTCTTAATTTTTTATGTTTTACCAAAGATCTAAGAAAACAATTATTTTTGTATTTTATTTTGGGTTAAAAGGAAAGTTTTGCTTAACCATCTAAGGAGTAGGATTGAATAGTCCTAAACATTCTTTAATTAATAATTATTAAATTTGTATTATAAATTATTATCAATTTTTTCATAAGGCATTAATCAAATCTTATATTATTTTCCTTCTTTAAATATATTAATCAAATAAGATTTGTAAATTTAAATCAATTTATTTAAATCCTTCTTTTTTAAGAAATAATTCAGAAAATTCTAATTCAAGATTTATTGGATGATCAAGTAATTATATTCAAAAGTATGGCATTGATAGAGATAATACAGGAATGCATTCATTATTGTAAGTCATTCCTTGAAAAGATTCAACTAAAGAATTATATTCATTTAGTAATTTTAAAGTCATAAATTTAAATGATTGTCCATCATATTTTTGATTTATTCCAATTCTAATTTAATAAAATCAATAAATGATGTCAAAGTATTTAAAGCCTTCAATATAAAATATATTCTATACTTTTTCAATATAAGTTTATCCTCTTTCTTATACATATACATCACTAACTAGATTTTTTATTTATTCTTTTAAGAGTAATATAAACTACATTTAATGTAAAGGTTTTAAAACAATTAAAGAAGACATCATCTATTCTAAGAGTTCATTTAAATTAAGACTTAATAGAATGGATAATGGAAATATCAACTAAATTAATCAATATAAAATTATACAATCTATTCGCTGAACATAATTAATTAGTCATAATATATATCTTTAATGATTGGATAAAAGTGAACTAAATTGTTGTAAGTAAACTCATACTTTTACTTGTTATAGTTATTAAATGATATTGATCAGCTGAAATAGATATCAAATTACTTTAATTGATTGCTTAATATATTAACCAAATTAGTATCATTTAATTTAATTCATTTTTTATTCGATTTCTATAGTCTGGTAAAAAGGATTTAGAATTTTATAATATCTTATATTGCTCACTTATTTATTTTATTATTTAATTACATTTCAATTCAAGTATTTCAGATAATCTACCAAGACTATAAAATATTCCTAAACATTATGTTAAATCAGAAACACTCTTAATTTAGAGTGAATCCTCAAACTTTCTAGTTACACTTACCTATAATATTTCTTCAACCTATTTTATTTATGCTTGATTACTTTTGAAATATTAAAATTGTTTGATTTGCAGTCTATCAATTTTAAATAATGCATTTGCCACTCTTTAAGCATCTGTTATATTTAGAATATTATTCTACTATTAAGCTAAAGATTTAAGCAATTTTAATTGAACACTAAACTGTTGAAGTTATTTACGCATTTATATTGCTATTTTGCTGCTTTATTTTATTGGCAATAATTTCTTTATTTAATTGTATNAGAATTATATTCATTTAGTAATTTTAAAGTCATAAATTTAAATGATTGTCCATCATATTTTTGATTTATTCCAATTCTAATTTAATAAAATCAATAAATGATGTCAAAGTATTTAAAGCCTTCAATATAAAATATATTCTATACTTTTTCAATATAAGTTTATCCTCTTTCTTATACATATACATCACTAACTAGATTTTTTATTTATTCTTTTAAGAGTAATATAAACTACATTTAATGTAAAGGTTTTAAAACAATTAAAGAAGACATCATCTATTCTAAGAGTTCATTTAAATTAAGACTTAATAGAATGGATAATGGAAATATCAACTAAATTAATCAATATAAAATTATACAATCTATTCGCTGAACATAATTAATTAGTCATAATATATATCTTTAATGATTGGATAAAAGTGAACTAAATTGTTGTAAGTAAACTCATACTTTTACTTGTTATAGTTATTAAATGATATTGATCAGCTGAAATAGATATCAAATTACTTTAATTGATTGCTTAATATATTAACCAAATTAGTATCATTTAATTTAATTCATTTTTTATTCGATTTCTATAGTCTGGTAAAAAGGATTTAGAATTTTATAATATCTTATATTGCTCACTTATTTATTTTATTATTTAATTACATTTCAATTCAAGTATTTCAGATAATCTACCAAGACTATAAAATATTCCTAAACATTATGTTAAATCAGAAACACTCTTAATTTAGAGTGAATCCTCAAACTTTCTAGTTACACTTACCTATAATATTTCTTCAACCTATTTTATTTATGCTTGATTACTTTTGAAATATTAAAATTGTTTGATTTGCAGTCTATCAATTTTAAATAATGCATTTGCCACTCTTTAAGCATCTGTTATATTTAGAATATTATTCTACTATTAAGCTAAAGATTTAAGCAATTTTAATTGAACACTAAACTGTTGAAGTTATTTACGCATTTATATTGCTATTTTGCTGCTTTATTTTATTGGCAATAATTTCTTTATTTAATTGTATCAAATGACATAATTATCTTAAAGTCTTTATTAAATAAATTTAATTTTCTGTAAGGCTTCAATAATATTTTCATTATCACATAATTAAGATTTCTAATTATTTTTAATATTACATCTTTAAGATCTTAAATTAATAATTCATAATGATTTTTTATGTAATGATCTAATTACTTTGATATGAATTGATTAATTAATTGAAGTCAATTTTAAAAATATGTCTCCTAATTAAACCATATTATCTAAATTAATAATAAGATTATTTACAATTATTTAGAATTAATAAAACAAACTCTTCTAAAGTTAAATGCTAATCAAATAGTTTGTTTAATACTTAGTCTTGGAATAACATTGTTTTCCATTAAATAAGGATCAATCATTGAAAAATTAAATTAATATATTTCACATTTTATACACAATATAATATTATTCATTATTTTTATAATGTTGATTAAACTATTTCCTATTCCCATAATTAAGCCATTTGAATTCTTACGTTTTATAACAAATGATTTAATTAATCTTCTGACTTTATTTATGGATTTAAAATAATATTTCCATACAATTTTGCCATCATCTAAAAAAATACTTCAATAGGCTATTTAAAATTATCTTTCCAGTTATTTCCTAATAAAGATTTTGCCCTATCAATTAAATCAAAATATTAGGGTTAAATTCCTGCATTTGCTAATGTCCAAATTGATAATAAATTATCATACATTAAACTAGATGGTTACATGATTCTAATTTTAATTTATTAATTTTAAATCTAAAATTTACTTAATACTTCATGATTAAGTTCAATTATATTAACAATAAATGATTTAGCAACTTGACAATTTTTGTAAGTTTTTTATATGAATTAACTCACATATATGTATGCATTCTCCACTAAATCAAGTGGTAAAGAATCTTCTGTAAGTTTAGAGATTTATTTCCAACTTGGCTATTAATATTGAGGATATTCAATTCTTTAAGCTTAAGCTTATTCTTCCTTTCTAAAATAATTTATAATCCTTTCACTAACAATCACCAGAGGTTTTAATATATTTGACATTGGTTTAATTTCCTCTTATTTTATTTAATCTAAAGATTTTATCGATTCCTATGAAGGTGGCCTACTTAATCTCATCTTTTGCCATAATTATTAAGCAGAATAGAAGAATCCATCAATTACAGGTCTAAAATAAACAACATCTAATTTAAATTTTATTTATTGATACCTATAGTGTATGGACTTATACGTTAAATTGATTTATCATAGAATTCTAAATATTGTGAATCTTCATTTTCCAACCAAGCAAATAATAAATTCTCAAAACAAAATTACCATGCCAAATGATGTATTTATCCATCCAATTCTATAGTAATTGCTTACCCTGCATATATGCGCCATTCCTCACCTAAAGTTTGTAATAATGATTTAACAAACTTATCTTTCTTTAATAATTGAGATGTGCTTTCGAATAAATTGAAATTACTATAATAGCAATATTGAGTTTCCAATTATTACATTTTTGAGTTAAATTAAATAATATTTTAAGTTTTCTATAAAGTTTAATTTCCATATATTAATTCAATTAAATAAATAATAATCTACTTTAAAATCATTATTAATTCAAAAAAAGATCCTCTTATGTATTTTATAATATTTTCTAATTTATATCACATAATTTAATCTTTCAAAGACAAGATTTGTTAATTCTTTAGTAAATTTGTTTAAATTTTCTATACCATCAAATTAAATAGTCTAAAACTATGTTAATTGAATTTTTCGAACTTAACAAATAGGAAAACATATTCATTCAATTTTTTATTTAATCGTTCCATCTCTCATTTAAAAGTAAATACTTAAAATAATTTAAAATTTTGTTACATTTTTTAATGATTCTCTCACTAGTTAATTTTTTTTTCTTATTATTCAAAATTCATTTCCTGAAATTATAAAAATTATTTTTTATTTGGGAATTTATTTTCTCAATTAATTACACTTTTTCTTATTAAAAATACAATCAGTCATGCCATTTTTCTATTTGATATAGAATGTTTTTTTTTTAAATAAATCATATCTAAAGAAAACTTCTTGGATGACATTCCTCTTTTTCAAATAAATAATCAAAGTTTCAAAATTTAAAATAGTTTACATATGATCATTATAGTAAGTAAATATAGTTTAATAAAAATGATACAGAAGAATTTTTAAATAATTGATTGATTAATTTAATAGAAATGAATTTAGTTAAAAATGATTGTTATTAATTAATAATAGAATAATAAAATTACGTTAGATTATTATAAAATATTTAAAATATTTTTGATTAGGAAAATGAAAATTAATAGAATATGTAAATAAGAATAAAAGTAGGGTTGAGATTTAAATATAATATAAAATGAAAATATTTGAATACATATTCTACAATAAAGTTTAATAGTTAAAAAAATATTATTTTTAATTTAATTAAAGTATGAGTAAAAAAGATAACTTAAATGGTATTTATATTTAATCTTCTAATGATTTGGAATAAGATGATGATTAATTTTAACCAAAGGATAATGAAGAAAGAGAAGAAATTAAATAAGAATTGATATAAGCATAAACTAATAGTTAATTGTCATCAATTGAATAAATAGAAGATATTCCTGTACCTAGACTAACACTATTTGTGTATTGATTAGAATGATTTGAATAGTTCGCATATGTCAATTGATGATGGCCAAAATTATTACAAAAAGCCAATGTCAATAGAATCAATAAGTCCTACTAAATTATCACCTTTAAAGAAATAGGAAAATTAAATTGAATAAAGTCTATAAGATTTATTATAATAGGATATTTAATTGAAAGAGGAATAATTCAATCCATAAAAGGAATAATAAGTTTAAACAAGAAGAAAAGTAAATAAAACAAATTATAATGTTGATGATTCTCCTGTAGAATAAGATGAAATAAAACCTTGTCATTGTTCAAAAACTCATTGTTTATAATTATATTGTTCTTGTTTTCATAATAGACGTTAATGTATGAGTGAATGTAAATGTAATGATTGTTATAATGATGGTAAACATGAGGATGATGTTTTGAAGGCAGTGGAATCAATTAAATTAAAAGAATAGAGAGCCTCTCATCATGATTTAGATTCATTTGATACAAAATAAGTATGGGGTTGTAAATGTAAAAAAACAAAATGTGTAAAAGGTTATTGTGAATGTTTTATAAGAGGAAAAAAATGTACATCACATTGTTAATGTACAGAATGTGAAAATAGAAGATAACCTAAAAAGAAATAACAAAAGTAATAAAACACTTAGATTAATAAAAAAATAAAGAAAAAAACTTAAATATGATTAATTTTGGCATTTTCAATTAAAATTGGAAAGTTTTCACTGCTCTAATATTAATAACATAAAATTATTATATTCTAAATATATAATATATTCTAAATCTTGTAATTTTTATTTTTAAGCAAGTAATCTTAGATATGTTCTTTCTTTATCATCATTAATATTTGAATTTAAATTTTTATTCATTGATTGATCTAATATTAATTTTTGTTATATGATAGATTTAATGGTCATTGAAAGAAATATCTAACTAAAATTGATTTTACACTTAATTTGAATTAAAACCCTGACTATTATTAAATTTTAAAGGATTTTAGAATAAAATTAGAATGTAGAATAGAATATCGTTAATGGAACAGTTAAATAAATAATAAATTAGTTGTTTAGACATATTTTATATAATTTAATTATAATAATAATGAAAGAACATTAGGGGTTAATGACAAATGAATTTCAACCAATCAAATAAAAGTACTTCTTACATGAGAAAGTACAACTAAAATAAGATCCTTTTGTAGAGAGTTTGTAAGAGTATTTTTAGATATTTCGAAGACGAATAATCTTGCATATATTTTTGTGTATATTGAAAATAAAATAGCATATAGCATTTTTCTTTTTAGCGTTAATAATTCCATCCATAATACTATAGGCAGATTATATTGAATTAGATGTATCTAAGAATGGAACAAAATTTAGAATGGAATAAACTTGGGATCCACCAATAAGTATATATGTGTTTTCTAAAACTGATATTCTTTTGTTGGATGTGTAATTGTTTTTAGATGAAAAAGAGATTACAGAATTCACAATTTATGAACGATTGTATATCAATACTCAATACAACTTGACTAGTAATACAACTTACAGTTTTAGTAAACTAATATTTTAATGAGGCAGCAGTTAGATTGATGGCATAGTTCAACTTTGTACCCACGTCTTATTTGATTATCGTAGTTGTAATGCTAGTCATCTCCCTTTTGTACTCTATCCTTACATACATTCGCTATAAAAAACTTTGATCTTTTATTGTGTTTAGTTTCTTCTTTTGTTTCAAGTGAATCATACCTTATTTTATTCTATTAATTCAATTTATACATAATAATATTACTCATTTGCACAAATATCTTTTAATAGTTTTTTAATAATTTTTGTATTCTTTTGTTATTTCATCTCATTATTGATTTCTGATTTAAATTAGTTATCTAAATATATCTGTCAAATAATTAAAAAGCCATTAAATTCATAGTTCATATTATTTTGTTATTAAATGTAATAATATTATTAATAATGATAGGTAATCAAAGAATAAAATGAAGCTGTCTAAGATAAATAATAAATATATATATATATGTAATAACAAGCAGAAGAATTAGATTAATTTATACAAACCTTAAATAATTAATCAACTATTCCTTTCCTTCAACAAGCATTAACATAGGATTAATTATTAGCATAAAATGCTCGTCTTCTCTAACAATTACATGAATAATAGAGAATGCTTAATTTGCAAAGCTTTTTGACTTAAAGTGTTCTTCAGAATCCGTTTATAAATCAATAAATCACTTAAGAAAGTAAAAAGATTAAGAAAACAAAATCAACGCTTTAGAGGATTCAATCAAATGCTAGTATAAAAGAATAAGCCCCATTATTATAGGAAATAAAGGGTAACGTAAAGAATGCATACATAAAAAAAATTACATCTTTACTAAGTGTTGAAGGTGAGAAATTGTTGGATGAAGAATTATAAGAAGATTTATAAGGAGACAGTTCATCAGAAGAAGTATCGAAGGAATAAAAATTTGGTTTAGCTGGATTATTGGGATCTGGTAATGATCTATTAAGTGCTGAGTCAAGGAATAAGAGATTAAGAAAGAGTGCTAAGAATTCACGTTTAAGAAAGAAGGTTTACTTGAAGTTGTTAGAGAAAAAAGTAATATTACACTCAAAGTAATTAGGTTTCTGATTTGGATTAAAAAATTTAAGAATATAAAAAAACAACTAGATAGTCATTTGAGTATTTGACATAAATATTATCATCTCATCCAATACTAAATAGTATGATTATTGGTAATTCAAATGCATTTGATTAAATTAAATAATGTAATCAATCAGATCAAGCTTAACTTTTATTAGATTCATATTTGGTATTAATAATAATTATTATTTATTATAGATGAGATATGGCACATGTGGAATTAAAAGAAGAGATTATCTTAAATACGCAGTTAAAAATATTCAAAGAAATTTCTTGAAAGGAAATTATGGATTACAATTAATTAGTTTAAATCATGAAGTTAAAAATTGTATTTTTATTATTTATTTTAGATGATGAAGAATTTAATAACTATGTTGAAATTGTTAAGAAATTAACTAAATTAGAAGATGAAAATTTAATTTATAAAGTACTTCCTATCATAGATAAATTATTAAATCATAGAAAGATATCTTAATAGTAATTCATTTTTTATTATTATTCTTAGATTATTATTGAAACTTAATACAGAAATGAAAAAATTAAAACTTATACAATCTGAAGTTGAAGAGACTGTTAATCAATTTACTCAATAAATATCACCCATTTAATAACTTGAACTGGTCAAAAATGTTGAGAAACTAGCAACTTTTAATAGATCACTCAAATGAATGTATATTAAATTATTATTTATAACAATAACATGTTAAATTATATAAATTTAATTAAATAACAATCAAAACTAAAAATGGAATTATTAAACCATTAGGAAAAAGAATTATTAAAAAAATATAATAATTACATATCAAATACAAAGATATAAGAATCAATAAAATATTCTGATATTTTTGTTGGAAATTATTATGTTAATGTATGTTAATTATAAAAGGAGATTAAATTTAAAAATGTAAAAATGGATTTTTAAACTTCTTCATCTACAAAAAGAGGTGAGTTTAAAAATATTATATAAGTGTTAAGAAGTTCTCGTAGATTTAAAAAGAGAGAAGAAAATGATAATATAAATAATAATTGTAAAATAATTGAGTAAAATTAAAAGAAGAAATAATTTGAAAAGAGTTAGAAGTTCTAAATGAATAAATGAAGAAAAATTAAGATAAACCAGAGAAACAAGTAAGACATAAATCATCTTTGTCATAAGATTATCCAGAATAACAAATTAGATAAGAGAAATTGGATAGTAGATAATAAACAATGATGATTTTAAAATAATTTAATGAGTAATAATAACAAATGAATAGCTAGAAATTATTATCATAACTTGAAAGATTAATATAAATGAAAAAAATAGATAATAAGTTCTTTTATAAAGACATATTGAAAAATGCCCATAAATTGGGAAGAGAGTTAAGGAAGAAATAAAGGAATTATTAAATTAGTTATTATGATATACGTATGTATAATTAACTTATATTCAGAATTTTGTATAAATTTAATATCACATATTAATTTTTTAATGTGGAAATTACTATTGATCACTTTGAGTATTGTTTAATTTAGAGCTCAAGAAGATGAGTTGAATGAAGAAGATCAAGAATCTTTAGAATCTTAATAAAATTGTAAGAATATTGTATTAATTATTAGCATAGTAAAATTATTATTAATAATAACAATATGGATGCATAATCTTAACAAAATACCATCTTTAGGAACGAAGTCAAGAATTACTGTAATTATTTAAATAGATTACAAATGAATAAGATAAAAGAAATTCATATGAAAAATTATAAGCTTAATTAGTAATGTAATGTATGCAAAAAATCTAATACTAACAATTGGCTGATCTTTTTAATTAGTTGAGACAATAAACTTTTAAATATTAAGATTTTTAGGATGTTTTTATGATGACTGATTTGAATTTAGATGATGATTACACTTTAACAGATTAAGAAAAGATGATTTCTAAAGAAATAGAGGTATTTAATACTATGATGATGATTATAGTAATTTGACAAAAATATGCAAGAATAATAAAAAAAATATAAATAAGAATAAGGTTATGATGACGATGATGATGAAGAAGTAGATCCAAGAAGAAGACATTAACCATAGGGTTATAAATTATTTGGAGTAGATTTGTCAAAACTATAAAATTCAACATAGATGATTATTTTTATTAGTTTGGTTTCCTTGTTTAGTGTGATATTATTTTTAGGTCAATTTAATAATTGATTTTTATAGGATTGAGATTTGTATAATAGAATACATAAGGTCCAGTGAAGAGAAATAAAAAAGATAAGAAGGTGAAATAAAAATGAACATAAAATTATCAGAATTTATTATAATCAACTTTTGTTTTAGGCAATGTTTTTTAATTTGATTTAATAAAGTCTTCTGAGAAATAATGAGGTGCTATTTCATACAGCCATTCAGGTTTTATTTCACATACATTTCTCATATACTCTTTAGAAGTTTATACTAATTCATGATATATTACCCATTCTGGTTTTTCTTGGAACACAAGTGAAGAAGGATGAATTTGGATTTCATGACTGTTCTTTAATGTTCTATATGTACCACTCTTTTATTTTTTGGCCGAATTATAAAAGAATCCAGAAGTAATACATTTTCTAATATTAATGCTACTATCTTCATAAATTGAAAGCGATTAATCTTTGACATCTATTTCAACTCTTTCACATAAAGAACTCAATTATTCTTTAATATCTTAAGCTCTCTTCATTGCTTTAAATTGAATGAAGCTCTCATAGCAGAATTCTTTACTATAATTGCAATCCTTCCATTAATTGTAAACATTCAATAATGTCATATGATCCCCTCCAGGTCTGTAAAAGTTTTTTTTAGCTGTGTCAGCATGTACTTATTTTTCTTTAGGACGATAAAAGATAGTATTTCCAACTGAGAGCATGGAACAAATTGTGATAATTTATTCAACACATTTAAAATGTTCTGATGTAACAAGCATTTTGGATAGCATTGGATCTAATGGAAATTCCGCCATTCTTCTTCCTAATTTGGTTAATTCCCCATCATTATTTAAAGCTCCTAGAGAATAGAGTTATTCTAATGCCCTTAATAGCATTTCATGAGGTGGTGGATCCATATAATCAAAATTAACAAGATTGTTGATTCCCATAGTTTTAAGTAATAAGACAACATTACCAAGATTAGTTCTTTATATTTCTGGTATAGGGGATTCTTCTAATTCATTATTATATGACCAAGCTGTGTAAAGTCTAAAACACTTTCCTGGAGCAATACGGCCAGCTCTACCTGCTCTTTGATTAGCATTAGCTTTAGAACAAGGTACAACTTATAAAGACTCAATTCCAGTAGAAGGACTAAATGAGGTTTATTTAACAAAACCACAATCAACAACGTAGATTATATTATCAATAGTAATACTAGTTTCAGCAATATTTGTAGCTAAGACAACTTTACGACAACCTTTAGGAGTAGGTTCAAATATTTTAACTTATTATTCACTAGGTAATGCAGCATAGACAGGACAGATAATTAATTCAGGTATTTTTTTAGAAAATCCTTTAGTTCTAGTTTTAAGCATTTCTTCTGCATCTTCAATTTCATCTTATCCAGTTAAGAATACAAGAATATCACCAACTCCTTATGTAACATGTATTTATAATACAGTAACAACAGCTGCTTCAACATAATTACCTTCAGGTTATTATGTGTAATAGATATCAACCTAATATCTTCTACCAGGAATTTGAATAATAGGAGCATCATCAAAATATTAACTAAATTTTTATGCATCTAGAGTAGCTGATGAAATAACAACTTTTAAATCATCTCTAGCTCTACTAATATCTTTAATTAAACTTAATAAAATATCAGTATGTAAAGTTCTTTCATGTGCTTCATCAATAATTAATACACTATAACTTGTAAGTAATGGATCAATCATAAACTCTCTTAATAACATACCATCAGTCATATATTTAATTATTGTATTTTCATTACAACAATCTTCAAATCTAATAGAATATCCAACTTCATGACCTAATTTAACACCCATTTCTAATGCGACTCTTGATGCAACTGACATAGCAGCTACTCTTCTTGGTTAAGTACAACCAATCTTTCCTGTTCTTGTATATCCTAATTCATGTAAATATTATGCTAATTAAGTTGTTTTACCTGATCCTGTCTCTCCTACCATAACTATTACTTTATTATCTCTTATTAATTATAATAATTAATTCCTAAATTTATAAATTGGTAATCCTTCTTTCACTATTTGCATTGCACTCTTTTATGGTTTCTATGGTTCCATAGGATATTATGGTTTATTCACAACTTCTTCACTTTAACTACTACTACTACTACTACTACTAGAGCTACTACGATGTTTCTTTTTCTTTTTTTCTCTTTTCTTCTTCTTTTCTCTCTCTTTCATTTTCTTCTATTTTTTTATTTGTTTCTTACCTAATTCTTTTATTACTTCTAATTATACAAAATCTATCGCATTCTCATAAAGCAATTCATATTTCTTTATTTTCTTCTATTCTATCTCATCCCATGTTCTTACATGTTAATTTGCTCTTGTAGATATATGTTATTACCATTATTCTTCTTCTGGTATTTCTGCCTTAATATCTTAAGCCTTCTTTTTCAATACATCATTCTTATCTTTTAAAATTTTACCATCTTCTTCATATAATTCTGGTTATTTATAATATTCAACAACTATATCATTATCTTTCTAAGATTCTGCTGCTTTCAATATTGTTCTATTCAGTTCTCTTTCCTCTCTTTCTTTTCTTGTTAAATCCTATTCTATAAACATCTATTCATCATCTTTCTAAATCATCTATTTTAACTTTAATTACTTCTATTCTCTCTCCTTTAAATATTTCATCCTAGATTCCTCTTTTACTTTCTCCAATTCAATCTTCTTTAATAATTCCTCCTCTTATTTCTCTTATGGTTTTTTTTTTAATAATTTCTTATGTAATTCTTCTTTAGCTTTCTTATCTTCCTCCTTATTTTCATTAGGATTATGAATTTAAATATTATTTTTATTATCTTCTACCAATTCATATTCCTTTTACTTCTTCTCCTATTATTCCTTCTCCCATTATTCATATTCTGATAACTTTGGAGCTTTTATTCCTGCAAATCTACTTAACAATTCTTAACAAAATTAATCTTCTGCTGGAAAACCTGAATCAATCAATTTCTTTTTCAATTCTTCTACATTTTTTGACTTTATTGCACATTCCTTTATATAATCATGTGTAATATTATCATACTCTTCTAATAAATCAAGCATTCTGTCTCTTAACCAAAAATCATCCAATTTAGACATTTTATTAAGAATTAAAGGATTTTATATACAATTTAACTTAAAATTTAAAATGAATAAAAAACATTCAAATTATACTTATAAACTTTTTATTCCCATTTTATCTCTTTGGAAATGATAAAAATTACTTTCTATACTTTTCCTACTCATTATTTATTTTTATTTCATCTTCTACCTATATTCCCATTTACAATACCAATTCCTATGTCTCTATTAATCTATTCTAACATTCCTAAATCTATTCACACAACATTAAAATCTCTTCATTTTTTAAACGTAACTAAAAATCTTATTCATCTATTATCTACTATTATTTTTTTATTAACTCTTTGAAAGAATCCTCTTCATCCAAACTCATTACAAAATTATTCTTATTTATTATTAATTATAAAATTTCATATTTTATTCTTCAAAATTTAACTTTTTCATTCTACCTTATCTTATTTCAATATAAGCATCTCTAATCTATCATCATTTTTTAGAATTACTCACTTACCCTAAAAGTTAATATACTTATGTACTTAGTATTAAAATTATAGAATAAAATAGACCCATATTTTACAATATATAGTTTAATAATCTTATTTTAGATGGAAGAAAAAAGATAATATTTTATACCTATCAAAGAAATAAATCAAAACTTATCATGCAAAATTTGTAAAAATGTGGCCTTAAATGCTATTGAATGTTAAACTTGTGAATAACTTTACTGTGAAGAATGCGTAATATTTTGGAAGAGAAAAAAAAATGAGTAAATATAAAATTTTTATATTCAGATGTCCTGAATGTAAAGAATAATTTAAGACTAAATAGCCTCATAGATTAATTCGAGAAGAACTCTCTAAATAAAAATTTTCTTGTATAAATCAGGGATGCAAAGTTGAATTACTTATGAATGAGGTAATTCAACATATTAATGAATGTTAATTTAAGAATGTCAATTGTATATGTGGATGGAGTGGACCTTAATCAAAATAAAAATACCATGTAATTTAATTTCTATTTTTAAGGAACAAACTTGTTAATAATTTATTACAAAATAATGTAATATTTGCAAAGAAGAAATAAAGTTATATAAGTATTAAAATCATAATTGTTTTTTTGAATTTTAATAGAAATTGGAAAAAATTACAGAAAAATTCTATGAATATAAAGAAACATCAGAATATTCTATAAAAGAATTAAAAAATCAATAAAATAAGGAATATAATGAATTACAGATTATTAAAGAATAGATCAAAGGAATAGGATAGGAAACTAATGATTTAAAGAAATAGTTCACAGATCTGACATAATTATTAAGATCTTCAGAATAGAAATGTAAATAGCTTCTTGAAGTATAATAATACACTGGACCATTCATAACATAAGGTAAGCTAATAGAATCAAAATCATTATAATGCAGTAAGGATCATATGATAAAGTATTGGATGAATCCTTAAGGAGAAGAGAAAACAAAGAAATGTTTAAAGTGTTAGAAAACTTAAGTTAATTGTAGATATTGTTGTCCTATATGTGTTTTCTTTGTATGCTTAAAGTGTTAAGAACCAGAATTAACAAGGAATCCTCATGAGAATTCTGTTCTTTGTCCTGCAAGACACAAAATAACAAAGAAGATTTAAGGACTTATTTGTACAATATGTGAAAAGAATTCTTCATAAATGAGGAACCCTGGAGGTGCAAATTGTACAGAATGTGATTTTGCAATTTGTTTTGAATGTTTAGAGAATGAAAGATATAAAGGAAGAGTTTAATAGTGTCCAGTTCAATGAAAAAACTAAATAAATGATATTCAAATTAGTTAACTAAATAAATTTTTGATTCAATGAAGTGATTTTTAATTATGTTCTTCAATATTATTTTCTAAATTCTATTTTGGTTGTTATTCTGTGATTAATTCTAAATCTAATGCTTTTTAGATTGGTAACCAACTAATATCATTTTATAAGAATTTGCTATAAACATATGATTCTGTGCCTGTATGTTCAGTCTTCTATTTCACCTTTAGATATAATAAATAAGCTAAATAATTCCAAGGATTATGATATTTGTGAACATGATTGTCAAATGATATACCTTCTTTTTCAAAAACAGTTCTAGTTAAATCACATATATAACATCTATTTTAAGAATCGAAATCTTTAAATATATATTAATATTACCTTTTTAATTTTTTTAATCCCTCAATTAAGCGAAAGTATCAATGATAATACCAAAGATAATATTCAACCAAATGATATTGATGAGAATAAAAAATGTTACATCATAAAGAACTCTTTATGAATAATAATTTAAGTTTGAATGAGTAGGTGGAGCTACTAAAACATCTCCAATTCCTCCACCTGCTCTCAAACCTTAATGAATAACAAATATAAGACATTAAAAAGCAGAATAGCAAACTGTTGAATCTAAAGAATCAGATTCATCAGATGCACTATTACCTTCTTTTAATTATTCCTTAAAATCAGTACTTTAATATGCTATCAACGAATATAAATACCTATATAATTTTATTATTTTTACATTATTAATACTCCCAATAAAACTGTCATCAATAATTGTTTATAATTAAGTGATATACTTTTAATTACATTTCTTAAAACTTATGAATGATCTATGATATCTAATAATAAGAATCCATAAAATAATTTATTATACAAAAGACCTAATAAATTTACAATAAGCAATAAAAACCAATAAAAAGTATAACTACTAAATAGCATTCTTTTGATTATTAATAATGCTTGAAGTAAAGTTATTTGAAATGGATAAATATATGTTTTTGAATTTACTGATTAAGATTAATTTTGATTAGATTTTTTCAAATAATTTAATTATATTAGATCAGAAACTTATTTGTATATTCTATCATACTCTAATTACATTCTTATAAAAATCCAAGTAAGAATTATTACTCCATATAAAATACAATTCACTATAGCTATAGCTTTTGCTAGATTTGCAAGTTTCTCTTCAGTGTCATCTATTGTAATTAGAATATTCAATAAAAGAGCTAAAATCATACACATATTCCTTAAGTAAACGATAAAATTATTGTTAAATCTAATTCCTATTTTTCTTAATTTCATAAAGTGTACCATTTCCATATAAAAATTATCCATGTTATCCAGTAATCCATTTATTTTATCATTAATTGAATCTCTTTCAACTTCTTCCATAAATTAATGTTTTGTCTCTTCTGTTAGATATTTCATTAGAGTTGGAACTTAAAAATATATTTTCTCTAATTTTCCATTCATATTTACTATTTCAATTGAAGCTGTTTCATTTTTATAGTAATTTAGAGCTCTTCTTAATTTAGGATTACTTTCACTATCTGTAAAATTTTTAATCTATGGAATATAATTGCTGAGCTTTTTCAATAATAAATACATCATAAAAGTTTCACCAACCATTTCTTCCATCTCTTCTTCTTAAATTGAATTAACTTAGGATTATTATTAAACTTTTAAATGTTATTAAGATCGAATATTATGAAAATTATTAGAGAAGAATTCCATGAATAAATTTTAATTTGGTAAAGTCTCTTTTGTATCCTTTGTCTAAATAACTCCATGTAAATTTACTGGCTCTTCTGCTTCAGTTTTAACTCTCTCTAATACTTTTAATTCTAAATTTATTTAAATCTATGTATTTCTTATCTTTTTTATTATTTTCCAATAAACTAATTATATTCTTTCAAAAAGAATTTAAGGATTAAAATATTAAGATATCTTCTTTGCTATTTCTTAATCACCATTTCCTTCCATTAATGATAATTGAAGTAAAAATACTTTGCTTCTTAAACTTGAAAAAACTATATCTCTTCTTTAAAATTTCTCTTTATCAACTCTTTATTAAAGTATAATTTATTCAAGAACCTCTAAAATTTTAGTAGATTAACATAGTTCAGTTTAATTTTCTAAACAAGGACCTTAAACACATTCAATTAAAAAATCAAGTAATTTTTATCCAAGAGCTACGTTCTGTTCATTCATTATTTAAACATATTTCTCAAATAATTCAGCTGTAAACATTATAAAATTAATAGGTTATTTACTATTAGGTTGAATTCTTAAAAAATTTTACATTTAAATAAAATGATCCTCACAACCTAAACGAAACATTTCAAAAATCAAAATACATCCATTTATTTTATTATTCAATATTTTATTAATATTTCTATTTTTTCTTTCAATTTTGGATATCTCTGCCATTTTTACATCTTAAAACATATCTGTTATGAAATTTTATAAATTTATTATAAAAGTATTTGAAAGATCTCTTTGTAAATACAATAAAAAAGAATTCTAAATTTCCCGAGATGAATCATCTATATAATCTACAAAAGCTTTAATATATTCAAGCTTTTATTCAGAATCCACTTCTTATTTAATTAAATCACAAAGAAAATCCGTGAAACCAAGTTCTCCTAAATCTTTTAATATAGATTTAGTGATTTGAAAATCTTCTTTATAATTTGATAGTTTCCTTACTATATTAATAGATTTTAATTTAATGGATGGTGAAATTGAGGTTTCAGATAACATTTAAATTAAAGCTGTTACCATTCTCTTAAATTTAGTTGTATCATCACGTTTTAAAGTAATAATTAAATTTACTAATTATTGAATTTCATTTTCTCTCTCTGAAGCAACAAGATGTTCATCAATTAATTTTGTTCTTTATGATTTTATTGACTTTATCCATTTATCTAAAATCATTTAATCTCCTTATTATAAATCATTTCTTAGTAATTAAAACGCAATATCTGACTGTTTAAAGAAATTTATGGTCTCTACTATCCTTTTAATATTTTCTTTATCGATTTCATCATCTTCTTGTGCCAAAAAACTAAGTTCTTAGTTTTATTCATCTTAATTATTAGATAATAATTTATGGGTTAAATTCAATAATTTAGTTGTTTTTTATCCACTTCTTCTATTATAATTCAAAAATTTGATTTTTTCACTTGATCCTCCATTTGGAGCGCTTAAATTAAATTGTCTAACTTTTTCAATTATTTCACAGATAGGTTATTATATTGAAATTATTTCATTTTAAACAACATCTTCAAAATATTCTTGTTCATCACTATCAAAATATTTTGGAAAAACCTTTTTAACAAAGACTTTGGTTACTTCCAAAACTCCATAAATAATATAAATAAAACTAGCTTTCTCAACTGATATTGACATAATATATTCTTAACTTGTATATTGATTTCTTAATCCAAATATATTAAATACTATACTATTCACTAATTTTACATTTCCCATTTTTTTAAGATTCTGATTTTCTATAAAACTAACTGTCATTTATTTAAATATTACTTCAGTCATAGTTTTAACTAATTCTTGTTTTTCTTCAAAATTTAAGAATTGTAAATTATCTAAGAATACACTTTAAAAGTACAGTACAATCTCTGATTTTAATGGATACCATTCATCTAATTGATTTAACATTTCAGCAACTTTATTAATTGGAAATAATTTGTGAATAAATTCATTAACCAATATTGATCTTTTGGAACAAATAATTCTCATTAATCTAAGTAATTCTGTTATAAACAGAATTTCTATTGGCATTTCAATAATTCCATTCAATTATGTATGTTTTTATTAATTATGTGGTGTTTATAAAGCAGTTGTATGACTACCAGTAAAAAAGGATTCCAATCTAAAAATATATATAGTATGTATAAGATTTCCAATGTCTTTGGCAAAAGTTGCAAGTTATTTTGTAGATTAAAATAATTACACGATAACATAATTATTTTGTACAACATCACTTTCTTTTACTTTCAAAAGTATTTATAAAAATTAAAGAAAATAGATAGCTGCTTCATAATTTTTATTAGCAAAATTATTACCAAAAACAGAAAACAATTTTGCTAGAATAGAATTCTCATCATTATATTTATCTAATGAAAATAAAATGTTATAATTATCTCGAAATAATTCAGCAAATAAAATGTAAATTAGAGTTTAAAAATGTTTTCTTTTGACATTACACATTTCATGTAAAAAAGAATCCTTATGCTTACTTAAATTTAATATCATTTCTTAGTTTTCTTCATTTCGTATTACAAAATAAATCAAAAATAATATGCTTTTTTCTAAGATATCACTTTTGATTTCCCATCCTTTTTTATTTGCATTACTAACTAGAACATCTTTTTCTCTAAATAGAGTACTAGTTTCTTATTTTAAATTATCTATTAATTTTTACATCAATTCATGAAAACCTAAATACCTTAATAATTTTTATCTATAAAATATTGTCAAAACATCAATTGATAATGAATTATTTATTTTCCAAACAAATTTTTATTACTAATCCATAGTAAATGATTTTATAGACTATAATTATTCTTCTTGTTCATCTCTCATAGGATTTTATGCTGATAAATCAATTAAATCAAGTTCTGCTTTTGATACAAATTACTCTATAATTGCTATTTCTTATTTAATCTTGCTCTTAACCATTTTTTCTTCTTATGCTTAATAATGTTTCTCTTCATTCTCCAATTAATTAATTTCCATAAACATTTACATATCTGATTTAGCTGCATAGTCTGAATAAAATATAACTAATATATCTGATAAAGCATCATTGATTGTTTCATAATGTTTACTGGAATCTTTTTCTAATGATTATTTTAAATCAATTATTGCAAAATGTAATTTCCAATATATGTTTGAAAAATCTGTAAATATGGTTTAATTAATTTAAAATTATAAATCTCCTTCATCTAATGCTTCAATTAAAATGGTTTAATTCAATGTTTATAGAAAATTACTTCTTGTAGAATAAATAAGCCACAAGAATTCAGTAACTTTAGCTGATAATCTTATTTAATTTAAAGTAAGCAATTCAATTAAAAAATAAACTAATGATATATCAGTTTATTTTATTCCTCCAATATATTCTAAGATTACTGTTTTACGAGCATAAGTACATTCTCTCAAAATTGTTGTCAATTCTTATGTTGTAAACATATCTTTATCATCAAGTTAACTTTTAGATGGTTGTCCTCTAGTATGATAACTAGCTCTTTTGGCTTATCTCAACCTTTAAACAACTTCAGCATATTTTTTATTTTTTGCAAATTTTTACAAATATTGTAAATCATCAAATATTGTTTAATTGTCATCTGTCATAATAAATTAATCTGCCATTCTGGATTATTGAAATTATTCTAAAAGAATTAGAATTTCAATTAATTCATCTAACCAAATCATACTTTTAGCATAAGTAGTTCTAGACACTGCCCTTTAGGTAATTGTGCTTTCAAACAAATAATCCTTTACCTCTAATGGTTTCTATTCTTTGGATTTTTAATTTCCTTAAAGTTGATGTTTTATATATTTCTCTTCAAGTGTAGCTGAAACTACAGAATTTTTAAGAAATTCTATGAATTTATGATACATATTATACAAATTATGAGCATCACTTAGATATTCAATGAATAATCCTTTTTTTAAGAATTCTGTAAATGTTAAAATCAATTATTTGATATATACATGATCATTAGCTTTAATTTCATAAATAGATTTATTTTTCCAAAAATTTGAGATGAATTCAGACATATATAACCAAAAGTCAATAGTAGTGTCACTTTCAACTAAATATTTTTTTCCTACCTTTTGATAAACTTCAGAAATCTTTTTTTGTGCAAAAGCATAAAGAATAATTTCATATTCTTCTTTTTTAAACATTTAGAGGAATCCTCCTTTAGCTTTATTCTTTTTAACCACCATTTTTAAATATTATGGAAATTGTGCTCTTGGCAAAGGTGTTAAATGTTTAGCTATATAAGAATTCTAAAATAATTCTAAGAAATATGATTTAGTCAAAGATGAAATGCTAGGATCTTATATTATTTAAGCTACAATGTAGAAGGGAAATAATTTTTTAATTTATTTTAAGGTCTAAGCTGGTGATGATTTAGAAATTTCCGATGCCAATCTTACACAAGATATAATATAATCATGTAATGCTTTTATATTTGGAAAATTCAATCCATCAATCATAATTGGGCTTTGAGCTAACATATTAGAATCTATAGATTATCTTAATGTTTTTTAAATATCTAGAGCTCTTTCTCGGAGAATAAATTGAATATTGCCATCAAAAATTAATTAAGAGAAAATTGAATCCTTATTTTCTTTAAAAATATGTTCTATAATTCCTTCAATTCCTTCTTTTTTTCTAAATTCTGTAAATAGACAAAAAGCAATTAATAAATTAAATGCATGATTATTATAATTTGTAAATTTGGTTTCCTTTGATAATTGAGAGACTTCAAATTCAAATGAAACCATTACATCAGATTATTTAAATAATTAAGTAATTAAAATGTCTAATCTCATTAAATTATTTACCTATCCTCTTAGTAATATATGTTTGTAGAGACAATACCACTATACTATATATATAGAATTATCATTTTAATTTTTACATACTAATTATAAAAATGATGAAAGAGCATGGATTAATTGATTGATATTTTATTGAAACATATCCTCATCTTATATCACCATATCTTAATTCTCATATAATAACTCATTGATATTCAACTCATAAATAATTTTATTCACATAATCAATACAACCAATTTCTCTTGCAATACATTATCGTCTAACTAAAGGATCAGAATTTAAATTTTCCTAAACTTAACCATCTTAATTGTCTGTCAACCATAACATAATTTTGATGAGGGATTTAGCTGCCTGATTAATATTTTAAATAGTTTAAGCTTATTATTTTAGAAATTAAAATGTGAGATTTTTAGATTCTTTAGAATCTTTAAATTTATGATTGTTGAATTTGAATTTTAAAGTTGATAATTAAATAGAATTTTTAGCTAAAACAATTAATGGGAACATTAAATCTAAGACTTCACTTAATTCTTCAATTTCACTTTAATCTACAACTTCAAATTTGAAATTTGAACCTTAAAAGTCCTCACTTGCCATCACATCCAAATACTTAGTATTAAGAGGATTTAAATTAATAAAAGTAGGTTTAAAGGTTTCATCATCTGATTTGTAATGTCGCATGTCAACTTTATTTTTAGCTTATCTTTTCATTTCACTCTCTATAAACTAAATAATCTCTAGTTCTTCTGATTTTAATTATTATTTATTCTTTTTTATATAAAAATCTAAATCAGGGATTAATGTTACCCATTCATCATGTAATTATTTATATAATGTTTATTCTAAATTTTCTTCACCATATTCATTAAACTTGCCCAACCTTGTTATTAATGTAACTTAATAGCCACCTTCTTCTTAATTGTCAACTTCAATAGGATATTTCCCATCCTTAGTTACAATATTAAATGTTGTATCATTTGTAAAAGGTAACTAATCTTTATAAAAGATAGGATTATTGCCTAACTTAGTTAAAAATAATAATTAATGATCTAATAAACAAGAATCTTATTCAACTTCTTCTTAATTTCCTTAAGTCTATTAGTATTAAGTTAAAATACGTTCATCTTATTATGTTAAAGTATTTTAATTTTAATTATTATTATTTTATTGCATGATTAGATTTCTATATAATTTTATTCCTGGTAAATTTTTTATAGTTGTTGATTTTGATTCAGTTTATTTGGAAGCATCCAATTTTTTTTAAGATGTAGTATTAAGTTTTCGATACTTATTGATTATTTCTTTAGATAATTATAGTTTATTATCAAGTGGATTAACTCTTAAAAACTCTCCTGTTAACATATGTCTAAGTAAGAAAGCTGTATAACCAACTAAATTTGGTTTATTACCTACAGTAAATTAAATTTCATCAGAATATTTTTGATCATTTTCTGGTAAAATTTAGAAAATAGATGCTGCCTTTTCAATTAGATCTGAATTCTATATATCATTAATTTATAAATAAACTGAAGGATAACATCCCACTGCATTTATAGATGATGTTAAATATCCTTTATTTATTTAACTTTCTTGTTGATCATCTACTTTTATTGATCTGCTTCTTGATTCTTATCCTTCTTTTTTTATTTTTTATTACATATGTACTATTCTTACATATTAACCATAAAATAAATGGCTATTATCTTTTTCTTATTTCAAAACTATAGCTTATAGTGTGTTATGGCTTATAGATTCTTTTGAATCTGTAGTAAATTGTTTGTATTAGGCTTTGTAAAATTTGAATTAGTATTAATTTTCAATTATTGCTGGGATAGTTAAAAACTCATTATTATGATCAAGATTATTAGATTTTATTATCTCAGGTAAGCGGTAAATTTCTTATAAAGTATCAAATTTCAAGATTGTATCACTTTGAACTAATAGAAATTGATCAAATGAATGAACTGGACTGCCATATTTTATGTCTAAAGCCAAAGGATCAGGTTATACTGTAAAATACATTAAAGAACTCAAAATTGTTCCGATATTTGAATTTGAATTATTATTTTCTGCTCTCAACAAAAATACTTAACTTAATGGTTAATATAACATTATTGTATCTCCATACATTATTTTTTGCCCCTTTGTTTATTTCAACAGATTTTGATTATATTTTTTTTCAGTCTCCATTCTTGTGTATAGTAATTACTTCTACACATTAAAAGAAGCTCCAAAAGACTTATTTGAATTGTAATTTTTTTAGGCTTCATACATCAGTTTAGGAAACACTTTAAATACCATATGCTGAGGAAAATTATACATATTAAATGTACAAGAATTACCTAATTAAAGCTTTGTTTCCATTAGGTATTATTCATTCCTAGCAAGTAAATAGTATATCTTATTATCTACCATACATCTAAGTATAATATTGTCTCCATATTTCAAGATTTATTATTCTTCTTCCATAAAATTAATGAATTATTTATAATGTTGTTCAAATAAGCGATATTGATATTCATTAATAATTAAACAATCTTAATGATTTATGATTTTATCACACCAATTATTCATATCTTCTCATAATACCACAATTTTAAAAAAATTAAATATCTATTTCTTCAAATATAAAAATACTATAATTAACTTCAATCCACTTTTATACCTTAATAATTATAATAAATTTATTAACTGAAATACATTGACAATCAATTCGTTTAATTTCTTTTTATATTATGATTAGTTTCTTTAGCTTAAGAAGTATAATTACTATAAGAATCTATATCTTTTTTGAAGTCCAAAAAATCTTAAGATATCAGTAAGATAACAATTGAATACAAAATTTCTCAGTTTCAAATGTTGATCAGACTTATGAAAACCGTTGTATTATAGCAAGCTTCAGTTAATTTTCTAAGAAATAAACCATGATAGGAAAGGTTTAATATTTTATAAGCAATTTATAAATCTAAATCATAAAATGAGCAATCCTAAATTCTTGTTATAGTTTGCCATAAGATAAGCAAGACATTAAGAAGATAGGAGGATAGAGATAGAGGCTATGAATAATGTAGAAAAAGTAATTTAAGAGTTTGAGAACAGTGAGTAAAATTATAAAATAAGTAGTGTATGGAAAACGAAGCCTTTAAAGATAATTCAAAATATAGCAATATTTATTACAAATATGAAGCATTTTTCAACTTCTTATAGATTTAAGATTTTGAACAAGGATATTTTTCATCTAATAAGGGATAAAACGAGCTCATTTTAATATTATCTGTATAGTCGATTGTTAGAAAAAATGCCTACAAAGGTATAAAAGATTTTGATAAGAAATAGATTGGTTAAATGAAGTATGAAGGGAAATAAACAAATGCAATTTGGTGGAGAATATGGTCATTTCTTAAAAGTAATCAAACTGTTTTATTACCTGCTGACAAATTTTTATTTATTTGGGATGTCATCTTAATGTTTGTGACTATTGTGAATATTCTGTATGTTCCCTTATAGTTATCCTTTGATTTAAACAAAGAAGAGATAGGAAATGCATACTTATTATTTAGTACACTTCCGAGTTGCATTTTTTTGGTTGAATTAGTTTTGAATTTTTTTAAAGGTTATTATGCTAGAGGAATATTGCATACATCAAAAAAGGACATATTTTGGCATTATGTAAAGGGAGAATTTATTGTTGATCTTACAGTTGTGTTACCCTTTATATTTTAATGGTGTGGGTACTAATTTGCAAATTATTTAATGTTGATAAGAATGACTAAAGTAAGAAGAACAATGATAGTAATAGAGGAGATTTCGAATTTCAAAGAAAAAACAGCAGTTATATATTCTTTATTTTGTTTGATTTATTCTCTTTTACTAATTTCTCATTTTTGTGCATGTTTATTTCATTATTTTGCAATTCTTGAAGTTGATTATGGATATTCACATACTTGGCTACATTAATAAGGAATATTTGAATCAGAGGCATATGTAAAATACTTTACTTCATTGTATTGGGTAACAATAACATCAATGACTGTTGGATATGGAGATATAGTACCTGTAACAACTCCTGAAAAAATTTTAGTCACTTTTCTAACATTTTTAGTAGTAGGTACATTTGGATATGCTTTAGGAATGATTTAAAGTATATTCTATAAATTAGCTGAATAATAAAATATAAACAATTCTAAACTTAGACTTGTTAGCAACCATATAAAATAAAGAGGATTAAATACTCAATTACAATTTAGAGTTCGAAAATATATTGAATATTATTTGTAATTTAAATAGGAAGAGGAATTAGATTTAGATGAATTGATGGGATAGTTGAATCCAAATTTAAAATAAGAAGTTTAAATAGCAATGTATTATAGTTATTTTAAGAATTCAAAATTATTAGGTTCAAAGTTATCAGATGAAATAATAAAAAAACTATGTTTTTGTGTTCATGAAAGAACTTATGCTCCTGAAGAATTTATTATAAAGAAAGATGATCACCCCGATAAATTATATATTGTATTATCAGGAAGAATAAAATCAGTATTATTAGATAGGACAATTAAAAAATATATAAGTAGTAAACTTGTTTGTGAGAGAGAATTCTTTTTTTAAGAATATATGTAATTTGATATGGTGGCTGATACATTTGTATAAGTAGCATATATAAATAAAACTGATTTCTTAAATATTTTATAGAAAGATAATAGATAATATGAAAAGTATAAATTAATTTTAGATTAAACTTAATTTGGGGATAATAACAATTAGATAATTTGTGAAGCATGTTCTAGTCATCACTAATTCAAGCATTGTCCTTTAGTTTTTTTAAGAAAAAACAAGAATAAAGTGATTTCAATATACAATAGTAGTATTGATCATTAGAGACAACAATATATGAGATAAAAAAAGAAGAAAAGATTTAGTTCTTAATTAATTAAAGAATGTGCTTTAGATTAAATTCTGGATTAGAATAAATCTCTTGCTACTATTGATAGTAAACTTCTCATAAGATTAGGAATATAAAGAAGTGATGAAGATGAAGCTTCATATCCTGATTAGACTATGGTGTTATAACCTTTTTTAAATTAGCAAGAATAAATAATCTTGTTGAAGAATAGAAGGATGGGATCAGTGAGTCGTAGAAGTTTACTTATACCAAATTCTATATGCAACAATCTCTAAGATTATATAGAAGAAAATCAAACTTAAATATTCAAGGAAGAAATAAATATTGATAAAGTAGAGGAATTTGACTACTATTACCCTCATCATAATATAACTAAGGTTTCTAAATTAATTAATAATTATAATATCTATTCCAGAGTCTTAGATAAAATAAGAGGACATAAAAATAGATTTGCTTAATACATTGCTAGATAAATTATGTATAAAATTTTATGAATTAAATTTATTAATTTTATTATTATTATTGAAAAAATGGCATTATAGAATTTTTAATCATTTTCGAAAATCTAAATGAAGCCATACAAAACTAACAAATACTTCTTTTGAACAATAGATAATAAATTTTCCCAAAAACCTAATTTAAATGGTATCAATGCAATTATATAAGAATATATAGATCTATGGAGATAAATTTCTGAATAACCAAAATGCCTTAAGTTTATTCATAACACTTTAAAACATGTTGAATTATCCAAATAATAATTAAATTAATATCCTTTATTTAAAGTAAATAAAGTTCTTTATTCTAAATTTCCATGATTTACAGGTATTCATATGCAATCGAAAGATATTTTGTAAATTTATTCTATCAAATTATGCATTTTTTTCTTTCCATAACTCTTTGATGAAAAAACCATTTCCAAAGAGTCATAAAAATTCTTTTATCATTCGAAAATCTAGTGTAATATTTTTTTATTAATTATTTTGAACATTATAAAGCAAATAGTAAAATTATTCATATTCGATTATTTTTTTTCATTTTACATAGTATAAATAGTAATTAATAAAATATATCTTTAATATTTCTCTTAAAAAAATATAATTAAATATTATTTTTAAATTTTAAATGTGATGCTGAATGGATGAGTCGTTTTTTTTATTTTCATTTCATTATAAAATTTTGTTGATTATCTAAAACTTATTCAGAAATTTCATTGAGATCCCTTATATAATAAATAAATAAATAGAAAATCGAAATATTCAATAATTCTCTAAATTCATTAAGTATTTTGGAACTTTTTTCCAACTGCAACAATAACAAATTAGATAGAAAATTTTTAAATAATTAACAAGAGAATGAAAGAAATTAGTCAGTAGATTAGTAAATAATTATTAAATTAATTTCTTTGGGATCTAAGAAACTCTTTTATTTTTAATAACTTCATTCGATTCATTTATTTAATGGATTTTGAAATTGAAAAGCTATATGTGTATGATGGTATTTAGTCTTGATATATTAAAATAAAGCATTTAATAATGATTGGACAATATGTATTCATTTATCATGTTCGGTTCATATCAACTTTAGCCTAGAAAAACTAAACTGCTGCGGTAGTTTAAAAAAAAAATGATTAAGGATAGTAAATATAGAATATAGTAAAAATACAGTAGAAATAAAAAGAATAAAGAAAAACAAAAGGAGATAGGAAGAAATGATAAATAAGTTAATTAGATAAATAGAAGGGAATTTGATATGAAGCTAATTTTCTATTTAATTGGTATAGCTTTATTTTTTGCAATTATTACATTTCTTGCAATCAGATTGAATAATAGATAAATTCAAGAATATGTTTATTAAAAATATATATAGTTATAAAAAACCTAATTATAGTAGATATTGAGTATGGTTTATTTAGTTTTATAAAAATATTATTTGAATGAGAAAAGACAAAAAGCTGAATGGGAATTTAGTTTGGAATGTTGTTTAATTTGTAATGTAATAATTAAGATTGAATAATATATGAAATTAATTTATTTTATTTTTTAAGAATTCTTTTAAAAAAAGATAAAAAAATAAGGGTAAGTATGGTACGATAAAATGATTATTGTTAATAAAATGAATTATAAGTTTGAGTTTTGTATATTATATATTAAAATGGGGTTTATTTTAATTTATTTTTGGAAAATATGATAACACGTGTTTTTGGATATATATTATTTAAGGAATGGTGGATAGAAAAAATAAATATTTTTAATGAATAGTAAATAGAAGGCATTTGCCTTGTTGTTACTGTTTATGCTTTCAGGAGTGTAAGTGATGACATAGGATTTGACTGAAGAACAAAGAAAGTTATTAGAAGAATCTTAAGAAACTCATGAATTTTAAGCTGAAACAGGTAGATTGATGGATATATTGATAAATTCTCTTTATACATAAAAGGAAATCTTTCTTAGAGAATTAATATCAAATGCAGCAGATGCTCTTGATAAAATTCGTTTTTTAAGTGTTAAGAATCCTGAGATATTGGGAGAGAAGACAGAATTAGCAATAAGGATAGAAATAAATACAGAAGAGAAAACAGTATCAGTGACAGATAGTGGTATAGGTATGACAAAGAATGATTTGATATCAAATTTGGGTACAATAGCAAAATCAGGGACAACTTAATTTATAGAGGCAATAAAAGGAGGAAATGTAAATTTAATAGGTTAATTTGGTGTTGGTTTTTATTCATGTTTTTTGGCAGGATAAAAGGTGACAGTAGCATCAAAAAATGGTGATGATGATGATTAATATATTTGGGAGTCATAAGCAGCACATTCATTTGCAGTATCAAAAGATCCAAGAGGAAATACATTAGGTAGAGGTACTTAAGTGACTATTCATTTGAAATAAGATGCAGTTGAATTTGCAGAGGAAAGTACAATTAGAGAATTGATAAAGAAATATTCTGAATTTATAAATTTCCCAATTTATTTAAAGGTAACAAGAGAAGTATCAAAATAAGTAGAAGAAGAAGGCGAATAATAAGATCAATAAGAGAATAATGATGATGATGAAGTTAAAGTTAAAGATGATGATGATGATGCAGATACAAAAAAGAAAGCAACAAAAACAATAAAAGAAAAGGTTTCTGAATGGGTATAAGTAAATGAGAATAAAGCTATTTGGTTAAGGCCAAAAGAAGAAATCTCAGATGATGATTATAAGAAATTCTATAAAGTATTATCTAAGAATTCAGGTGAAGATCCATTTAATTGGGTACATTTTAAAGCTGAAGGAGAAGTTGAATTTACATCTCTTATTTATATTCCAAAAAGAGCTCCAAGTGATATGTTTGATAATTATTATGGTAAATAGACAACAAATTTGAAATTATATGTTAGAAGAGTTTTGATTAGTGAAGAATTTGAAGATATTCTTCCAAGATATTTAAGTTTTGTCAAAGGAGTTATTGATTCAGATGAGTTACCTTTAAATGTAAATAGAGAAACCCTTTAATAACTTAAAATGTTAAAAGTTATTTCAAGAAAGATTGTTAAGAAGATTTTAGAATTGTTTTAAGATTCTGCTTCTTATGATGATGAAGATGAAGAAGAAACAGAGGAAGGAGAAGAAGATGATAATATGGCTGAAACTACTCCAGAGGAATAATAGAGATTAAAAGATGAGAAAAGAAAAAAGAAGATTGATGAATATAATGAATTTTGGAAAGAATATGGAAAGAATATCAAATTAGGAGTTATTGAAGATTCTTCTAATAGATAAAAATTAGCTGAATTAACAAGGTATCATTATATTAACTCACTTATGAAATATGTTTAGTATGATGACAACATTAATATGGATAATAAATAGATTCATTTCTATTTATTAAATGATCTATATAAACAGTCGTCTGATTTAACTTATTTCTAAATTATCATCTTCCATATATTAAATATTATTATACCTAATATATTATTTTAGATGGTATTCAAGTAAGAATTCAACTGATTTGACCTCATTTGATGATTATATTGAAAGAGCTAAACCAGGATAAGATTCTATTTATTATTTGGCTGGTGAAAATAAAGAACAATTATTGGCATCTCCAATTATTTAAGGCTTAATTAAAAAAGGATATGAAGTTTTATTGTTAGATGATCCTGTTGATGAATTCACATTCTAACATTTAAATGAATATAAATAGAAGAAATTAGTTAATGTTGGCAAAGGAGATTTCAAATAACCTGAAGATAATGATGAATAAAGAAAGAAATTAAAAGCTTTAAAAAAAGTATTCTAACCTTTAACTGATTGGTGGAGAAAGTTATTATCAGAAAATGTCGATTCAGTTGTTATTTCTTAAAGATTGATTGAAGATCCCATTATAGTTGTTTCTTCAGAATCTGGATATTCTGCAAATATGGAAAGAATATCTAAAGCCTAAGCTTATTCTAGTAAGGGTGGAAATTCCTAACAATTTGGTAAGAAGATTGTTGAAATTAATCCAAATCATCAAGCTATTTAAGAATTACTATAAAGAGTTAAAGATGATCCTGATTAAGAAACTGAAGAAATGGCTAGAGTTCTTTATGAAGCTGCTTTAGTTAATTCTGGTATAAATAATTATTTATTAATTTAGGTTATTCTATTCCAAATCCTGAAAAGTTTGCTAGTAGATTCTATAAATTATTTAATTCAGCTTTAGGTATTGATAGAGATGCACCAATCAAAGATTTTGAAGTTGAAATAGAAGATGAACCTGAAACTTCATCTGAACCTCCTGTTGATTAAGATGGAACCAAATGGGAAAAGGTTAATACAGATGATGCTTAATGGGAAACTGTAAGTGATGATAAAAGAGATGATTTATGATTCATTTATACATTTGTATTGTAAATTTTTATCTTCCATAAATTTATTCATTTTCTTCTCTATTCTAATTCTAAACTATATTCCATCTATTCTTTAACATATTTTATAGTTCTAATTTATTTAATTATTAACAGTAATAAATAAATTTTTTTTGAAATAAACATGAACTCTAACTCTGATTAGTAATCATCTTCTCTAAATTCTTAGTCATTTCCTTTTCAAAGTATTATTAATAGGAAATTCTGGAGTCGGCAAATCATGTATGCTTATGCGATATTCTGTATTTCATTATTATTATTAATTCTTTTAAGGAGAATCAATTCACAAATAATTTCTATAATACAATTGGAGTCGATTTTAAAACTAAAACTGTTACTATTGGTGAACATAATGTTAAATTACAGATTGTTATATACATAATCTTATTACTTAGTGGGACACTGCAGGTTAAGATAGATTTAGAACTATAACTTGTAGTTATTATAGAGGTGCTCAAGGTATTATTATCGTTTATGATATTACTGACAGAGAGTCTTTCGAAAATGTCAAAACTTGGATAGCTGAAATTGATAAGTATTCTATATAACAATTAACAGGTATGCATCTGAATCAGTAAACAGAATGTTAGTTGGAAATAAGGCTGATATAACAGAAAGAAGAGAAGTTTCATATGAAGAGGGTTTAGAACTTTGTAATTTCTATTTCTATTCTTTAGCTAGATAATATCAATTCCCTTTCTATGAAACAAGTGCCAAATCATCTATCAATGTTGAAGCAGCATTCACTCATATTACTAAAAATATCTTGAATCGTGAAATTCATAATTCTAAAGCTGTAGTTAGGAAAACATCAAATATGAGATTATAAACTCGATAATAACAATAATAATAAGAGAAAAAGAAGCAAGAAGATTTATGTTGTTGATTTTTAGAATGAACTATTAATAAGTAATACTTACTATTGTTTGAATCAAATTTATTTTAATTTTATTAGTTTGTTTTCAATTATCTATTAAGATCAACTAAATTAAATTTATACACAAATTATTAATACTCATATAAATTGACTTACTCAGCAGATCAACAATATTTTCGGAATATTTGATTTAATAGAAATTAAAATAATATCTGTTATGAAAATGAGTATTTAATCATTTTTTAAGATCATCATATATTTTAAAGAAGAGATCATCTTTCTCTAATGATTCCTCAACTTGATCACTTTTATGCTAATTAAATTTATGTTCATCCTCTTCTTCTTCTGTTTAGAATTTATGATTTTATCTTTAAACTTTACCAGTGCTTTCTTAAACACTATCATCATTATCATCAATAAAATGGGATTGTTTTGCTATATTTTAATTATATGGAGGCATAAGACATAATAAAATATTCAAAGCTGAAACAGTAAGTATGAAGACATGATTATGTGCTAGAAAAGCATCCATAAAAATAATTAATAATATAAAATATATAATTATTGTATAAAATAAATTGTATGTTGGATAGAACATAATGAAAGAAGAAAATGGTATTTAATATTAAATGAGCCATAAAGGTAGAGTTGAAGTCATAGATAGGTAAGATAATATATATTAAAAGTAGAACTTAAAGATATTGATTTAAATTTAAATAAGAAAGAAGTTGAAATAAAATGAAAAAATTTAGTGGAATGATAATTATAATGAATGTTGAAGCCTCATTATAACATATAATGTAAGTGTGATGAAATGAAATTTAACTAATAAGTTTAGTTTTAAATGAATAAATTTCTTTAAATTATATAAGTATTTTTGGTAATCACAACCCCGTTGTTGAATTTGCCTTAGATTCTAAAGTTGTAAGCATAGTTTATAATTCCTCACTATTGTATCGAATATAGAGGGAAATTTTAGGATTAGAACAAGCACAAACACTTTGATGAGCAATGCATCCCTTTTTTAAGCATCTATGATATTGATATAAAAAGATATGTACTTTCCACAGAATATATAACTAAAGAACATATAATTGGAACAAATTTTGCATACATTTCGATCATATTTTTCTAATTTGTTGGCAAACTCTACAGTCTTTACTTATTCATATAGAGCTAGAATGCTGTTTCTATTCGCAATTTCAGAATGAATCATGATTTTAAATTTGTCAAATAACTAAAAAGAAGTAATAATGTATAAAAATACTTTGATCCATGATGATTAAGTAAATTTGACCCGATCTGCCATAAGAACAACTTTCGTTAACAACCATTCTAAGGGAAAGCTAATCTAAGTAGAATATATAAAATAGATTACTTTTTTAAGATTTCCATCCATACGATATTCAGTGGATGCTCTATCAAATTCATCAAGCCATTAAGTAGGAGCTACATTGACAGCCTCACTACAATTGAGTCCTTATAATTTATATTTAATAATTAACCATGTGAGAATCCTGCATGATAGGCAGCACCTAAAGTGATAATAAGTTCACCAGGATGCTGTTCTGTTCTAAAGATTGAAATTTATTGTTGACTCAATTCGACAGGTGAAATTTAACATACTATGTCATATAAAAGACGAGGATTCTGTGTTCTTTGTTTCTCATATTTCTTATTGAAGTATTGTAAAAACTTTTCGCTATGACATGGTGGTATTGCATACCTAAAGTTAAATTAAATATTCATACCATGTTTTTGGAGCTCCTGCATGCATGTAGTTTAAAGAATTTAAATTTAAGTCTTCTTTATGCCAACAGAAGTTTGCATACTTCATTCCCAAGTAAAGCCAAGGTACTGAAATTCCACTCATCTCACTTTTCTCTTGGAGAACCTAAAAAATAGAATTGCTATTCTTGTTTATGGAACTTAGATTGCCTAACTAACCTTCCTAGAAACCTGTGGCATATTTAGTAGCCAATAAATCAGCTGCATACTCAACTTCCACATCATTATACCTATTTGGATAGTCAACTATTGACCAGAATTCTATCTCATTCTATCTGATTTGATTTGAAACCTCTCTTAATCCTTATAACTTATGACTACATTCAAACTTGTTCGCATAACTCATATACTCTTATAAGGTGAATCCTATTGTATTTGAACCAAATATCTAAACTGAAAAAACGTAAATACCTCCCCTTCTTATTGAAAGTTTAAGGTCTACACCCTTGTCTCCACTCTCTTACCCTTTAACTTCGTTTCTAAATCACTATAGAACTTCTTCTCTGGAACTATTGACTCACTTGGCAACACCAATTTCACTATCCCGAATTTCTCATACCCTTTTGAATAAAGATCATCTATAGTCTTAAAAGGATCCTTAAAGAACTCTTAGGTAACATTTAATGTCGGAACTTCCCTAAATTGAAGATCTTTTATTGTATATGGGAAACGTTCCAGTAATAGTTTTGAGTGAGGCTCAGTAATATCATCTGAATTCTTAGACTTTCTTATTTACTTTCTCTACTTCAATTATCGTATCATATGCTTTTTATGGTTATTTTATATAATAAATTTATCTTACCTTTGACTTGATGTGCTTTAATGATGATTTATTTAAAAGATACTTCTGTTTTAAATCCCCAAAAATTATATAATTATAATTATAACATACCCGTGCTGTGTTCAAAATCTGATAAATTCTATTAAGAAATACATAAAATATATAATTCATTCTGAAGCCTACTAAGAGTCTTCCTTTTTTATTTCTAAATACGCCTTATAATTAGATCTGGGAGGGAATGGTCTTTCTCCTAAAACTTCAATAATTTTCTATAAATCTAAAGTTTCCTTCTCCAATAAACTTGTTGCCAATCTAAAAGTATTAATAAATTAGTTTTACTTATCAACAAAATCTTTCTTTTCTATTAACAATGTACGTGTTCTCACTGTCTATTCCTCTATAATTTTCTTAATTTCATCATCTATTTATTTATTAGTGTTATCACTATAAGGTTTCTAAAACTCACCCTCTTAGAATCCAATATATCCAATATTTTCACTCATACCAAATTTGGTTACTATGCTATGAGCTACATCATAGGCTTTCTTTAAATCATCATAAGCTCCTGTGGTAATTTATCCAAAAATGATCTCTTCTGAAATTCTACCTCCTAAAATACAACAGATCCTATCTAATAATTCCTATTTTGATTCTAAACTTGATTCATTAGGTAAATATTATGCATATCCTAAAGAACCTTTACTTCTAGGAATGATAGTAATTTTAAGTAAAGGATGACCACCTTATAAAAACCAACTAACTACAGCATGTCCAGATTCATGATATGCAACAGTTTTTCTTTCTTCTTCACTTATTATTCTTTTCTTTTCTAAACCAGCCATAACTCTTTCTGAAGCCATTTCAAAATCATTAGAATCTACATAAATTTTATTAGCTCTAGCAGCCATAATAGCAGCTTCATTACATAGATTAGCAATTTCAGCTCCACTAAAACCTGGAGTTAAAGTTGCTAATCTTTTTGCATACTCCACCATAGTTTTAGATGGATCTAATTTTAATGGTGCCAAATGAACCATAAATATTTATTTTCTACCTTCTATATCTGGTAATGTAATATCTACTGATCTATCAAATCTTCCAGGTCTTGTTAGTGCTGGATCTAATAATTCTTTTCTATTTGTAGCTGCCAATACTATTACATTTGTATCAGTTCCAAATCCATCCATTTCTACTAATAATTAATTTAATGTGTTATCTCTTTCATCGTTACCTCCAATCTTAGCATCTCTTTTTCTACCAACAGCATCAATTTCATCAATAAATATTATACTTGGAGATTTTGCTTTTGCTTATTTAAATAAATCTCTAACTCTACTAGCACCTACTCCTACAAACATTTCTACAAAATCTGAACCACTTACAAAAAAGAATGGAACACCTGCTTCTCCTGCACATGCCTTTGCAACCATTGTCTTACCTGTTCCTGGTGGTCCTGCTAATAATGCTCCTCTTGGTAATTTTGCTCCCATTTCTTTATATTTACGAGGTTTCTTTAAAAAATCTACAAATTCTTTTATTTCCAATTTTGCTTCATCTAAACCAGCCACATCTTTAAACTTTACTTTCACATTTTATTCAAATCCAAATTATTTTACATTTGATTTACCAAATCCAAATACATCATTTCCTCCACCACCTCCACTTCCTTTATTTATATTACCCATACTACCTTTTAGTGACTTAAACAATACTAGTACAAATGTCACTGTTACACCAAAATATAATACATTTAATACTCTATCCATTAATTTACCTTTATCTAATTATGTCTCAAAATTCACCGGAATAAATTATTCTTAACTCAATCCTTTTTCACTCTAAAATCTTTCCAAATTCTCTAAAAAATTATCTACATTCATTATAATCAATCTCTTAGATGTCCCTCTTTGTGTCATTATAGATGCTTCATTCAATTTCATTGTTTCATTCCTATATATTGTTATTGAATTCACTTAACCTATCTCTAAATAGTTTTTTAAAAACTCTGTGTAACTTATTTCCTCTTCCTAATTTGTATATTAATATAATGCAGCTAAACCACTTACTCCAAAAAACATATAAATATAGTTTCTATTCTTAGGATTATTTAAGTATTCAAACACCTTTTCAAAATTTATATCTTATAATAGAGATTTCTTTTATTATTACTATTGTTTTTCTTGTTCTTCTTTTTATTATTCTTCTTTCTCATCATCAAATTTCTCTTACTATTATTACTCCTATTTCTCTTATTAATCTTATTAATCTTCTTTTTTTTCCTTCTTATTTTCATCTTACAAATTAAAAGACTTTGGATCATATGTAAACTAGTACTTCTTTTTCTAAGGTTTTTCGTCTAAATTTAATTATTTTACTCAATACCTTTCAATTCCTATTTATCATTCTCTTACTCTTTCTTTATTTCCCCTTCATTCTATTCCTTTTTCTCATCCTATTCTGCTTTCTAATCCTTTTTTTCCTCTTTTGGTTGTTCCTGTTAAAATTTCGATTTCCTCTAAAATTTTTAAAACCCTACAGGCTCTCTTAAGCAAAAATACCTTTAGGAGGTTCTTTATCTGATGAGAAATGCATAAATGGCATAGGATATCGAAATACGTTTCTTCGCATCAAGCCTAAACTTAATCGCAGCATCACAAATAAAAATAATTAAGAAAATAGAAAATTTAAGTAAATAATTTATTTATAAATAATTATAATATAATTCAACATAATAAACTTTTTTTTTTTCATTTTTATTAACCTTACTACATTCTCATATTCTTTATGAATAAATTAAACCGGCATAAAATTTTAATTAAACATTACTTATTAAGAATTTATTCTAAAATGAATATATTAAATAAAAAAGGTTTATTTATGAATTTTAAATCTTACATTTAGAAATAAATCTTTTCAAATAAATTCATAAAAATTATAGTTTTTATAATTTTTTTTCAAATCTATTTATAGAAACATAGACATATTATTTAGCTTAAATGAATATTTAATAAAAAATAATGAATTTTATTATTTTGAAAAAAATAATTATTTTTTTTATATTAATAAAGGTACTCAATTAATTAATTCATTCATTGTGTCTGATAATAGAAATTTTATTAATACAAAATATTAATGAATAACAAGTAAAAATTATTTCAGAATAAAGAATAAAAATAATATGATGAATAAATAATAGTAAATAAAATAATTCATTGGAATTATCTAAAAAGGCTACCTCCAACTTTATGAACTTATTCGTATTTCTTATCAAGTTCTCCTCCATTATGATTAGGATGAATATTATGAGAAGAAATATAATTGTTAAGAGCTAAAGTAGTCGTGTTTTCATTTAAAAATGTATAATTATTACTAGTAGTAAAGGTGACATTATTATGCGATAGATGTTATTTGCTAAGATCTCCTAAATGAGCTGTTGATTTAGATTATAAAAGAGGTATCTTGGCTTTTTGAATTATTGCATCTCCAAATGATTATCTCTTTTATTCAAACTAAAATTATCTATTAATAAGATGATTAGAGCTGACAGTTGTAAGAGTGTTATTAGTAGGAGTACTGATTTATTAATAGTAAAGATCTGAAGGAGTGGCTTACAATTTAGTTATAGTTTTGAAACTTTTACTTTTGGCAATAAGAGTCATAATTTAAGAAACTGAAGATGATATTTTTTATGCACCAACTCCAGTCAAACTTTATAATTGTTAAGACCAAATATTTAATAAACCTGCCTTCTTTCTTAAATATGCAACACAAGATAAGGCTAATATAGTCTGATCTGTTTGGAAATACAATTATTCATCTAACATTAAGAATTTAATATTTAATACCTCTAATGATTTAGAGTGCTACTTCAACATATTTGCTTTCTACTTCTTTAACATATTATAATATCTAGTTTTCTTATAAGTCTCTCAGTTTAATGTGTTATTGATGAGTTGAATCTTTGTTTTCTTTTTATTATTGTTATCCTAAACTATCATCATCATCAATCACTCCAAATGATAACAATGCTTCTATTCTATCTAATAATGTATTTCTTTATAATTTCCATTCCATTTATTGGATCAAAGATCTCTCAGCAGATTTAAAATCCTAAGTGCTGAATTGACTAATTTCAGGATGATTAGTCATAGAGGCATATCTTTTAAGTTTACTAATAAAAGGAACTCTTTCATCAAGTTCTTATGCTTTAGCAGCTAACATAAGAGCTGTAGAAACAAATAAATATGTTTGATTTTCATTTACTGCAACCTTATTGAAATATTAATCAATATAATTGATAGCTAAAAAACATGTATTGATAGACAAATTTAATCTTTCTGACACTTACAAAATGAATTCTATGAATTCTTATCGTTACTTGATTGGCCCATTTGGTAAACCATCTACCATCATCCCTTATAATACTTTTATTGGATTGAAAAATGCATTATATTTCATTTTCAATGTTTTATACACTTTAGTGTTGGGCTATTCTTTAAGGATGATATTTACATTATTTAAGAAAATGCCACAATCTGTGCAAATCATTTTTTCTGAATAAATATGTCGATTTGTATGAGAACATCCAAATACTTCTAAGTATTATTTACTATAATGATGTTCAAATGGTTCTAATTAACTCATATATACGTTAAATTTTATTTATAATTTATTAATAAAAATCTCGAATAAAATTAGAAATAAAAAATAGTAATTAAATGAAATTCATTTTTATGAAATTTATAATAAAGAGTAATTTAAATTACATAAAATTAAAAATAAATTTTATTTTAAACAATGTATTTTAATTTATACTCCTTTGTCTCTTTTTCTTCTAATATCTTTAGCACTTTTTCTAGATTTCATCCTCAAAAAAAGCATGAAAATTAAACTTATTTAATGCTAAATTGACAAATCATATCAGAATAAGTTTAAATGTTATTATCAAATTTTCTCATGCTGAATTGAAGATTTTGATATCTTTTTGAATTCTAACTTACAAATTTTATCTGTTTTAGATAAAATTTCTATTGCTATAATTATATTAGTTACTTTAACTCATCAATCAAGGATGATATTTCTTTTTTTTATAAGATGAGTTAAAGAAATTTTATCTTTCTAAGTAGCTCTCTACTTTTAAGGATTAATTATCAAAAAATCGAGCTAGTGTTATTTAATAAAATAATATTTTTTTTTTAAATATTCTCTTCATCCTACTTTTCATATATTTATGAATCTGTTAAATATTTATATTTCAATTTTCAATATTATTTTTATATTTCCACCATACATCATGATGAAATAGTTATGTCTGAAAAATTTGCTGCTTCGAACAAAAAATAAGATAAAACAAAATAAATGACATAACCATGTGATAGTCAACATTATTATGAATAATACCTATCTTAGTGGTCCTAATTATATAGTTTATTTTAAGTATGTGTTGTAAACTGTAATTTAATTTTAAGAATTATAAGAAGGATATCATTAAATAAATCTAAAATATAAAATGACTATGTTTACAAACTTCGTAAATTTTAAGAAAAAATAAAATATTTTAATTCTAAATTATCTATCAAGAAAACTCTAAATTTAATTAAGTTATACTAGGAGATTAAGTATAGGATGAGATAAGTTTTTTGGGATGATTAAAAGCCATTTTTTTTACAAACTACTAAAAATATATCCTGATTTATATAATGTTATATTGAAGATTAAAGTAACATCAATTCCAAATTCATATTATAATGCAAGAAGATAGCAGAAATGTTTTCAAACTTAATAGATAATAACTGAAACTTTTAGATATCATTTAAGAATTGATCCTTTAAATTTTTTTTAGAGTAATCATTAAATAATTCTTTTTGCCTAATAATTATGATTCATACTATAGTGACTTTATTTGAATATTTCTTACTTCAAAAACATTTTGAAAATAGATTAGATTGTTATCTTTAATTTTTTAAGGTATTTCTATAAATGATAGTGTGATTGGAAATTGTGAGAATAACCTTGATTAAGATGACTATTAATCATGGTTTAATATTTGATAATGTTATCATGATTGAAAATCTAGCATATTATGATTTCTCTTTATGGTTTAATTTAGAATTAGTTTTTGATGTTTTAGTTGAATAGGGTATGGAAAGTTTAAACAAGAATCTTAGTTACTTATTAATAAAATTATAAAAATATAAGGAATGGGTCCAACATAAGGAAAGGAGGTATAGATAAAAAAATGATAATGTTTAGTTATCTCCATAGATGAGAGAACGAGTGTTAAAGTTATTTGCAAGATTTGATGTGGATGGATCAAAGTCAATTGAGAAGTCAGAAACAATAAAATATTGGTATTTATATAAATGTCAATGTTAATGAAGGAAGAGTAATTTTGCGAAATTGAATACAGAAGAATTGTTTAAATCAGTGGATACTGATAATAGTGGTACAATATCTGAAGAGGAATGGTTAAATTTTTGGACATCGGTATTGCGTAGTGGACATACAGAGGAAGATATAGCAGATGAAGTAAAATATGTCTGAATATCTGCATTGTATAGTTAGAAAGTATTGAATCTGGATCGTCATGGGTAAAGTTCGAGAATTTAGAAAATAAGAAGGGCTGAGATAGATTCATCAATATACAATATATAAAAATATTATATATTTACATGTTATAATTTAGGAGAACTATTTTTGATTAAAATGAAGAAGCAAACATGTGGAAATAAGATAATCAACCTCCTCCTCTTCCCTTATAATAGCAAGGTACAATTCAATTGTGCTTTATCCAGGGAATGTAATGACGAAATAATTTGATAAATTTATACCAGTCTACTTGGAGATATGTCCTGAAAGATTATATAAAAGACTCTCATCTAATCAATTTCTATACTGTTCATTGGCTAAGTGCAGGTTGAAAAAGTTTTCATTTTTTGATTAAACACTACCCAATTATAAATATGGCATAACAATACAATAAAGAGATTAATAGGAAATATATCTAATAGACTCTGCTGATGAGTTTAGAAAATGGTTTTTATTATTCAAAAGATATTGCGTTTTAGATAAATTTAAATAAAAATTTAAAGTTCTTAATAAATCAAAAATTGAGGATCCTTTATTCGGTTAATGTTACTATAATTGCATACATAGTAATAATTATAAGTTAGTAAAAATAATTAATAAGACAACTATAACGAATTATTAGTTATAATGTTTATGCAAAGAAATTAGTAGTCTTCGGAAATTGAAGTAATATATAAATAATGTAGTTGTCCATTGATAATATTCTTTAATGAACTTTATGAGGATGATACAAATATTTATATAGTTTACAATCACTACTAAGGATTGGATATGAGGAGTTGGATAAAAGAGAATTCTTAGAATTTGGAAGAGAGAATGGTAGCCTAAATTATATTTAATTTGCTGACAGCAATAGCTCATATACATTCTAGAGGAGTATTTCATAGAGACATCAAACTTGATAGTATTCTGATTTAAAGTTAATTACCTTCAATATTACTGACTAATTTTTGTTATTCTGAAACTTATGTAGCTGAGAGTACTTATAAGAAATGTGGAACTCCTGGATTTATAGCTCCTGAGATTTTTAAAACAAAATTGTACACTCCTAAAGCAGACCTATTTAGTTTAGGTTGTTTATTTTATGTATTATATTATGGAAAGATCCCATTTAATGGATCAAGTTAGGAAGAGATTTTATAAAAGAATGAATTGGCAGTAGTGGATTATTAAATTTAGTATAAATTATGAGTAAAGAAGGAAGCAACTATGTAGAAAGGTGTCTTCATCAGGAATAAATTTATTGAAAGCTCTTTTGACTGTTAATCCAGAACAAAGGTTGTCTGCATAATAGGCTCTATAACATCATTGGTTTATTAAGATGGGTACTAAATAGGAAGCCAAATATCATAAGAATATTATAAAGGGTAAATCTCTGTCGACGATAATAGAGAATTCTGTTGATATTACTCATAGGTATATTGGATCATTGTTTATTAGTATTTAATATTAGATTCCGTCGAGTAGTTTTATTGAGGATAAAGTAGATAAGGAATTTACAAGTGATAATCTGAGAGACAAATTATAGAAGTTTAATTCAATATAATTAAAACCTTCAAAACATAGACACTAGTATTATTAATGAAGATATATTATTGCATAACAAAATAGAATTATTAATTGGTTTATTTATATTTATACTTATACTTATACTTATACTTTTATAATGTTGTATCATGCTATTTTATTAAACACAATAAATTCTCTGTGTTTTTCAACATAATCGAGTACTTCCTCCTAATCAGCTACACTTACATCCATATCTTGAGCGATGCTTTTGAGATGATATTTAAATTTATCAAATTGCTAATTTGTAATATTCAAACCTTTATGAACTTCAATCAGATCTCTAAATGTTTCTTAGATGATAGATACCTTCCAGTATATTAAGTATTTTTATCTCCCATCATTTAAGAGAAGAATCTTTTCTATTGATATCTAACACGACTCATGTCAGCTTTAAGGAACTTGTCCCTTAACAATTTATCAAACAAGACTTTGTAATAGAATTAATCAATCAATTCAGACACTTATTGATCACCTCCAAATCTATCATATAATGATTTCTTATTATCCATTTCTTTAAAATCTTTTTTTATTTATTTTATATATATGTTTATACTATTGAATATTTAAAATTATATTAAAATGTCTTTAGGTGTTCCTCTTAAAATAATGCACGAAGCAGTTCATCATATAGTAACAGTTGAACTTAAGACGGGTGAGATGTTTACAGGATATATGGCAGAAGCAGAAGTAATTATTAATTATAATCAAATAATAATAATAGGATACAATGAATGTTAGATTGGATGAAGTATAAATGGTTACGAGAGATGGAAGACCTATGTCATTAGAATAAGTTTATTTGAGAGGTAGTCAAATTAGATTTGTTGTGATTCCTGATGTATTTAAATATGCACCTATGTTCAAAAAAATCAGAGCCAATGCTAAAAGCAAAAATATGTAATAAATCAGAGAAAAAGCCAGATAGGTTAGAGGTATACTATTCATTTAAATACATTTATAGAGGAATTAGTGCCTCGTATTAAATAGGGTTTAGAGTAATAAAAGAAATGATCAAAATATATCTATTGTTATATTAATAATATAATTTATTATTATGCCTAATTCATTGAAATACTTAGTTATTTATCGTCAGGACACTGAAAAATTGATTGCATCTTATCTTATTGAATCTGGAAGTGAAGAATTATTTAAGAATGAATCCTCTAAAGTATGTTTAGAATTGAAGAGGAATCAACTTAGAATTGAGGAAAGATAGAAAGTCGATTCTGCAAATGGCAGTTGGTTCTGCAAAATTGATGATAAAGGTCTATTCTATCTCATTTTAGGAAGTATATCAATCAATCATTATATAAGTCTCCACCTATCCAGAAAGACATGCTTATGCACTTATCTAAGAAATTTAAACTGAATTCTCTAAATTGGGAAATGACTCATTTAGAGATGATGCCAGTCTTAAATTACACATCAAAAAACCACTTAAAGATTTAGGATTGAAATACAATGATTTAGTTTCATTGGATAAAATATATTAAGCACAATAAAATGTTTGATCTTATTCTATAATTAGGTAGATCAAACTAAAATAGTCATGGAAGACAATATTAAATCAATGATTAATAATGGTTAGTAATTGGATGTCCTTTCAATCAAAGCTGAAGATCTTAACAAGAATGCTAAGTCATTTGCAAAAAATGCTAATGAATTAGTACAATTTATCATATTTAACTTAGGCCTAAATTATGTATTGGAGAAATATGAAATTAAAGATTATCATTGGATTGATCATCTTGGCAGGACTTTTGTATATTATTGTACCTATTATAATAAAAGTCAGTGCCTCTAATTGAATAATTGCAAATTATGTAATTCGTTTTTAATATTATATATAAATATGCGTGCATCTCATATTTTATTGCTCATAGTTGCTATCAAAGCAGCCAAGTTTTTAGAGGAACCCACTGTATTATTGGAGGATGAAGAAAAACCATACATGTAATTCACAGTCTTTGCCTAATAATCTCCATTGTTTACAGAAGAAGAATTAGCAAGAAACTCTGAACCTGCCAAAGAATACCCATCTGGATTTAATTATGAAGATGAGAATTAATCATCTTTAAGTGGTGCTGATCAATCTTAAGTCTTTTTGGCAGCTTAATATGAAAAAGATTTACCAGCCACTGGAGATTGTGTTGTACTTTACTCTGCATGCGATTTCAAAGGCACATCAGGAAAAGTATGCAAAGCTGAGGATGCTATGAGTTTCTAAATACCTGTATTCTCTATTTATGTTCCTATTGGGTAATATCATTTTTAATAATTTAGATAATAATTCACAACACTAGACTCTACTAAAAATGAATAAGTTGCTTTCTTAACAAGTGAAAAATGTTTAACTGAGCCACTTGTTATGGCTGATACTTAAAAAGATGTTTTCATTGCTAAACCATCAACTTCATTAGCTGGATCTGATAATGCATCAAGTATATTCTTATAACTTATTCATAAGCTGATGATATAACTGGACCATAACCATAATTGATCTAAGAAACATAAGAATAATTTGATGCACCATAAATTGAAACAGATTAATAACCAAATCTTGATTAAGAATAATAATAATAATAAGAATAAGTTTAATAAACTGAATAGGTTCAATAAGAAGAATAAGTTTAATAAGAAGAATAAGTTTAATAAACTGAATAAGTTTAATAAACTGAATAAGTTCAATAAGAAGAATAAGTTTAATAAGAAGAATAAGTTTAATAAACTGAATAAGTATAAGAATAAGTTTAAGAATAATAAGTAGAATAGTAAGTTGAAGTTGAAGCTTAATCATAAGAATAAGAATAATAATAAGTTTAATAATCTGAAACTCCTTAAATTTAATAAAGTGAAACCTAAAGTGAAGAATAATAACAATAAGTATCGGTAGATGAAGTGCCTTAAACTGCTGAACCACTTGTTGGGTAAACTTAATGAGACGTATGAGAAAGAAAAAATATATATAAATTTAATATATAATAATAATAATAGTCTAATTTAATATTAATGAGTAGCGACATAAAGAAATAAATGAATGATTTTCGCATGGCTCATTTTTCAGTTGGTTTTGATAAATGTATAGTGAATAACATTTGTTGTTAGCTTGTGGTAGCACAAATTATCTTGATGATTATACTGCAAAAAAACCGGATAAAGTATTACCAGCAACTGAAGAAGCTAAGAATTTTGAAGCATATATTGCAAATCCTCGAAAAGCTCATTTTGAATTAGGAGAAGACAATGTTAATTATTAATCTATTGCAAAATTATCATTTAATCCAAAAGAATCATAGAAAGCACAACTGTCTGAAGAAACTTAGAAAGATTTACGTAATCATCATTTTAAGTTGGGATTTCACAGTGTTCCAAGTGAGACTGAATATTAGTAATATAAGAATTAGCCTTTGGATATTCAAAAGAAGTAATAAGTAAATATTCGTAAACATCATCATGATTTTGGAGATTTGAAAACATATTTTACAACAACATATTAAGATACAAATAAAGAATATAAAGTTGAAAAAGAGGAATATCATGCTCCAGATATTCGTAAGACAAATATCAATATAGGAAATGTATGATTATTAGTTCATTTTAGAATTAAATGGATTATACAACTCATTATAGTAGATATCATGATGGTTAATAGAATCCCAAGACTAATGAGAAAGGAAATTTGGAAAAGTTTTTGAAAGAGTCTCATTTAGTATTGGGTGAGGATCCTACTGTTAAAAGTTCATAAAATAAAGATGCTTTTTAAGGATTATAGAATAAGGAGGTTATAAAAGTCAATAAAGATGTTTTATTGGATTTAAGAACAGCACATTTTGATTTTGCTTATTAAAAATCAGATATGCCTTAAACAACAAAATAATCAATGTTTTAAAAAACAGCTATTGCTGTATCATAACCAAGTTTACCAAATTGTTCTTTGACAATAGGAACTCATGGATTCTTGAATGATAGATATTATTAAACAAGTTATGCTACTAATTATGCAAATCCAAATACTTAGAAACCAGAATTTGCAAAAGATCCAAGAATTACAGCAGTAAAGTTTGGAGATGAATAAGTAGATTATAATACTGAAAATAATAGAAAGTAATAATAATATAATATTTAAGTTATTAAATTCCAGAGAAAGTTGAATAGTTTAAATTAGATAAAACTTAAATAAGAGATTTAAGATAACATCATTTTGAATTTGGAAATGATCCTGTTGAATATCCATAAAAAACAAGTCAAATAACTCCACATCCTAATACATTAAGTGAAGAATAACTAAAAGATTTAAGAAGATAACATTTTGTTTATGGAAGTTAATTAGGCACTTATAATACTCATAATTCATAATATGGTACTAAATAAGGTCCACCAAATAAATTGGATCCACAATTATAGAAGGATTTAAGAACTCATCATTTTGAAGAAGATGGAGAAAGAGTATTTTAAACTTCTTACAGGGCCATGTAGCCAATATAATGATTAATTATATCCATTTTTAATAAATGAAAAAAAATAAATAAAAAGTGTAAGAATTTTTATTATTGAAATTATTATAAATATAATTGTTATATTAAATTAAGAATTAATAGCCTAATAAGATTAGTATAAATAAATAGATGTTTTTGATTAAAATTGGATATGATTGATAAAAAATAATGAAAATATGGATAAGATAGGAGAGTAAAAAAGATGAAATAAATGTGAGAGATAAAAGTATAGAGGTATATATATATGTTTAAGATAAATGAGTTAAGATAATAATGATAAATATATATAGTATTTTTTATCATATATTAATTAATGGCAAGAATTTAAAAAACAAAATTTTTTATTTAAAAAAATATCTTAGGAAATGACATCTGTTCCTTTAGTATCAGTATTTTCAGCAGATGACTCAACAAAAGTCACAGCTAAACATATCCCACTTCCAGCTGTATTCTAAACACCAATTAGACCAGATATAGTGTCATTTGTTCATACTAATATTGCTAAGAATAGAAGATAAGGTATTTGAATAATGTTATATGTTTATTATAGCTCATGCTGTAAATCCATAAGCTGGTATGTAACATAGTGCTGAGTCTTGGGGTACAGGTAGAGCAGTAGCTCGTATTCCAAGAGTATCTGGATCAGGAACACATAGATCTGGTTAAGCAGCATTTGGTAATTAATGTAGAAAGGGAAGAATGAGTTTACCAATTAAAGTATGGAGAAGATGGCATAGAAGAGTCAATATCAAATAAAAGAGACATGCAGCTGCTTCAGCTGTTGCTGCTACAGGAATTGTTCCATTAGTATTAGCTAGAGGACATAGAATCAGTTAAGTCCCATAAATTCCACTTGTTGTTGAAGATAAAATTGAATCATATGAAAAGACAACTGATGCTCTTAATTTCTTAAAAAGATTTGGTGCTTTTGAAGATGTTTAAAAAGTTGTTTCAACAAAAGTTGTTAGAGCTGGAATTAGTAAATAAAGAGGAAAGAAATATAGAGTTAGAAAGGGACCACTTGTTGTTTACTTCAATGAGAATGCTAAATTATTGAAAGCATTCAGAAGTAATTTCTTATATTTATATATTAATTAGATGTTCCAGGAGTTGAAGTAGTCAATGTTACAAGATTAAATCTTCTTTAACTTGCCCCAGGAGGTTAATTAGGAAGATTTGTTATTTGGACTTAAAGTGCTTTTGCTCATCTTGATAAATTATTCGGAACATATAGATATGCTTCAGTTCTTAAAGATGGATATTAATTATTAAGACCACTTCTTACTAATCCAGATTTAGCTAGAATCATCAATTCTAATTAAGTCTAAGAAAAGGTATAACCAGCTAAAACAACCACTGTTCTTCATGAAGTTTAAAAGAAGAATCCATTAAGAAATACTAAAGCTATGGATAGATTGAATCCATATGCTAGAAAATAAAGAGCTGCTGCTATTGCTGCTATCAAAGCCAATACCAAAGGAACTAAGAAGATCAAGAAGGTATTCTTTTATTTATATATCTTTCTTAGAATAAAGCACTTAAAAAAGCTTCCAGAGCTGCCTTCAATAAAGTCTCTTCTGCCTTAAACGATGCTACTAATGCTGCTGTTCAAGAAGAATAAGACATCAAAGTTAAATATTTCTCCGTTTAAAAGGGAGCTGCCTAAGCAGAATGATGAGCTTAACATATCAATTGTATAATAATATAATACATAATATTCATCCTTATTTTTTAATATTAATTTATATTTTAATTATTTTATGGGCAAAAATAAAGAATAACAAACAATCACCAATAAAGATATTAATGATATTTTCAAATCTATTTAAAAACAAAATAATATTAAGAAGAATAAATCTGAATAATCCTAAAATAAATCAACCAATCAAGATTAAAAAATTGTTAAATCATAAAATACTCAACCAGTTCAAAATAATAAAATATTACCAAAAAAAACTAAACATACCAATATATAATAATAAAGTAAACCTAAATATACAGAAGAAGGTTATAAAGTATATAATACTGATGAATTAAAAATTGGGAAAGGTGGTAATACTGATAAATGTCCCTTTGATTGTGAGTGTTGCTTTTGATATTTTATTTCATATAATTTATATTTAATTAACAGATATATCTCACTTTTTCATAAATTTATTTCTAGAGCTTTATTTATTTATTTTATTAAATAATTACTGCGAAATAAAGGCCGTTTAAAATTCATTTACTTTTAAAAAAAAGTTATAGAACTATTCTTATTTTCAAAGAGCTATTCCATAATATAAATTAATAAAATTTAAACAGTAAACTAACAGATTCCTTTGAAGAGTTAAAATGACATTCCTTGATTATCACTAATAAAAATGAAGTTTTTAATTTGTTTAGCTTTGATTTTATTCACATAAGCAGTTGTGATTAAACATGCTTCAAATCCTCATGCTGCAGTATTTGCTTAACTTGAAAATCTTGAAGATAATCCTTTAGGAAAATAGATTCTTGATACTATTGCTATCTAAATGAGAAATCAATCACCATTATCTGATATTGCTAAAATGCTTCAAGATTTAAGAGAAAACCTAGTTCTTTAATAATAAAATGCTGAATTAGTTCATGTTGCTTAAGAGGCTGATTGTGAAGCTGAAATCTATGGTTACAATAGAAGAATAGAATTTGCTTCTAATGAAATTACTGAAGCTACAATGGATATTAATAAACATACTTCAGAAATTGAACTATTATAATAAGAAATTGATAATCAAATAATTTAATTAAATATTCTCAACTAATAAGAAGAATAATTAAGAGATTAAAGAGCTGAAGATCATGCTGCTTATGAAGAAAGAGAAATTTAAACACCAAAAGTAGTTGAAGCTCTTAATGTAATTGCTGCTAAATTAAGTGCCATCTAACCAGAAGCTGATGCAGAAGTTGTACTGGCTGAATTAGAAAAGGTTGGTGGAGATAATCCTATTCTTGCTCTTGTTTAATTGGCTTCAACATTTTCTACAGAAAAATTATAAAGTGTTTAAGATAAAATTGGTGAATTAAGAACTTCACTAGAATAAGCCTTGATTGATGATAGAGAATAAGAGATTTAATCATAACTTAACTTTGAAGCTTCAATTTACTCAATCCAAGAATAGAGAGAAGCAATTTAATCTGCAAAGGTTGAAGCTGAGACAAAGATTGTTTAAGTTGAACATTTATTGGCTGCTGCTAAAAAGAGAAAGTATGATGCAGGAAGAGAATTAGAATCTGCTTCTAATGGAAAAAAAATGAAGGAAGCTTAATGTGACAATTGGAGAACTTTATATGCCAGAGATACTGAACAAAGAACTACTGAAATCAGCATTATTAGATAAGTTGAATCAATTCTTGCTACAAAGTTAGAGGGCGCTTCTAATTATATTAAAGGAAGGATTAATTGATTATACATTTTAATTTTTAACTCTTTTTTTAAATATATTTTTTAAATTATATCATATATTATTTATTTATCTACTTATTTTCTAATTTTATTGATCTCTCAATTATTATCTTATTTGAGTATTTTAAATTAAAAATTTGCATATCATTACCTTATTTATTTGTTTATCTAATTGAACAAATAGGTTAAGAAAAAAAAAAAAATTGAATCAATTTCAAAATAATATATTCTTAAAAAATTTTAATACTTTTCCTTTGACCTTGTCTCTGCTAATAAGATATCTGATTGAATATTATTATAAATTCAAAGGAAAATAATAAATATTTTTAAATTCTTAAATAAATCCATAAAACATTATAATTTATTAACAATCATCAAATCTAAATTAGAAAAAAAAAATATTTATATGGTTTAGAAAAAAAGATTCCCATTAAATAATTAGTATATTATATTTCTCATATCCAATGGAACAACACGTTGAATAATTTCCGTATTAGTCTGTTTAATCAACATTTGAAGCAAGTAAACCAAAAAGACCTTATCAAAAAATTTCTTAAGAAACCAGGTCTCAAATTCTTCATGCATTGACAGTAGAGAAACTGCCCTTATGCAATGTAAGTTAATTTTTACAAATTAAAAGGTAGCTGAAATGTTTAAAACGAAGGCCTGTACATGTAAAGCAATTTTACAGACTTATGAATTGGAAGGCCGAAGAGAAAAGAAGACCAGTAGAAGAGAGCGAGTAGAAATAGATTCACACCTTAAAATAATTGTTATAGACCCTTTGGGCCGATCTAACTATGAATACAATAATATTAAACATTCTAAAGTATTTTATATAAACTTATTAAAATATTTTAGATGTATACAGAAGAAAAAGAACTCAGCAGAAAGGAAGAAAAATAACTCAAAAGAAGATTACAATAAGAAATATTAACTTAATTGGAGGAACTATAAACTGGATGCTACAATGTTTAATAGACAATATCTTAGGATAATAATACTGATGAAAAAGCTCCAGGAAATATTGCTCGAGGAGTCAATATGAGTTTATAATTAATTTAATAGAAGTTAAAATTGGATGGAATCAGTCTAGGTAAGAATGAAAAAAAAAAGTTAAAGGAACTTAAAAAAAAAGAGTAATAAATTGTATAAGAAAATATGATAAAAGTTGAAGAGGGAAAAAGTAATTAGAATTCAGCTTTTTAATAAGAATTAAAATAGGAAATTCCAAAACCTAATATAGTATGTGATCTTGGATAGAATTATAGTAAAATTAAACAATTTATAGAAAATGTTAATTAAAAATCCTAAATAAACCCATAAATAATTGATAAATTAAACTACTTAACAAATGAAACTATATTCTAAATGAGTCTGAAATAAAGATTGTAAGATAAAGATTTTTAGGTATCAATTTTGAAACATAATGTCTCGAGATACTTAAAATAATTTTTTTTAAGTAATTGATTATTATAACTTTACTTACTAAATGTTATTTATCTAACAATTTTTTTATACTCAGAAAATCATATCTAAATATATATATATTTTAAATAAATGTAATTTTATGCTAATTTTTCTTTCATTTTTAGTAAAGATGATATGTGGAATTTTAATTAATTCATTACAGAATAATCAGAAGACACAAAAATCTTATTAGATGAAGATTTTTATAATGAAATATTGAATAAGGATAGTGAGTAAAGTGATAAGCCTTAAATAGTTGAAATAGATAAAAGTTTATTGGAGTAAGAATTATAAATAGTAAAATTGAATAAATAAAAGAGAAATTATTAGGAAGAGTATTTGAAATTGATAAATTTTGAAACATATACTAAGGAATTGTCACTGGGATAATTAACAAGATTATTAATTGATAATTAGTATGTTGATTAATAAGAATTAAAAATCTATAAAAAGTATTCGAATGAATATTTGATTGAGTCAGGGAGAATATTTGGAGTACCGCTAGTATTTTACAATAAATAAGAATTATAGAATAAATAAGTATTGTAGAATAAATAAGAGTTGGAGCATAATCATTCTCTATATTTGGTAGATTATTGTATGGATTGCAATTGGTTTTAATTATATCGAAAAGTGAGATTATCTTAAGAAGTAAATAAGTAGCTGATTTTAATAATGTTTTCGAAAGAAGGAGAAATAGTGAATGTAAAGAAAATTTAAAACTACAAATGAATGATATAAACTTATATTGAAACATTAAATAATTTAAGCAAAAAAAATTTAGAGTCATTAATCAATATTTTGAATTTGTATTTGGCATTTTTGCAGGTTTGAAACTTTATAAATGACTGAAATCATAAATGGAATTATTGTCTTTTTTTTATTATTCTTATAGTTGACTTGATTATAAATTCCGTTGTTATTTATTTAAAGAAATAGAGGGAACATATTCACCATATTCTAAATTTTTAGCAGACTAAGAAGATTATTTTGAAGGGAGTGGTTTATTTTCAGTAGTAATAAAATCCAAAATATCATCTAGATCATTACTATCTTCTTCTTATGGTTATTATTATTATTATAGAGTTTATTTATATTTAAATTAATTTTAGGGTTCTTCTTTTTGACTATAAGATTTAGATATTTTATCGATATCTGGCAATTTAAATTCAGTATTAGACTTAGGTAATTCTTCAAATATAATAGAAGGTGCAATTTTTTCAATATTATAGAAAAAAGGATGAGTTAACATTTGAGTAGCTGTAATTCTTTTATTAGGATCCCATCTAATCATTTAAGTTAATAAATTCAATGCTTCAGTACTTGCATTAGGAATAAGTTATTATAATTGAAGTGGTTAGAATTATGCTAAAGCTAATCCCATTTAAGAAACAAGTCTACATCCTTCTGGCCAATCATTTTAAGTAAAAGTACTAAGATAATAAATATAATATACCCAAGAGTAGAGAGAATCTTATTAAATTATTCTAATTCTGAATTACCTTAAAAGAGTGGTCTATTTAAGAATAGTTCAGCCATAATACAACCTAATGCAAATATATCTACTGGACTATTATAATTAGCTTATTTTAATAAGATCTCTGGAGCCTATAAATAAATTAAATTATAGAATTTACTCTATACCATCTTGTAGCAATATAATCTGTATAAGGTGGTCTAGATCTGATCTCTCTTGCACATCCAAGATCAATAATCTTAACAACTCCATTATTAGATACTAAAAGATTCTCAGGTTTTAAATCTCTATGAAAATAGCCATGTTTATGCATGTAACTAAGTCCATTGGCTACTTGGTAAATAAGGGATTTTATTTAATCTTCAACTATGGTTTTACCCTAAGTTCCATCTTATATTTGGTTACCATCTCTTTTTATTGTATGTACATTTAATAAATGCTTTTCTCTACAAACTCAAAGACTAGACAGAGAGTTTCATTGTCCAGAAATACTAATTTCAAACTATTCTTACATTCTTTAAGCTTGACAATATTTGGATGATTTTAAAGTTTCATCAAAGCTTTTACTTCTCTTAAGTTTGTACATTCTTCAAAATTGTAATACTTCTATTTCATCTTTTTTATTGCCACTAAATCATGATTTTACATATCTTCAGCTTTTATTACTACTCCAAATGTTCCATCTCCAGTCTTTTTTAATTCTCTAAACTTTTTCATATCGCCTCAAGTAATAATTTAATATATATATTTATATATATATACAACATATACAATATCATCAAAAAGTATAGTTCAAATTCATTACTTATTAGTCATCTGGAAAATTAATTTTAAATTCAATATTTCTAGTTAATTATGGATCTGACTTTATTCTATAAATTATTGTCTTCTTCTCCTTAAATCTATTTATTATCTTATCTTAATATAAAAGAACTATTTTTATATTAGAAATCGTTTTTACTATATCCGTTTTAAAAAGCTAACTAACTTACAGTCTAAATTAGTTAAAAAAATAATAATAATGAGTGAAGAGAAGAGCCTTGCATCTGCATCTAAATCAATTACAAAGAAACCTTGTTCTTGGAAATAAATGTTCCGAAAGAAGAATTATGAAGAACAAAAGAAGAGAGAAGAATTAAGAAAGTTAGGTGAAGAAATAGCTAAAACTGAAGAGTTTCTTTAAAATGCTTGGGCTCTTGTTGCTAAAGTCATTAAAAATACCAAATATCCTCTAAACTAATTGAAGTGATGATTTAACATCATTGTGTTATTTTGTTAAAATATCTTTTATTACTCATAACTAAATTTTTATAAAATGTTTACATAATGTGTCTCTTTTGGCGTTACATCTTCATTTTCTCCTAAATGATGTTATGTATTTTTGTTTATTCTCTTTCTTTTTTTTACTGTCTTAAATTCCCCTCTCCTTCCTCCTAACATTCATTGTATATTAAAATTTAATTGTTTCTTGTTATTTTTACTTGAATTCTTAATACAATTATCAATAATATATCTATGTTTATTTTATAATAATCGGTTGCTTAATTGGAATTTGAATAATTTTAATATATAGTAATGAAAGCTTACAGATCTCCTTGTTAATCTTTTCATACTGTAAGAACATCATAATGTAATTTCACAACTCCTGAAAGATTGGTCAAAGTTTAAACAAACTCAGGAGTTAAATGTAGTCCCTTTTAAAAAAATGATAATCAATTCAAAAATTACCAATCAAATACTATAGCAAAGAAAAATGATAGTACACATTTATATGATTACATCAATGAATTAGAATAAAGTAGATATGTTATTATAAATAAATAGAAATCAATAAATTGGAATAAAGTTAATGTAGGAGTTTAAGTAATAATTATCCTGAAATTTTATAATTGGAAAAGAGAATGTTAAACTTATTAAATGAAAATTGTGAATTAAAAACTTAAACTCTTATGAGTTAAAAATTAGCTTATGAAAATGATTAGCTCAAATAATTGGTATAGGAACAATAAATGAAAATACTAGAATTTGGAGAATAATATAATTTGCTCTTTGATTCTCATTAAAAAGTTTGCGAAGAATACAGAACCTTAGAATCTAAAATCTAAACTTATGAACTTAGCATGTCAATACGAAAACATTCAAGTTTTAGTGAATATTTCAAGACTTCAGAATGAGAGATTATAATTCATTTTTTAAACTTATTAATGAATAATTCATTTATATTCTCTCTAAATAATTATTACTCTTAAATTTATACAATATATATATTATTTATTTAATTAATAAATATACCAATGATAGTATATTGTTAGATCCAATAAAAGATTGGGAGTAGATTAATTAAATTCTTAATCTGATAAACAACTGCTATTATTAAATTATGAAGATTATCAACTTAAATTATACATACAGGTAACTTTTTTTTAAAATATTGTATAGATAAGAGCCATAAAATGCTATGTAAAATAGAAAAAAAAAGAATTTAGAAATTTTTGATAATCATCAATATGCTTATTAAACTTCTCTAAGTTATGTAAAGGCAGGATTATTAATAAAATTAAGAAATTGAATTAATTACAATAAAAAGAAATAAAATTTGCTAAATATAGTAAAATAAGAAAGGAAGACAGAAAAAAATCAGATAAAAAGGATACAAAGAAACTCATTATTATATAATGGAATAAATGGAAGATTAAAAATAATAGAAGAAAAGAGAATAGTAATAAAAATCATAAGAATTGAAGTATTATGGAATTGATGATGAATAAAATAAAAGAGAAGATCATGATAATCTTAAAGAAAGAAAGAAAATTTTACATAATTTAGACAAGATCTGATATTGTAAATAGAAGAATAATAAACAAAAAAAAAGGGATTAATCTATAAGTAATGTTGAAATGAAAATAAATTAAAATTATAATAATAATAGTATTAAATATTGGAATTGTTCCAGGAATGTTTGTTGATCATAATAGACTTAAATAGTTGTTATATCACTATTTTTAAGATAGAAAATATCTTGATAGTAATTAAACCAAAAGATAAAATAGCTAATTTTAAAGATAAAGAAACTTAAGTGCATATTTTGTTTCAAATTAGATATAATGAAATTTATAAAGATTTAGAATTATTAAATTTATTACTAAAATTCTTAAAATAAACTTAAATGACAATTTAAATTGTCTTTTATTATGAATATATTTTAAAATAATAAAAATTAATTATTATTTAAAATAATTTATATACTGTTTATTTCTGGGAGAAATACTCTCAAAACTTGTTTCCATAAAAATTGTAATTTTAATAATAAAATACCAATAAGAGAAAAGATGACTGAATAATATTTTGAATTTGATTATTTACTTAGAATCATATTAGTAGGTGATACTGGAATTGGGAAGAGTTCACTTCTTTTGAGATATACAGATTAAGAATTTTAATAAAATTTACTTCCAACTATAGGAATAGACTTCAGAACTAAAATTATTGAATAAATGGGAAAAAATGTTAAATTATAATTTTGGGATACAGCAGGTTAAGAGAGATTTAGAACAATAAGTAGAAATTATTATAGAGGAGCCCATGCTATTTTTTTTGTTTATGATATTACTGATAGAGAATCATTTAAAAGAATTGAATATTGGATTAATGAAGTTGAGCAGAATTCACCACCTGATATAATTAGAGTTTTGATAGGAAATAAGAGTGATTTAAATTATAAAAGAGAAGTTGATTTTGATGAAGGAAAAGAATTGGCCAGAACCCAAGGACTTGAATTCTTTGAATCGTCTGCTCTTGAGAATAGAAATATAGAATGTGCAATTAATTATGTAGTTAAAATGTGGCTTAGAAAAAAAGAATTAGAAGAAAAATACTAAAAATAAAATCCTTAAGCAAATCCTATTTTATCAGATTTAACAGTACCAATAAAAAAGAAAAGCTTACTTTAACTTTGCTAATGTTGATTTTATTTTTTATCAAACCTTTTTTATGTTTATAGAATTTTAAACCACTATTATTTCTGTTAATTAGTTGTATTAATAGTTACATTCTCCATTTTAAATGGTTAAAGGTTAAATAATTATTCTAATTCTTTATTTATTTTTCTTTCAAATTTTAATCTAAAATTGGTACAATAAATACTGATTTAACATTTTAAATTGATTTCATTTCTATTTAAAAATTTTCAAAATCTTTTTTTTATCATAATAGAATTATCTTTTCTATATTAGTTATTAAGCAGAATATATGTTAATTTCTTTGGATTATATTTTTATTTTCAAGTGTTATATTATATTATGATTATTTAATTATAACTTTCGTAATTTGCTCACTTTAATTAATCAAAGAATAATTTTTTATCATAATGAATGCTTTTGGACTTTAAAATAATAGGTTTCATTAAAAAGCTTGTGTAAAGCGTAACAAAAGAAGTGATGAAAAATAAAATTTTTTAAACCCAGAGAAATAGATAGACAATTTTACTGCGAAAAAAAACTCTTATTATGCTTCAGAAGTCAATTCTTCATACTCAAATCTAATAAATGATTATGATAATAGTAACACTATTTCAATTCCAAAATCTATTAAAGTCGATTTAATAATTAGGTTAAATGAGAAATATTCAAAGAAGTCTTATCAATGATTTTAAATCTATATATATTTACTATTATTACATAAAAAGAAGGAAATCTTTAAAATATGGATATTTCTCGAACTTTTTTTTATAAATCCATAAATATTTTATAAACAACGGCATTTATGATTTATTTTAGTTATATTCAAAGGTTAAGTATCAAATTGTATTCTCAAAATGTATATTTTTTCATTGATAAATATATTAGATAGATAAAAAAAACAAGAGAAATTTATAAAAAGACCGGATATTTATAAAAAATCATTTATTTTTTATGAAGTCTTGGAATGAAATAACTCAATCTATTATTTATTTTTAAGATAAATTAAGTGAAGTCTTTGAATCTCTGGATAACATTATTTTGTTTAATTAATTCACTGTAGATTTTATATCAAAATAACCATAAATTTTTTAATAATTGTTTTAAAGTATATGAGTTCTTTTAATCTCTTAAGCAATAAATTTATGCAATCTGCTATGGAGAGAAAATCGTTAAGATCAATTTAAGTAAGTCAGAAAAATCTTGATGGATCTACTAAATCAATTTCTTATGAGATTTGGGATTAGAACGATGGTTTAGATTCACCAATGACACCTAAAATTAGACTTCCAGGTTCCTATTAGCCAAAATTTATAAACTCAGTAAGAAATCAAATCAAAAGAATTCCAGAAACACATTGACATGATCTTCTTATACATGTCTATATATTCTATAATGTTTATAATTATTTTAATCTTTTATACTAACTTAAACAAATAAAATAGACTAATTATGAATAGATGAAAAAATAATAAGCCTAACATTCAAAGTTTTATAAATTATTGAAGAAATATTTTATTCAAAAAAATCAATTTTTTCAAATTGAAAAAATAATTGTAAATTCAATACTAAGAATCATTGTGAACAAGAAAAATATTGATTAATTTTAAGCAAATCTTTAAGTATTTGTGTAGAAATTTATTATTAAGTTATAATTTCTTTAAAATTCATCTATAAAAAAAATTGAATAAAATAATTATTAAGATGGGGAATGATGCAAAGTCTAAATTTTTGAATTAAGAATATGATGAAGAATGGGAGATAATAGATGCACCTATTCCAAAGAAAATTTTAACTTTACGACAATCCACTTTGAATCAATCGATTTTTACAGTGATAGAATACCAATAACCAGAAACTGCTTAAATAAAACCATAACCTTTGTTTTCAGGAAATCATCCTGAAAAAAAAACTAAGAAATATTAAATTTCTAAAAGAATTCAAGAACTTTAACATTAAATAGGAGGGGAGACTCTTTTTGGTGTAAGAAAAGGATAAGGACCTATATAATTAGGGGAAGAAAAATAATAATAAGTATATAATTATTTATAAATGGTAGTTATAACTTGATGATAGACCTTAATTTCCAAGAAAGAATAAAAGAACTTCTGATAGCTTGATGAAATTGCAATTAGATTGATTTAAATTATAATTATTTACTAAACAAAGTTAATTTATTATGATTTAGAATGTTAATAAATATAAATTAGGAAATAAATTGAATAGAAGAAAGAATGAAATATTGATACAAAAAATGAACATAAATCAATACATAAAGTTACTTCCTGAATATCTCATGATTTGTCGTTATTAACTAAATGAAGCTAAAAGTAAAATATTGTAAATTACTTTTTTAAATTGCTGAATTAACTAAGGAAATGGAATCAACTCTTCCTCTATCAAATTTGGATGTTGTGTTTTTGACAATAAATCTAGTGGCTGATTGTGATGAAGACTTATAAATATTTCTATTGGGAGTTTGACTAAGATATTCTTCTTATTTTTTTTATTTTCCAATTTGAATTAACCATTATCTATACATCCAATCATCAGTTTAACAGCTTTTATCAACCATTATAGGTAATTACTATTCTTTAATAGGTTCAATTTATCTTAATTTTACATGAGGTGGAATTCTGTAGGTAATATTTTTAGGTTTTTAAGTACTCAATGGAAGTTTATTATCTTATTATTATTATTGGTTTTTGGATGGGGATTCTTATAAAATACTATTTTTTTAAGTGACTAAGGTTTATTTGGTAGTGATTTATTTTTTTTTAGTATCTAATTATTTAATAAAGTTTTTTTATTTGAGTGAATAAGTTTTAGGTTAAAACAATTATACAATTTCATCATCAGATAATTCAGCATCAGATTAACTGGTATCAGATCCTTAATCTTAATCATCAGTTTATGGCATTTTTCCTAATTCTTCAAGAATTTACTATTGAATATCAGGAATATTAGTTTAATTTGTAAATTCTTTAGAAGTATCTTTAACAATTTAAGATAATGAATTACAGATACTAATACCACAATTAATATAATCTTTGATTTAAAAATGTTTTTTTTATTGACCATAAAAACTACATTCATAAGTATATACCCAATTAATTTTAAGTTCTCTCCAGATTTGAATTCTGGCAGTTTTATCCTTAGAACTTTCAACTCTAAAAGTACAAGATGAATAATCCATAAAAGGATTCATTTTAGCCATAAGTAAAGCGAATACCCTTTCTATAGTTTTAACTTAAGATGAATAAGCACATCCATAGACAAAAGATGATTATTTCCTTGAATGTCCATGTAAATCAATAACTAAAATGATTTGTCTTTCTTTACTAAATCCTTTAATATATTTTTTAGCATAATAAACAGTTGGATGTAAATATTTATTTGGTTTTTTCCATCTTCTATTTAAATCACTTCCTTCTAAACCACATCTATAATTTCCATTAACAACTCCATCACTATTCATCATAGGAAATATTTTAAAAATGCAATTCTATCTTAAATATTCTGCTTAAGGATTATTAGAAGTTAAATATTCAATAATTCCTTACATTACATATGATCCTTATGGTTCTCCAGGATGCTATCTAGCTAAAAATACTACACCTTTTCTATATGCTCTTCTTTACATAGAATTTGATGTAATTGTTAATACTTCACATGTATTACCACCCAATGTTGTACATAATGATTTTCTAGTTATATGCTAATTCTTTTCAGGATTTATAAGAATAGAATTTAAAAATTCTAATAAATTACTATAAGTATATGGATACGAATGTGCAAAATAAACCTTATCATTATTATATTTAAATGTGTAACTGAATCGTAATTAGTAGTATTTAGATCTCATTGTCTATGGATATTCCTTTATAAATTAACTCTTAAAGTAACTAATATTAAATCCACCTCTACTCCATTCTTTTTTATCAATTTCATTCTCTTTTACTGAATATATAGCTGGTTATAGTCCTTCATTAAATAAACTGTTGCTTTTAAGCTAGTATTATTTATTTATCATACATGATTAAGTAAATTAAATTAAATTGTTTACCCTGCCTTTGCTCCAGTTACACTAAAGAAAAACCATTATGTATTGCCTCGAGTATTTATATCATTTTATAGGATTAGATCATACACATTCTCATCTCTTTTGAAAGCACAAAATAAATTACCAGATTCAAAATTTGAATCAAACTTTAATTAATCAATTTGACATGGCATTAACTTTTAATCAAATAGGGGATCTCCTCGAAAATACACTCGTGGATATTATCTATTAAATCTAATGCTAAATCAACTTCTTAAAATTAACAAATAGCGTTGAAAAATATGTTCTATCGTTAGGACTTCGTTTCGATAAATCTAATTGATCAAATCGTTTGTAAACCAACTTTTATTTATTCTCTTCAAAATATTCAAGTAATGTTCTCTCTTCATATTATGTTGTTTCAATAGGCTATTGAATACTCTAAATTTCTTCAATGAATGTCGAATAAAACTGATTGAATTAAGGCAAAGGTCTTGACTTTTCGAAAAATAAATTCTCACTTTAAGGGATATAAAGATTTAACATCGATATCAATAGTCAATTTTCGTGGCATTAATTCATTCGCTGGAGGTAATTTTGTTAAAGTCTCATAAACTTTAGCATCATCTTCACTTGAACTATTGTTGTTTTTATTTTTGGAATTCATATTACTATTTAATTAAAAATAATACAAAAAAACTTTCCAGTTATTTAACCATTAATTTTCAACTCTATTCAAAATTCATTTAGACAAATTCATTAATTATACTCATAGTATATAAAATCATTATAATTTTTAAAATGTGGTTCATTATTTAAGTTTAGAAATCGATTTACGATAAGATCTATTTTAAAGTACTGCTTTTTCATATTCCATAGCCAAATCAGCATATTGTATACTAATTTTTGCTGTTAATTACTCAGCATAGTCTTATTCTTACTGAGCATGATTAGCTTCTTATTTAAACTATTCTATTAAAGTTTCCAATTCTCTTATTTTTATTGTATGACTCAAATTTGAATTACCCAATTCATTTTATAAATTTAAAATCTCCTTTCTCAATATTCTTTCATTTTCATTCAGAGAATTTATTTACTATTAGAGCATTAAAGTATCATTTTGTTATATAGTTTATTGTGGAGGATTCTTAACGATTTTCTTATCCTTCAATTCTATTATTTACTCTTCAAATACTTTTATCTTACCTAATCATATATGAATCTATTTTTACCCTTTAATTAGTCAATTATGGCTTCTTTTTCCTCTTCAATTTCATTTTACTTTTTTTAAAATTAACTCTCTTGTTGTTCCAATTTTTATTCCATTTTATTAATCTTAGTTTAGAACTCATTCTTCTGTTATAATAAAATTCGATTATTCTAATCATTAATTGAATCCAACTCACTTTAATGATCTAATTTAAGATGATTTATTTCTTAATGCAAACTTTCTATTTCTTGTTCTAATTATCTTTACACAACTGTAAAATTAAGTCTTTCATTTCCGACTTCATTCTATAAATCTACCATTTCCTTTTTTAATGCTCTTTCTCTCTCATTTAATCTATTTATTTCTGCTAATAATTCTATATCTCCTTTTTATTATAATTATTCTAGTTGTGCTTTCAAAACTTCAATTTCAAATGTCTTATTTATATCCGAACTTGAAATTGACATTCTCTAATCAAATATTGAATGTCGATGTTAATCTTACTTATTTACTTAATTTGCTATCTAAATCTCTCTGATTTTGTTATCATATTATTCAATCATCTTATTACTTTTTTCTGTTAATATTTATAACTATTCTTCTGTAAATTTTTTAGCTTCTTTTTCTTCTGCAATTTCTCTTTCTTTCTTTTTTAATACTATTTCCATCTTTCTTATCTTACTAAGTTCCTATTCATATTGTTTTGTAATCTCTTATATTTTTTATTCATATAATTTCTCTTTTTTATAATTCTCTTATTTTATTTCATTCATTTATTTATTACTTTCCTCTCTAATCTTAAATGATTCATCTTAAAGTTATTTTTACAATTAAGATATTTAAATTTATTTTTATTAAATCTGTTAATTATTATTTTCTTCTATTTATTTAATTTCATTTTTGTACTTTTACTCCTACTTTTTCAACATTTATTCTTATTAACTTAATTTTTCTTCAGTTTATTCAATTTAATGGATCATTTCTTACTCTTTTCGTTAATATTGTTCTTCCTGAATCATCATCATTTTTAGATACTTTTATTCCACATCATAAACAGCATCATCAATGTTTGTATTTTGTTCACTTAATTCTTTAATTTTATGAATAAATTCAGATTATTAATTTTCTTTTTCTTATTTTAATTATTCTACATAATGTCTTAAATCTTAAAAATTTTATCTATCAACAACTTATTATTCCTCAAAAGCTTTAATTTATCTTAAACTATCTTAATACTACAAATATACAAATTAAATTACTTTTTAATCCTGCAATTATAATTTTTCAACATATTAATTAAGTTCTTCCTACAATCCAAATTAATATGTATTCTTCAATTATAACTCCTCCTCAAGGTTCTTAAGTTCTTATGAATAAGAAATCTCATTAGCTTAAAATTTTTAAATCAAATCAACCAATTCTTAATATTAAGGTTTATCTTTTAAATTCTCTTCAACCTACACTCGAGTTAAACTTTCTTCATTCAATCGTTCAATTTCTTATTACTTTTACTTATTTTCTTCAATCAATAGTAAATTCTTTTGTTCGAGCTCAGAAATCTTTTATTATTTGTATAACAATGTACCTTATTTTCAAATTCTCTTAATTAAATTTCTTATTGATCTATTTTTTGTTAAGACAAATTAATCTTGGCTTATTCACTTATAAGCAATGTCGTTTATTCATTTAACTATTTATTTAATTTAAAAAGATCCAACTTAGCTTTTCTAGTAGTTTCAAACAATTGTTTATCTTTTTCACTTAATTAAATTTAATATTCTTTTTCTAATTCTTAAATCTTTTGATCACTATTTTCACTAGTTTATTGCAAACCATTCTTCAATTCATTTTCTTTTTAATCAAGACTCTATTTTAATTATTTAATTTTCTCTTCTAATTTTTCTATTTACTTAACTGATTCAGATTACTAAAATGTATTGCAAATATACTTACTTTTATATCTAGTTATTGTGCAAGATCTTTAATCTCCTCTTTTAGAGAATTGATTTATTCATCTTTACTTTGACAAGCTTCGGTATAGCATTCGTACAATTTAATCACCTCAGGTTAATAATTGCCTTGATTTGTTTGAATTTTTGTTAAAATCTATTAAAGAGAAGGAAAATCTTCTTGAAAATCCTTCCTTGGTTGAAAGTCTTCATCTGTTGAACCAGAGGCTCTTCTTTTTTTTAAGGCTTCTATTTCTTCTATTAACAATAAATTTTTTTTTTCGGTTTCGCTCAACTTAAAATATGAATTTTATAGCTACTTTCAATTTAAGTTCATTTATCTGTATTTCAAAACGATTGATCTATTCAGTATTATTTTAAACAATAGATTTCTCATTTTCAATTTTCGCATTTAGTTCAGTCTATTGCTTTTTGTTTCTAAATATCTCTAATCTCAATTTTCTTTCAAGCTCACCTATCTGCTAGTCTTTCTCGTTGATAGTTTTCTTTAGTAACTATATATCATCTTCTGAATTATTCATAATATGGATTAGTAATAAAAGATAAATAAATTATTTTAACAACCTATTTTCTATTTAAGCAGAAAACTAAATTTTTATAACTAAATCAATTGCAATTAGATATTAGAAAATAACTTTATATTCCTCTAATGATGATCTTGCAAGTAAATCTAATAACATGTATAATTAAATCATAATAGAAATCACTTTTAGAACAATTAAATATATATAAGGTTAAGAAATACATAAGTAAATAGAAAATTTAAAATGAGTTATATAAAAGATGGTATTTCTATTATTGGAAATGTCCAAATAGTTATAGAAATATCAAAAATTAATTTAATTTAATCTATAATTGTTTACAAAATGATATTTAATAAATTAATAAGATATAATTATATATTAGTTTAATATGATATGCTAAGGAGAAGCTTGATAAAAATAATGTTGGTTTATTGTTATAAAAATATTATAAAGTAATAAGTAATATGAGGAATTAAAACAAAAACATAATAATAAAAATAGAAGAATATATATTTTAAAGAAATAATTGAAAAACGGGTTTTTTTTTTAATGTCTCTTCTGTGTTGGATGTGATTATATTTCATTATTAATTTTAAAATGGCAAGAATAATTCCTGTATTGACACTTATCTTGGCAGTGGCTACTGCAAGAGTAACAAGAAGCGAGAGTCCAAAGGAAGTGTTGGCTTAAATCAACAAGGATTCATTCGGAAACTCAGTATTGTCAGTCCTTCAACTTTAATTGGCAACAGGAGGACCAGTTGGAGAAATTTAAATCCTTTTAAACAACATTGCTTCATAACTAAATGGAGACTAAAAGAAAGCTGACAAGGTTCACGAAAGCGACACAGTTGCCTTTGAAAAGGTATCTAAAATAGTATAAATATTGAATAGATCATTGCTGACTTAGAATAAGAAATTGCTTATCACTAAAGTTAGATCGTAGCACTTTCCAACTTGAGAGATTCAACAACTGAAGCTTTAGGTGAAGCTGAATAAGAAGTAAGAGTTGTTACAAGTGATATTGCTAACAATGAGAAGAGCTTTGCTGATGAATAAGCTACAAGAAATTCATAACACGAAACATGGGTTAGAAAAGATGCTGAACATGTTGATTAAATGGATGCTATTGATGAAGCCTCAAAGATTGTTTAACATTTATAAGCTGGTGTTGCTTTTGCTCAACTCAAGAGCAGATTTGAAAAAGTCTAAGCTAAATTGATGGAAAGTAAACACGCTTTGTTTAAAGTATGATGGTTTTTCTTATTCATAATAGCCACTTATCAATGCTTTAACATAATTAGCCTCAAAGGTTGACAACAAGAGTATTATCAAGATTTTGGAACTCTTAGCTTAAATCAGATAATAATTGGTTGCTAGCAGAGCATCACTCCTTGCCACAGAAGAAAGATAAGCTGCCAACTGGGAAGTCTAAAGCAGTCACTTATCAGAAGAACACAAGAGATTAGTTGAAAGAAAGGCTTTCTTAGAAAACTCAATTGTTCAATTCAAAGTCACCATCTAAGAGGCTGTTGAAGACTTAGAAGATTAAACTGTATTTATTAAGTTAATTCATTATAGTTATTCCTTGAAGATGCTGAAGATTCATTGGCTATTCAATAAAGATGGGCTGCAGAATAAGAAGCTTAATATGAAGCCTAAACTTTTGAAAGAGAATAATAATTGGAAGTTGTTGAAAGACTTTAAGAAGTCCTTACCTCTAAAGTGAGTGCTGCCTCAGAATTTCTTTAAGTTAGAGAAGAGGTCTTTTGATTAATGAATTATCAAAAATATTAATATCAATATATAATTATTCAATTTATAGCCAAATTATCTGTTAATTATTTAATTTAAAATACATGGAAAACATTCAAGTTGTGGTTCGGATCAGACCTTCTAACGGAGCTGAAAGAGATAACAACGATCTTGAAATTTGGTCTGTTCAGAATCAGGACACAATATCTATCTCTAATGATAGATTCAATGATTTAGTAAGAATGAGAAAGTTTGTACCAGGATAGAGAGTTGAATTCACATTCAGTATTACCTTTATCATTAATTAAAAATAGACTAATGTTTTGATTCCAAACACTCCACCAAATTCATCTATTAATAATAAATTTAGAGGATTACATTATCATCCTTATAAGGTATAAATGGCACAGTGTTCATGTATGGATAGACAGGTAGTGGAAAGACATATACTATGATGGGTTACGATTAAGAGGATGGAATTCTCAAACAAGGGTTGAAAGATTTATTTTCAGAAATTTCAAAACATTCTGATAGATAGTATTTTTTAAGATGCAGTTACGTTGAAATCTATACAGATTAAGTGTATGATTTATTGGCAACTCAGGAAAAATTGAGTGACACTCTCTTAATCAATGAAGACTTCAATAAAGAATTTGTTATTAAAGGAGCTGTTGAAGAGGTAGTCACCAACATAAACGAAATTATGGATATATTACAATTCGGAGAAAGTAATCGTCATTTTGCTTCAACTGTTATGAATCATTGTAGTAGTCGATCCCATACAATTTTTAGACTTTATGTAAGATGTGTTCCCAATACTATTGGGCCTAATTCTGTGATTACAGAGTCTATTCTGAATTTTGTTGATTTGGCTGGATCAGAAAAAATCAATATACATGATTCTATTCTTAAAAAGCGAGGAACCTCAGCTGGTGGAAGTGGAACTTAATTAAAAGATAGGCAAAATGAATCTAAACATATTAATAAAAGTTTATTCTTTTTGACTTAAGTTATTTCATTGAGAGCATAAGAGAAGAAGTAATTATCACTTAAACATTTTTTAGCGATTTACACATTCCATACAGAAATTCACCATTAACTAAAATTTTAAGATCTTCTCTTGGTGGTAATTCCAGAACTGCCATCATTCTATGTGTCAATCCATGTTATAGTTAATTTGAATAGACTTTGTCAACTTTAAGATTTGGTACTAATGCTAAAAAGATAGAAAACAATGTTTCCAAAAATATTGTTGGATTTGATAATGATGAGAGTCTTAATAGAGTAATCAAGGATTATGAAATTAAAATTAATGAGCTACAAAAAGCGAGAGTTGATGATAAACAATAATAAGAGATGATGTTAAAGATAATTCAAAAATTAGAAGAATAACGAAAAATATTTAAATAATAATTCACAACCTCTGATCATATTCAAGCCATGATTAATAAAGATCTCCCCTATTAATGGACTCATTTGCATTATCATGGAGTCGGAGTATTATGGGTTCCTGAAAAAGGTACCAGGGATGTTTAAGTTAAATAAGATGTAATAGATTCTTTTGGAACTATAAAAAAATATCAAGAATTATAGGAAGAATTCATAATTTTAAAATCAGAAAAATAGACTTTGGAAAATCAAGTCAAAGAATTGAAATAAAAATAGTAAGACACAATAATATAAACCAAAAAGCGATATGCTGGTTAAAAGGCAAAAACTAGAAAATATAAATAATTAAGTAAAGATCTATAAGAAGAAAAAAATAAATTGTAGAAGATAGCACTTTGTTATCATAATATGATAGAAATGGATGAAATGATATTGTTGAATAATGATACTTTAGATTAAATGACTGAGAATCTTCAAATTTTGATGTAAAACATTTACAAAGTGAAATTAAAGAAAGAAATTAAATAGAAGGGTGGGAATAGTGAAAGTTTGAAATTAGTTACATCCAAACCGATAAAATATCCAAAATATTTGTTTGATACATCTGCCATTAATGTTTAATTTTGGGATAATGTTGATATAAAGAAGACAGAAGAATAATAAAATAAGAGTGAGATTGAATCATTTTAAAGTTACTTTTAATCTCAATTGAATATGAGTAGCAGTCCAATATATTTGGATTTTTAAGGGACAACTTAATAATTAAAGGAGCCATTAAAACATATTTGTTCTCATGAGAAGATTAGTTAATCAAAGATAGGGAAAGAGAATTACGAACCAATATTGAAAAGAAATTCTAGCTTGGAAGTGTCTGATGAATTAAATTTTCGTAGTTATTTTAGATGAGCAATAATTAATATACTATTTAAATTAAAATGGGTGATGAATTTCCAGTACCTAAACCTAAAGTAAGAATGGAAGGTAATGTATTAACAGAAGAGGAATACTTGCGAAGATTAGAAATAATAATAAAAAGAGACTATTACCCTGAATTATTCAAACTTGATAAAATGAAAAATGAAGATGGGTAATATTTTTAAATAATCAGAAATTAGAAATCTCGATGAAAATATGTCTTTAAGTCAATTCTTGAGCACTTACACTTCTGATGAAAATGTTACATTAAATCAAATAATAACAAAGAATGATGATTAATGGTATTAGAAACATGCATGGATGTTTTAAGTAGAAGAATAACATAAACTTAAATAAGCAGCACTTCAATCAGATAAATTATAGCATATGATAGAAGGAAATAGAGAAAATAACATCCAATTAAATGAATACAAAGCTTTGAATCCATTGTATTTTAGAATGGACCCTAGAAATGAAAAGTATAAATAAAATGTATTTAGATTACAACCAGCAATCTAAGAACTAAAAGAGACAGACAATTCATTAAATTTATAAAAAGTGGAGATAAAGAATACAAGATTCTCTGATCATCATAAACCTTTAGAATTTGCAATTAATTAAATAGACCAAAAATTGTAAAAGAGGAAACTTTAAGAATGTTTAAATGCATAGGGTGTTAATGTCTTTTATGGAAGTACTCCAAATTTGGTTGGAGCCTAAAGGTTTGAAGATGATGACATGTTAGGTCTTTTTTCACCTGCTCCTCAAAATATGAAAACTCCATTGATGACTTGGGGAGAAATTGGAGAAACTCCAGTCTAATTAGATAGATCTTATATGATTCCTCCAAGTTCTTAAAGAGATAAAGTGGGTTCGAATCTCACTTAATAATTGAATGTTAAGAAGAGAAATGAATAGAAATAATAAGAAGAGTATGAATTCATTCTATTTTAAGATTACTAAAGAGAAGGTTGAGTTCAATCACACCTCATAGAATTAGTAGTTCCATTTCCTCTAGAGTCAATTCTGAATAAATTAAGAACTTTTTAGATAGAAGAGGCTCTACCAATCATTTTACTCCCTTAGGCCCTAAGAGCAAGAACATCAAAAAATAATGAATTATATATGGTCGATCTTTTGTTACCTCTAATTAAAATATATATAAAATTTAAATAGTAATAAATATTTATAAAACAACAAAATATCCAACAAATAAATATAATCAAATCTAATAACCTAGGATTTCAAAGTATTCCTTAATTATATTAACATTATCAGAATATTTTTCAATTAATTAATTGGCGACCTCAGTCATGAATTCATTAAAGTCTTTAATATCTTGTTCAGGTTTGAAGTATAACTTTTTTAATGAATTGATATCTGAATCATTTAAGAAAAACCCAATGATGTCAACCAATAAATCGATTGCAATTGGAGATTCAGCCAAATCATATACTTTATCTTCATTCAAAGCCTAAATATATTATTATTTATTTACCTTTTAAGTGGCCTTTTTTACAATTTCATCTTTAGCCTCTGCTTTACTCAACAATTCATAAACCATTTAAGCTCTTTCAATATTTCGCTTTAATAGTCTATCTAAAATTATTATTTAATTCTATACATGAAAGAAGTTATTCAAAGAATATTTCAAAGAATTTTTAGATTGCTTCATCTGATGATCCAATTCTTTTTAATTCTTCNTGATAGAAATGGATGAAATGATATTGTTGAATAATGATACTTTAGATTAAATGACTGAGAATCTTCAAATTTTGATGTAAAACATTTACAAAGTGAAATTAAAGAAAGAAATTAAATAGAAGGGTGGGAATAGTGAAAGTTTGAAATTAGTTACATCCAAACCGATAAAATATCCAAAATATTTGTTTGATACATCTGCCATTAATGTTTAATTTTGGGATAATGTTGATATAAAGAAGACAGAAGAATAATAAAATAAGAGTGAGATTGAATCATTTTAAAGTTACTTTTAATCTCAATTGAATATGAGTAGCAGTCCAATATATTTGGATTTTTAAGGGACAACTTAATAATTAAAGGAGCCATTAAAACATATTTGTTCTCATGAGAAGATTAGTTAATCAAAGATAGGGAAAGAGAATTACGAACCAATATTGAAAAGAAATTCTAGCTTGGAAGTGTCTGATGAATTAAATTTTCGTAGTTATTTTAGATGAGCAATAATTAATATACTATTTAAATTAAAATGGGTGATGAATTTCCAGTACCTAAACCTAAAGTAAGAATGGAAGGTAATGTATTAACAGAAGAGGAATACTTGCGAAGATTAGAAATAATAATAAAAAGAGACTATTACCCTGAATTATTCAAACTTGATAAAATGAAAAATGAAGATGGGTAATATTTTTAAATAATCAGAAATTAGAAATCTCGATGAAAATATGTCTTTAAGTCAATTCTTGAGCACTTACACTTCTGATGAAAATGTTACATTAAATCAAATAATAACAAAGAATGATGATTAATGGTATTAGAAACATGCATGGATGTTTTAAGTAGAAGAATAACATAAACTTAAATAAGCAGCACTTCAATCAGATAAATTATAGCATATGATAGAAGGAAATAGAGAAAATAACATCCAATTAAATGAATACAAAGCTTTGAATCCATTGTATTTTAGAATGGACCCTAGAAATGAAAAGTATAAATAAAATGTATTTAGATTACAACCAGCAATCTAAGAACTAAAAGAGACAGACAATTCATTAAATTTATAAAAAGTGGAGATAAAGAATACAAGATTCTCTGATCATCATAAACCTTTAGAATTTGCAATTAATTAAATAGACCAAAAATTGTAAAAGAGGAAACTTTAAGAATGTTTAAATGCATAGGGTGTTAATGTCTTTTATGGAAGTACTCCAAATTTGGTTGGAGCCTAAAGGTTTGAAGATGATGACATGTTAGGTCTTTTTTCACCTGCTCCTCAAAATATGAAAACTCCATTGATGACTTGGGGAGAAATTGGAGAAACTCCAGTCTAATTAGATAGATCTTATATGATTCCTCCAAGTTCTTAAAGAGATAAAGTGGGTTCGAATCTCACTTAATAATTGAATGTTAAGAAGAGAAATGAATAGAAATAATAAGAAGAGTATGAATTCATTCTATTTTAAGATTACTAAAGAGAAGGTTGAGTTCAATCACACCTCATAGAATTAGTAGTTCCATTTCCTCTAGAGTCAATTCTGAATAAATTAAGAACTTTTTAGATAGAAGAGGCTCTACCAATCATTTTACTCCCTTAGGCCCTAAGAGCAAGAACATCAAAAAATAATGAATTATATATGGTCGATCTTTTGTTACCTCTAATTAAAATATATATAAAATTTAAATAGTAATAAATATTTATAAAACAACAAAATATCCAACAAATAAATATAATCAAATCTAATAACCTAGGATTTCAAAGTATTCCTTAATTATATTAACATTATCAGAATATTTTTCAATTAATTAATTGGCGACCTCAGTCATGAATTCATTAAAGTCTTTAATATCTTGTTCAGGTTTGAAGTATAACTTTTTTAATGAATTGATATCTGAATCATTTAAGAAAAACCCAATGATGTCAACCAATAAATCGATTGCAATTGGAGATTCAGCCAAATCATATACTTTATCTTCATTCAAAGCCTAAATATATTATTATTTATTTACCTTTTAAGTGGCCTTTTTTACAATTTCATCTTTAGCCTCTGCTTTACTCAACAATTCATAAACCATTTAAGCTCTTTCAATATTTCGCTTTAATAGTCTATCTAAAATTATTATTTAATTCTATACATGAAAGAAGTTATTCAAAGAATATTTCAAAGAATTTTTAGATTGCTTCATCTGATGATCCAATTCTTTTTAATTCTTCAAGAAGTTTTGCTTCTTATTATTAAGGTTCCATTTTAAAAGTTCCTTATACAAATATTGCCAATTCATTTAAGTCAAATAATTATTACTTTTATGACTATTAATTTGGACTTTTTTCAACATAAAGCACTTATTAATTTGCATACTTCTTGTTCTTAGTTTTACTTTGATTATAATTTTGTTCAATAATTTCCTTTTCTTATTCTTGATGAATTGCTTTTACACTCTAAGCTTAATCTTATCGACTATAATGGTCCTTCCAGCCTTGATTTTTCCTTTCTTAAACATTTTCTATTAACATAGAAATTCTTTAGGAAAGCTTATATTTTGTGATAAGTAAATTAAATCTAATATATTAAGCAAAGTTGATACATTTCCATAATAATATCGATAGAAAGATTTTTTTCAAGTTTCTTTGATAAATAAGTTTTAGTGTCATCTAGGTTCTTGTTTGTTCCATCAAAGAATTATTCAAGATCCTTTTTTAAAACATCAAAATCTTATGTAATTTATCCTTTGTAAGTTCCACCAACTATAAATTTTTTTTATAAAATTACTTTGATCTAATAATTCAATCAAACCTTCAATGGATTCTTCACTGTTTTCTTGGTTTGGTTAAAATTAGGCCACATAATCAGAAATTAATTCTCTGATAGCATACTCGACAGCTAAAATTGGTAGTAATTTGGATAAAAATAAGTCTCCAATAAAACGTACATCTATTGGTTTTATTTAAGTAAATACTTCCCATAATTTTTTATTTTCTAATTAAATGATATTATTCCCTTTCTTCAGGTTTCATATGAGAAAGATCTTCTTTTTTATTCTTTCTATCATCGAATACTGATTGAACTTAATTCAAAAGTTAATTTTTAAATAGTGAAACATTTTTAGATTTTCCATCTTTTTCTTTCTAAATTGTGAGTTTAGGTTCCTTAATTAAGAGCTAACATAATTTTGTATATAGTTTTCTATATTTGGGTTCGGTTTAAGATTTTTCAATAATTTTTTAAGCCAGATATTCCAAATAAGTTTAATCTTTATCACTCTAACTAAAAATAAATGGAAAATATAGTTACTTTTCTATGACAATTTTTAGAATGTTTTAAGAAGTCAAATCGAAATTATCAGGTGCTAATTGATTTAATCTATATCTAAGTTCCTTAAAGATTATCTCTTTCTATTCTGGAGTTTGATTCAAATTTTAAAAAAAGACTTCTGCCTACGTTTTCATTTTATCTTTTAATTATTTAGTTTAAATGTCTTCAACTACTCTAACAATAATAATCTTTGGTTGAGCTTCATTTACTGGTTATTCTCTTGCTCTATCAAATGGTTAAACAGGAGTTGTTCTGTCTGTTTTATTAGTTGAAGGTCTTGGCTATGACTTAATTGTTTATTTATCGTAAGAATTTGGTTTGCCATCTTTTCTTTATGAGGGCTTATTTTGTAATTCTTTAATATTAAAGTGTTTCCTTTCTTTCAAAATTTACCACTCTTATTTATCAAAATATCCACTGAAATCCTAAATGATTATTTTTAAAATTACATTAATCTTATCAACAAATTTTTTAAGATCCTCTTTAGTATAAGGCTTTGGTTTTTTCAATTCAAGTAATCTTTGTTATTCTTATTCCTATTCTTGCTTTTTTCTTTCTTCCTCTAATTTCTTTGTTTCCTCTAATTTTTTTAATTTTTCATCAGCCTATCGTTAATTAAATCCAATACTTATTTTTCTAAATTTTGATCTGGTACAAACATTTGCTTGTTACTTAACACTAGTTTTCTTTTTGGCTTAATTTATGTAGTTGTTGGTGCTTATTATTTATCATCTATATTGTTTATTGTTGTGGGGTTTGATTTTTAAGGTTTGTCACTATTGTCCATAAGAGATAAAGAGCCCAAAGTATTTCCTTATCCAAGAATTGGTTGTTAACCTTATTAAAGTGAAGAAGAGTAATAATTTTATGAATATTATGTAGGATAATATCCTTATTGTGATCGTGTAGATGTGGTCGTTGTAGGCTCAAAAGGAGCACTCAGCTTTAATTCTTTTTTGGTTGTAAGATTTTGAGACATTTTTAAATTTTTTTATGATTTTTTTCACAAATTATTCAAATTTAATTAATTCTTTAATAATTAATACCACTATTTATTCAATTTTTTGAATTATTCAATGTAAATCATATCAGTAAAATGACTTCTAAAACATTATGTATTAGTTTATGAGTATGGTTTCGATGAATATACGTACAATGTTGATTGACCAAATTTTCTATGCTAAAATTATGAAAAAAATTTATTTATTGTGTATTTTAGGTATTCAAATCTTATTAAAATATTGGGAATAGGAAAAAGTAAATATTTAAAATTGATCACTTCTAATAATTTATATTAAAATTTAGAAAAAGTCACAAATACTTAATTAATTATAGAATTTCACTAAAAATTTAAATGTATCATCATAAATTTCGTATTATTTTTATGGTAATAAATATTTATAAAACAACAAAATATCCAACAAATAAATATAATCAAATCTAATAACCTAGGATTTCAAAGTATTCCTTAATTATATTAACATTATCAGAATATTTTTCAATTAATTAATTGGCGACCTCAGTCATGAATTCATTAAAGTCTTTAATATCTTGTTCAGGTTTGAAGTATAACTTTTTTAATGAATTGATATCTGAATCATTTAAGAAAAACCCAATGATGTCAACCAATAAATCGATTGCAATTGGAGATTCAGCCAAATCATATACTTTATCTTCATTCAAAGCCTAAATATATTATTATTTATTTACCTTTTAAGTGGCCTTTTTTACAATTTCATCTTTAGCCTCTGCTTTACTCAACAATTCATAAACCATTTAAGCNAAAATATCCAAAATATTTGTTTGATACATCTGCCATTAATGTTTAATTTTGGGATAATGTTGATATAAAGAAGACAGAAGAATAATAAAATAAGAGTGAGATTGAATCATTTTAAAGTTACTTTTAATCTCAATTGAATATGAGTAGCAGTCCAATATATTTGGATTTTTAAGGGACAACTTAATAATTAAAGGAGCCATTAAAACATATTTGTTCTCATGAGAAGATTAGTTAATCAAAGATAGGGAAAGAGAATTACGAACCAATATTGAAAAGAAATTCTAGCTTGGAAGTGTCTGATGAATTAAATTTTCGTAGTTATTTTAGATGAGCAATAATTAATATACTATTTAAATTAAAATGGGTGATGAATTTCCAGTACCTAAACCTAAAGTAAGAATGGAAGGTAATGTATTAACAGAAGAGGAATACTTGCGAAGATTAGAAATAATAATAAAAAGAGACTATTACCCTGAATTATTCAAACTTGATAAAATGAAAAATGAAGATGGGTAATATTTTTAAATAATCAGAAATTAGAAATCTCGATGAAAATATGTCTTTAAGTCAATTCTTGAGCACTTACACTTCTGATGAAAATGTTACATTAAATCAAATAATAACAAAGAATGATGATTAATGGTATTAGAAACATGCATGGATGTTTTAAGTAGAAGAATAACATAAACTTAAATAAGCAGCACTTCAATCAGATAAATTATAGCATATGATAGAAGGAAATAGAGAAAATAACATCCAATTAAATGAATACAAAGCTTTGAATCCATTGTATTTTAGAATGGACCCTAGAAATGAAAAGTATAAATAAAATGTATTTAGATTACAACCAGCAATCTAAGAACTAAAAGAGACAGACAATTCATTAAATTTATAAAAAGTGGAGATAAAGAATACAAGATTCTCTGATCATCATAAACCTTTAGAATTTGCAATTAATTAAATAGACCAAAAATTGTAAAAGAGGAAACTTTAAGAATGTTTAAATGCATAGGGTGTTAATGTCTTTTATGGAAGTACTCCAAATTTGGTTGGAGCCTAAAGGTTTGAAGATGATGACATGTTAGGTCTTTTTTCACCTGCTCCTCAAAATATGAAAACTCCATTGATGACTTGGGGAGAAATTGGAGAAACTCCAGTCTAATTAGATAGATCTTATATGATTCCTCCAAGTTCTTAAAGAGATAAAGTGGGTTCGAATCTCACTTAATAATTGAATGTTAAGAAGAGAAATGAATAGAAATAATAAGAAGAGTATGAATTCATTCTATTTTAAGATTACTAAAGAGAAGGTTGAGTTCAATCACACCTCATAGAATTAGTAGTTCCATTTCCTCTAGAGTCAATTCTGAATAAATTAAGAACTTTTTAGATAGAAGAGGCTCTACCAATCATTTTACTCCCTTAGGCCCTAAGAGCAAGAACATCAAAAAATAATGAATTATATATGGTCGATCTTTTGTTACCTCTAATTAAAATATATATAAAATTTAAATAGTAATAAATATTTATAAAACAACAAAATATCCAACAAATAAATATAATCAAATCTAATAACCTAGGATTTCAAAGTATTCCTTAATTATATTAACATTATCAGAATATTTTTCAATTAATTAATTGGCGACCTCAGTCATGAATTCATTAAAGTCTTTAATATCTTGTTCAGGTTTGAAGTATAACTTTTTTAATGAATTGATATCTGAATCATTTAAGAAAAACCCAATGATGTCAACCAATAAATCGATTGCAATTGGAGATTCAGCCAAATCATATACTTTATCTTCATTCAAAGCCTAAATATATTATTATTTATTTACCTTTTAAGTGGCCTTTTTTACAATTTCATCTTTAGCCTCTGCTTTACTCAACAATTCATAAACCATTTAAGCTCTTTCAATATTTCGCTTTAATAGTCTATCTAAAATTATTATTTAATTCTATACATGAAAGAAGTTATTCAAAGAATATTTCAAAGAATTTTTAGATTGCTTCATCTGATGATCCAATTCTTTTTAATTCTTCCTAAATTTAATCTGGTACAAATATTTAATGCTTACTAATATTAAACACTAATTATTTTTTTGGTTTAATTTATGTAATTGTTGAGTTATTCAGTGTAAATCATATCAGTAAATTTTATTCAAAAACATTATTTATTAACCAATTATTAGGATTTAGTTGAACATTTATATATATATCTGTTTATTCAACATTATTTTTATCAAATTTACTAATAAAGTTATCTTTGATAATAATATTTTTTTGGCTAATATCTCTGAAATTTAATATTATTGTATAAAGAAAGATAAAGTAAAAAATCAGAATGATAAATTTATAAATTAACAATACAGAATTCATTTTTTATGTTATTGATCAAAATTACAATGATAATTCTCTAAATTTTCATCTATGTTAAAATCTATTGAGAAATCATTTATTTATTGCGTGTTTTATGAATTCAATAATGTTAAATTATACGGGGTAGGAGAAGGTAAATATTTCAAATTAATCACTTCTAATTATTTATATTGAAAATTCAGAAAAAAGGAAATTCGTTTAAAATTTAGAAAATAAGTCAGAAATACATCGATAGTTAAAAATTTCATAAAGCATTTAAATTTATGATCATAACTTTCGATAAATGACTCATAAAGATTGATTTTTCTTGAGAGTTGGTTGTAAAGATGTCAAGATATCAACATTGAGTGAGATTAAGTAGTAAAGAAAAAAATGAAAATATTATCCTAGAATGTTATAAAATGACTTATTAAATGATTAACAATTGTCTGAAATAATATTCATTCAAAAATATATTATAATAATGATAAATTATTATGTAAAAATGAAGATAAACAATATAGAATATCTTTGATATTATTATAAAATGCTGAGTACATATTTATATAGTTTAAATAATCATATGTAAGATGTTCAAGCATCTTATGGGTATTAGTCAAATTAAATAATTTAAAGTCCTTAGAATTATGGTGCACAAGATTTTCTTCTCTATCTAGGACTCCTAGGACTTGCGTTTTGAGGAGGTTGTTATGGTATGTTAATAATAGTTCCAACCTTATCTGTACTATTTTCTTTTTGGTAATTTTGAAATACCCATTAAACAATGGTTTCAACTGTTAAACTGTGCATTACTTTAGCAATAAGATAAATAATTAGGACGATTGAAATAACTCCTAATAAAGTAATAGCTGCTGCTAAGCCAACATTAGAAAAACCTACAAATACTCCTAAAATTGCAGCACCAGCTATCTGCAACAAAATTATAAAGATTAGTATAAGCCAGCAAGCTTTTTAATGCTTTGGGACCTCATAAATTATGGAAGAATGAACTTCCTCTTAAAAGTGAACTTTCATAGATATCTTATGTTGACAAACTTCACATTTAATCTGATATATTATAATCATAAATCGCTTACATCATTTTTATAAACCTTTTCAACACCATTCTTTAAAAGAATCCAATTTTTAAAGCATTCCTCATGTACATATTTTGCTGTCCCACTGCACATACAAGGATATATGAATCTTGATGTTTCTTCTTCCATTGAGCAAATTCGGCATTACTCTAAAAGAAGTAATTTTATTATCTTACTTCCTTTTTTTGACCTAGCCAATTAGATTGGATCCATTTCATTTACGTATATATTACACCATACCATCTTCTTTCTTTCATTATCCTAATAATGTCAAATAGCAACAAAAGTTACTTTCATTTTATAAGTTTTCTTTATTCCTTTTTTATAAATTTCCCTTCTTGGAGAAGGGTTAAGGCTTTAAAGGGTTGGAGGAAGACATTCTTCAGGAATTAATTATTGAGATTGGTTTAACTTCGAGAATTTTTGAGGTGGTGATTAGCCTACTATTCTAGCCTCAGAAATATTCATTTACCTGTATATTATTTTTTTAAATTCTCTATATTAACTACGTATGAATTTATTTATTATAATCTGCTTAAATCTTAATTTAATTTATTGATAATGGAATATTGTGCATTGTATAGGCTATTTTCAAAATATAAGAGCGCGATCAAATTCAGGATTTGACAAATCAATTTCCATGAAAATATCGTACCAAATGCTAAAATTTATTTATTCCCTCATTATTCTAGTTTTTATGATGGGTTTATTTTTAAAAATGCATCGAATTATAATTTTTGTGAAAATATCTCAAATTAATATAAAAATATCAAATTTCTTTCGATTAAAAGATAAATATAGATTCTACATTTCCATCAGAAATTAATAGGAAATTTTATTATTATAATAATTTTTTTTGGTCCTCTATCACAAAAGTTTTGAAAGAGAGTAACATTAAATTAAGTCATGAGGAGATTTCTTATTCAATCCAAAAGATTTAGTTAACTTAATGTGAAACAATTAAAATTGGATGCATAAAATGTCTTAAAAGAATTTGAATTTTCAATTAGGTTAAATTTTAAACTTTTTGTTTTAATAAGCAAATCTATTTGTATTTTGATTCAAACATACATGAGCATTATAAAAAACAGGATTTATACTTTAAGAACTTAATATTGTATGCTGGGCATTTGACAATTAAAAATTTATTATTTAACACATGTATTATTAAAATAATGTAATTAATCTTTGATGACACTTAGATCCATAAAAATCCTGAATAAGTATCAATGATAAATTGATTAGTTAAGAAGGGAAAAGTTAGATATTAAAATAAAGACGATTAAAGCAGATTTAGCTCCAGGAGTTGTGAAGTACATGATGAAGACTAAAAATAATGAGAAATTATAAACTCCTCTTCATAATGCTGAGTATCATCATCCTTACTCTAAACCATAACTTACATACTTAAGAACTTTCTAAAAGATGGATATGGAGCCTCCAGTCTAATTGGATGAGATAAGAGAAGAAAAATGGACCATTCTATCAAAAAATTGTAGGAACATTTTAGAGAAATCAAGAATTAGTTTAGGAAAACCAAATTAATCTCACTTTTTTAGGCGAAATTCAAATGAATAAGTTCCTAGTCCTCAAAAATAAACAAAAAATAATAATAAATTTTTAACAAGAAGATAATCTATAGACTTAAGAATAGAAGACATTAAATCTTCTTAGTAATCTCCTGTAGAATAAAAGGATATTTCTCCAACACCTTTGGGAATAAAAATGGATCCCTTCTTTGTTAGATTTAAGAAATATTATAAAAAAATTGGAATTAATTAAGACGAATAGCCTAAACCTTAAAAGAACAAGTTTAAAAAACTTTACAAAAATTCTTATTCTTAAGATAAAATATACAAAGTCAATTCTCCTTAAAGATAAAACTAAAGCTCTATTTTTTTTCCATATGTTTAATGTTCTCCTTTAGCAACTTAAAATTGTGGGTTTTAGAAAAAGAAAACCTAATAACAATATTTGTAGGATATTTTAAGTTTATGTAACATGGCATAGAATTTTTAAGCAGAGATGAAAAAAGATGACACCTAAAATTATTGTGAATTAAATTAAAAGGTAGAATATATAAGATCTGAATTAAATAAGTATCATAGTATGATAAATAATGATTAGGATTCTACAGATAATATTGAAATAAAATGATCTAAATAATATTAATCAACATAATTTTTATATCATTCCAACTCTTACATCATATCTTAACGAATTTACACTTCCATACTTTACTTATTTTTATCCTATAATTTGAAGATTTTTTCAATCACTGTGATTTCTGTAGATGTTGTATCCAATCCTAAAGATTTTAATTATAATTGTACCACAAAAAGCAGCAACATCATTAACAACAAGACCTGATGCTATAATATCACTACCTCTGTTTACAGTTCCTGCACACAAAGGAATTTATAATAAATTAGCTAATTCATCTAGTTCTTCAACTGTTGTTAATGGATGGACTAATCCTCCTTAATTATTAAAACAACAATAAGTTCCAACTAACACTTGTTATGCAACAGTAGTTCTGAACACTTCTACTCCTAAAGTATCAGCAATGATTTCTTCTGTCTCTTTATCTAAATCAGAATGTATTAAAGCAACATAATCATTACAAGCCACACAATTACCTAATGCAGATAATTTTTCTTCAACTCTTTTTACCTAAAAAAATTTATATTAATTTTTACTTTAACTTCATCTGGCAATGAATTTCTTATTTACTTGAGTTCTTAGTCAGTACATGTGTTTGGTACCAATAATCCATTTTTATTTCCTGTTCAATTAAAACATATTATATACCTGCTGTCAATCTTCCAATAATTCTTGTTCCTCCAATTGAACAATGAATTACAGGCATACTTAATCCAAGTTCAGATTCAAAAACTGAATAGAAATTCTCGCTTCCTCCAAGTGCAACAAGACAATAAGCATTTGTAAGTTTAGAAAAAACACCAATATCATTGGAGTTTTCAAATTAACATCTATTTGCCATGAATGAGTTTTATAAAAATATTCTTTATTAAAATAATTATCAAATTATTACAAATAATTATTTCTTTTTAAAATGATTTCTATTTAATAAATTTGATAAAATAAAAAAAACATGTTTAAACTCTTTCATTCTACAAATATAATATCTATTAATATATTATAAAAGGAATTTATAAGAAAGAAAATCAATATTAATTTTAATTCAATGTTAACAATTTTTTGTTCTTTCTCAATTTAAATGGATATAAGTTATACTATGTTTTGGAGGTAGGAAAGAATTATTGAGAAGCTAAAATTCACAGAGTATAATAGTTTAATAAAAAGAATTAATATTTATAACTTCCATTTTATACTATTAAGAAAATTTCAATAGTATTTATAATCAAATTTAGAAAGTTATTTGTAAAATTATCACAAAGATGTATCAGAATTTAATTTTATTACTTTTGTATTTATGTAGGATATCAAAAGATGGGTTTTAAAGAGCTCATATAAATATTCTAAGAATAGTTATTTTTTTAAATAATATTAATATGGTGAACTAATATCATGCAGAAACAAAAAAGAAACGAAAGCCTTGGATAATCCAAGTATTTTATTAAAATATTTAAAAGGAAGATAAGCTTCTAAAAAAATTAGTGAAAAAATTCTAAAATGAAAGACTTGCATGGAAGAAAATTTCTTAAACTTTAAAATAGCATGGGTTTAATCGTGATACAAAGGCTTGTAGAGAAAGGTTTTCTAATCATCTTGATAACAGTTATAATAAAACAGATTTAACAGATGGGGAAATAGATTAACTTTTCGATTTGATTGAGGTTTATGGAAATAAATGGGTATATAAATGTATATAAATATAGACATATATTGCGGAATAATTAAATAATAGAACAGACTAAGACATAAAGAATAAGTTTTATGCACATGTTAAGAAAATAATTCGTCGACTAATTAAGGCTGCTTATAAGACAACTGAAAGTATTTATTTAGATTAATTAGGTTCCATAATAATTGCTAAAATCCAACCCTTATTGATTTCTAGCATATATTGTCATGATGATGAAGAAAATGATAAAATATTAAGAATAGATGATGAGATGAAGATTCTATTTAAATACTTAATACGAAATAATAAAAAGATTGAAGTTGGAGTCAAAGTGGACGACTCTACAATAGATAAGGTTAAAATTATAATGAATTATCTTGGTGAGTAAAAGTAAAGAAATATCATAAATTTAGTGATATTTATATTAAAAAGAAAATTAATAAGTAGGCTTAGAAAGTTCAGCTTAAGAAATTGAAACAGAAGAGAAACCTTAAAGTTTAACTGGGGTTAAATAAGTAATAAAGAATAATTGACAAGATATAAAAGAGGCAACCTATTTTTACAACAAAGAATGTCAAGATAGAAAAGTTTTTATTTTCTTAGAATCCAGTACAAAAGGAATAAATGTCTATGCCTTGTTTTGATTTTAAATCATTAGAAAATATGTATTCATTTTAGCCATTTATAAATCCAATAATAACGACTGCTTCTTTTTATTGGAGACAGCCATCTAATCTCTTTTCAATGGATCCAATGTTATCTAATGTAAGAAATAGAATATATATATTTATAGAATTTTCTGTTCAGTTATTAAGGGAATTAAAATTAATATAGATTATGGTCAGAGAAATATAAAGTAACACCAGATTGATCAAAATTTTATATTTTAATAAATGTTTGTTTTTAAAAATATTATTTATTAAATTCTATTTCTTTAAAAAAACAAATAAAAAAGTCAATTATAAAAAAAATTGAAAGAACGCTTATCATTATTATTGATAGCCATTTAAGGACTTTTGAAAGAATTAAAGCTTTTTTCACTGGGTATGAAACTAGGATGGACTGTCAATTAATGCGGATTTTTTTTTTATGATAAGCCTCTACTTGATTCAAAACTATATGAAGATTATCTTTCTTTAGATAAAGTAGGATGTCTTTCTTTTGAATGTGTGGTGGTATGTCTATCATTTTTGGTTGATATTTTTTCAACTTTAAAAAACTAAGGTTCTCTAGATTTAGTTTAGGCATTAGTTGTAGTAAAATAAGAGGGTTTTGGAATAACAGCCTATTAAATAGATGATAAATAATACCTTATTAGAATTAGGTTTTGTATAGTTTTTAAGATGTGAGAAATCAAATTAGAATTACTATTTGATTTAACTAGTAGGAGTAATATAGGACATATTTTTAGTAATAGTATTAAGATCTTCCATTAGATCATCAGGTAATTTATGTTTTTTTTTATGATCATCATTTTCATGAGATGAATTATATTTTTTAAGCCAAGGATAATTAAGTAATTCAATTATAGTTGGTCTTTCATCTGGATTAGTAGTTAACATTCCATAAATTAATGCAATAGCTTCTTTGGAGATATCATGAATAATTGTAAATTCTCCTTATTATATTTTAGAATAGAGTTCAGCATCAGTTTCTCCTTTAAATGGAAATATTCCTTAGAGCATAGTAAATAGAACAACTCCTAATGCCCAAACATCTGATTTATCACCTCGATATTCTTATCTGGTAACAATTTCTGGAGCCATATAACTAGGTGTTCCACAAAACATTTTGACTTTTTTATCAATTGGAAAAGATGTTGAAAATCCAAAATCTATTAATTTAGGTGTTTAACCTTCTAACAATATATTTTCTAATTTAAGATCTCTATGAGCAATATTTTTAGAATGACAATATTGTACTGCTTCCAGTATTTATTTAAATATAATTTTAGCAGTCTCTTCATCAAGTCTTCTATCCTAATTATATATTATGATATATACATTTTATTTTCGAATTAAATGATGAAGTGAACTTCCACTTACATACTCAATTATAATGTTTACATGATTATTTGATTCAACAGTATCAATAATCTTAACAATATTTGGATGATCTAACTTTTCAAGTATCTCAATTTCTCTACGTACTCCTTTACGACGCTATAAATCACGTATTTTTTATTTCTCGTATATTTTTATTGCTACTTTAATTCCTGTCTCAATTTAAATTGCCACTCTAACTGAAGCATAAGCTCCTTAACCTATTCGACTACCTACTTTATATTAAGCTTTAAAATTTTCTGTTTTATTATTATCATCATCTGCTTAATTACTAAGAAATTTAACCCTATCACAAATATTCTGTTATTTGAAGTCAAATTTAAAGTATTCAACATTATCTCGCTTTTCAACTTTACAAATTTTAGATTATAAAATCTAACTGATAGCATCCAGATTTCTTAGTTGTTAATTCTTCAAACTCATTAATAAATCTTGTTATAAAGGAGGTCTAGATTTGTATGAATATTGATTGACTATGCATTTTTCATTCTCTTTCTAATTCAGACTATTTGCTCCTGCTCTATGCTTCATTAGAATTTAAAATAATTAACAGTCTCATTATTATTATTATATAATGAATAGATATACCATACTTACAATTATCCTAACTAGTTGTCTACTCATATTTGTAACCTTTGTTACACTTGATTAAACTCCAAGTTTCCTCACATATCGCCCTAAAGAATATGATGTGACGTATAGATTTTAAACACTTTAGTCTTATAACTTAGGTTGAAAATTGCGATTAAACTGTGTTCCTTGAAGTACTTATTATAATTTATATCAGGGTCTTTGTTAAGGAGGAAATTGGGCTCATATTTTCACTTAAACACTCTATCTTACTAATTGTCTTAGATCGTCATCCAAGTAACCTCGTCTTTCAGCTGAAGAATTGTTATAATGTACTAAGTGGGATGAAGATAAATGTTCAGCTACACCTAAGTCAATTAGAATTGTTAATAATATCAAAAAGTATTATTGTAAATAACACTAGTTTCTTAATTGAAAATGGTCTCACTACCAATAAATGTCTTTCATATAAACAGACTGTCAATTTTAACTTAAAAAACAAATGTCCAATTAGATGTGATGATTTAAGTTTTAAAAAACCAGAATTGAGAGCAAAAAATCTCTTAGAACTTTAATCCACTTAAGACATACAAGATCATATTATTAACAAAGGTCCTGTTGTATTAGCATTGAAATGTTGTTTTAATCAATTTTATATTAGATGGCTCAAGCTTGAATGAATACTCAAGTGGTCTTTATACAACAAAAAATGACGATTAAGATTTTGGGATAAGATTTCTTATGATTGTAGGTTGGCATACTGAAATGGATGGAAAGATTACATGGAAATCTTTGAATTCTTTTGGTAATTAATATGGTGTTGATGGCAGAGTAAATGTTGGAGAGAAGAATGAATACATATTGGGATACTTTGGCTTTGATGTCTGAATTAATAAATTATGAAATAATTAAATAATAAATACAAACAATAACTCTTACCTTTAAAATTGACAAATCATATCACTCCCTTATTTAAGGTGAATCCAAATTAGAACTCGCTTTCACCATTACCTCTTAGAAAACCTTTATTTAGCTTACATGAGAAAGCTTCAGGCAGATCTATAAAAAAGTAGTTTCATCATTCTCCTCCAATAAGTTAGAAAAATACTCTGTAAATAGAGAAATATGGATTAGATTAGAATTTTGAATATATTTTAAAATTTGCAGTCAGAACTAGATAGGGAATGCAAGTAGGGAATGCAAATAAATAGAATTAAGATTCTTTTATTGTATTTCCAAATATAGGAAATAAATCATATATGCATTTCTTTTTTATTTGTGATGGTCATGGAGTAAATGGTCATCATATTTCAAATTTTTTGAAATAGTAATTTCCAATATACATAACTAAATTTAAGAATTAATTGGAAAATAAGTACAAATAGAATGATTAAAAATAGTCCTTATGCTACAATATATACAATATTTGCTTAAGTTATTAAAGCTTTAGATTAATCATCTATTGATTAGTAATATTCTGGTTCTACTGTAATAGGTTTATTTATGTTGCATAATAAAGTATGATTTAGAGATAAAATAGATTTATTGTCCAAATTTGGGAGATTCAAGAGCAGTGATGTTAAGTAGAACAAACAAATGGTTCATTAAAAATTTATCAAGAGATCATAAACCAGATTGTTAAGATGAAGCTGAACGTATAATTAATCATGGAGGAAGAATTGATCCTTATAAAGATTAAAAGGGATTTATTAGTGGACCATTAAGAGTATGGACTAATAATAATATTCCAGGATTAGCTATGACAAGATCTGTTGGTGATTAAATTGCTAAAGTTGTTGGAGTTATAGATAAACCAGAAATATTTAATTTCATTCTTGAAAAAATGGATAGAGTTATCTTACTTGGATCTGACGGAGTGTTTGAGTTTCTTTCTTAATAAGACATTCTTGACTCTATTATTCCTTATGTTGATAGAATGGATATTGAAACTGCTTGCAATCACTTATTAGAAATGGCTCATGTGAGTTGGGTTCAAAGAGGAAACAAAGTTATCGATGATATTACTTTTATATTGATATTTATGTAATATTGAATTTGTTTAATTATTATACTCTAGCTTATCATCTCATTATTTTTAATTAAATTTATAACTCAAAACAATTATTTGTTTTCATAAAAGCTAATAAAACATTTAGACCATTAATGATTTCATTCAATATGAATAGATTAAAATTATTAAAGTAATCAATAATACTCTATATATTCGAAATACAAATATACATAAATAAGCCACACAAGCTGTTAATCTATTTTATTATGAATATTCCAATGTACGTCAAATCATTTTATCAATTATCAATTATTAAGAAAGTAAATTTTTAAACCCAATTGAATAAAATCCAATTAGATTGTTTATGAGATTTCCTCGTTTCAATATATAAAATTTTTACAACTATTAGCCTATAACACAATTTAAAATACTAAAAACATAAGAATTAATACTCTTACTTAATTAGGAATACTAATATTTTTACTGTATTGAATTTATAGAGATGTTGTTTGATTATAAATTATAAATTTGAGTTAGATTTGAAAAGCTTAAGGTTTTCTATTCTAAGAATATTAAATGAAATTTTTATATCATTAAATGAAAAAATTATTTGATTATCTTGATAACTAGGAATTTCAATGAATAAATAAATTCTAAAATTATTTTTTAAACTGAATTATTAATAAACTAAATGAATAATTTGGGTATATAAAATAATCGATTCCATTAATAAGCCATCTAAAATAGGATAAAATCAACAAGGCCTAATCATACAAAAAAGAAAAGGAATTAATAGGATGAGAAGCAATAAAAAAATGAATTAGATTCATCAACAGAATCATGTTTAGATGTTGCATCTCCAAATTTACCATATGCAAGAATCCCAAATTCATTTTAAGTGAAATTGATTAAGGATATTATTAATCAGTAGAGATAGCTATAGTATTGAATGTATATTAAATTTGATGATATATATTTATATAAACATACGAATTAAATTCTAATTTAATTGATAATCATTAATATAATGTTGTTCATTTGAACTCTTCAATTAAGATAGTTATGATTTACATTATTATTATGATTTTAGAGCTAATTAATATAAATTATGAAAAAAACTTAAGGAAATGACTTTAGGGTGAGAGATAGCAAATCAAAATTAAAGAAGGCAGGAGAACAATTAGCATCATTATAATATAGTATAAAGTGTAAATCTTACACTCCGTAACACAGATCAATAAAATAATTAACTCATTATCCTTTAAGAACTTAGGGGAATTAAGATGGAAATCCTTTAGTTTAACCTCGAAATGTATTTCAGCGACAGACTAGTATAAATTGTCAATAAAGGCCTTCATTATTGTCAGTGATAACTTCTGAAAGTAATGCAAGTGCTGATGAGGAATATGAAATTTGGGATAATAATTAAGATTTGCGAGTGAAGAAAATGACAATGGAAGAATCGAAACCTTCTGTTGGATAATTTTTATAATTGTACAAAGCAAGATTTGGGTATGATATATTGAAATGGAAGAGGTTTTCCAGGAGACAAACAATGTATCAAGAATGAAGAAGTTATTAAAGCCGCTGTTGGATATGCTTCCACTAATAAATAGCTTTTTAGAAAATACTTTCCTTCAAAATAAATAGTATTTGAAGATGACAACGATTATTCGTAACCATATAATATAGAGGACGATCATCATTTTTAAAGTTTCAATAATTTTTTTAAAAATAAGAAGTCCCACACTATTCTTAAAATTAATTCATCACGTATTTGAATGATATTATACTTATTATATATATAATATTTCAAACTTTGTCAATTAGACTTTATATTTGTTCTTATGTTCTTTAGATAAATCTCTTTTCAGTTGTTGTAATTACAGCTAATTCAACATTTTAGTTGTTAATCTATGAAATAGATATAAAATAAATTACTTTTTCTTCCATCACATTTTTTAAACATAAAATAGCTAATCTTTCAGCTTATTCTAATGTTAAATCCTTAGATTTATTTATTTATTAATTACTTATTTATATTATTCTTTTAAAATACTTTAAATTCCTTCATCTGCTGCACCAATTCCTTTAGCCTAATATTCAATCATAGTACCAGTAGGATCTAATTAAATATAATTGATAATTGTATTACCTGTTTAATAAATTTATGGTCCATGATCTGAAACACCAGCAATTAATAATGCTACTCCATAAGGTCTTGACATCTTTGTTTTACTTTTTGAATCACTTTCTCCAAAATCAAGAGCCAAATCACAAACAATTTAAGTAAGTGCTCTTACATTTATTGGTTCACCATAATTGAATTTATGATTTTGAGATTCTACTCTTGCATGTTCAACTAATGTTCTAGCATCAGGTATAAAACCAGAAGCTGTACAAGCAATATGAGTATCAATTTCATATATCTTTTCAATACTCTTAGGTTCTAAAAGACTTGAATTCAATTTCCTTTCACCTGCTAATACTACACCATCATTCACTTTTATGGCTAAAGCACTTGCTCCTAACTTTATTGCTTGTAATGCATATTCCACCTAAAATAACCGACCTTCTGGAGAAAATGTATTCACTCCTCTATCATAATCTGTTCTAATCCAATTAATCACTTATTTACTTATTTTGAAACATTTATCCCAATCTCAATTATTTATTTAATATATTATATTCATCATTTATCTAATATATGTATATTCTTCTTATTATTATATTTTTGTAATCTATTTTACAATTAATATTCATTTAACTCTAACTAAAATTTTAGTTAATATTTTTGAGTTTTTATTTTCTGCTCAATCATATTAACTTTATCAATTTAATTTTTGTATGGTTGATACTCAAAAAATTGTTGGAATAGTATTCTCTAAATTAGAATCATAACGATCTCATCCTACTTATATTTTGACAACTAAGACTGGCAACATGATTTATAGATAAGCATCTAATTTACCATCTGAATAAATTGAAAAGTTTAACCTTATTTTTAGTAAACATTTTGCAGATAAATTGTATCCAACTTAAAAAAAAAGACTCTTTTATAAAGGAACTGAGTTAGAAGTTAGTGATTTAGAATTTGATGATGATGATTTCGATGATTCTAAGTCCACTAAATAACATTGTAATTGTAATTCTCAATCTAAATAAATAAATAATTCTCCAGATCAATCTCTAAATGCTACATAAAATAATCAATAATAACCTTAATCTAAACAAAATGTTAAATTATCATCAATTAATATTTTGATATATGAAAAAATTGAGGGAGAATTTTAATAGGTTAGTAGAATTGATAGCAGTCAAATTAAAAATATTATAAAATGGGAATAAGCAAATATTGGAAGGAAAAAATAAGTTATGTTATGTATTTCAGAGAATTGTTTTGTAAAATTAGCAGATTTAAGATTTAAGAATCCATCGTTAGTTCTTGATTTTGTTTTAAATAACTGTATACTTGTTAAATGAATATAACTATTATTATTTTAATAATATATGAAAAAGAAATTAAATATTCCTCTTAGGAACATTTAGCCTGATACGTATATCTTTTTCTTAATTTTTAGAGTCCCATTTTCAGAAGGAGATGGCTTAAAATATTGGAAAAGCTTTCGTCATGCTATTACGACCATTAGATTACTCTAAAATCCAAAAACGAAGAGATTGAATTCTCCAGTAATTTATTATTTTCATCAAAAGGATGAACTAACCGTCAGTGGATATAGGGCTGGAGTAAAATCAAAATAGAGATCAGAGAGTAGTCGTAATTTTAATGATGCTCTTAAAAATATTTAAATGCAATAAGCACTTTTTACATCTATTGAAAAAGGATACTCATCAGATAGAATCGAAGAAATATTAAATAAAGATCCAAAAAAGTAATCTTATATCATTTATCTAGATATTTCTATGATTCAAAAAGTCCTTTCAGTTTGGCAAACAAAAAAAATTAAAAAGGCTTAACACCCTTATATGTTGCAGCAAAATTGGGACATCTTGAAATAGTCAAAATTTTGATTGATAAAGGTGCTAACCCTTTATTCTCTGTTACAATTAATGGAATTGAAGAAACTCCATTAGAAGTTGCTTAAAGATGGAGACATTTAAAAATTGTTCACTTTTTATAACAATATAATTGATATTATATCATTTAAATAATACTAATTTTCTTTAAATCAAATTTTTATATGTATTTATACTCTCTGTAAGGGCTAAAATAATTAAGAGAATTCATAAATTACTGAATAATTTATTAGCAAATTATTACCTTAATTTTATATATATACACCATTGTAATTCTAATTTAATCACAAAAATAAATTGAATTCGTAACAAAATTTAATATAAGAGAGATAATCATCAAATTTCGATTAATTATTTGATATTCTCATTTCATTTTCGGTTACTTTGTTTTGAAATAAAATTATTAAAATATTTATTTTTCTTAAAAAAATTAAAAAATTATACTAATGAAAACTATCCAAAAAATCTTTCAATTACTATAATTGTCGGAAATTCCTCTAAAAACATCATTTTTTTGACATTTTGATATATTATATTAGCAATGTAAAATTGGCTAAATCAATTAATTATTCTTATGATGCAAGTTATATAATGATAAGCTTTATTGAATTTTAGTTCTATATTGATTATAATCTCAAGGAATTTAAATTAATTTATATATATTGATTTAATTGATTTTTCCATTTAAATTAGAATAATATTAAAAAAATGCTTTATTTTTTTATAATTGCTATTGCATTAGTAAAGAACGCTAAGATAGATGTCAATCTAACTATAGGCTTAGATTTTTAAGACAATTCTTATATGGAATTTTTTAATAATTTTTCTAGTCATTATAGTGAATTTAAAGAGAATGGATGTAAGATCTTTAATTATTTGATCTTAGTAAATTTGAATATCGCCTAACATTTATTGCCATGCTATAGCTGTAATACACGTCATTAATTTTAAAAATCTGAAAAAAATTGTTTAGGAGGAGGGCGATATTGCTGTAATAATAATTTAAGTTATAAATAGAGTATTCAGATTATGTATCAGGCTAAATAATTTTAAAAGAATTATTGTTTTAATAATGTGTATTGGATGTATTGCCATAACATTATTTTAATTATACAATTTATTTTGGAAAACAATGTAAGAAATCAACAATGGTTGATTGCTCTAAAAATTATTTTAAAAATAATAATATAACAACTGATCCTATCGATGAATGTGTTATGAATAGTTTTAATTAATAGGATGTACAGGAGGACATTAAAACTAATAAAATATTAGACAAATACAAGGATATGTAATATAATTAAACATTTTACTCTTTATACCTGGATTCTTAAGATTTATCTAAATCTCCATATAATGAATTTCTTTAATAATTATGTTAGAAATTTGTAAATGCGTCATTATAATCTTGTGGATAAAGTGTAAATATAGAAACATCTTCAAATTAGAAAGATAATAATAAAACACCTACAAATTAGAAAGAAAATAATAGTTTAGAATAAGTGTTTTTATTTATATTTGCTTTGATTATTTTAATTCTTATGGCATCTGGAGGTTGGACATTATTGAATAAAATTTAATTTGGATCACGTTAAGCTCCTAAAAGTAGAATAACTATTCCCAAGTTAGAGGGTGATCATATTATATAAGAAGATGATATTTGATATTTGTTAATATAATCAATTATATTTTTATGAGTACATCTTATTATTATTACTAGAAGGAAGATAAACTCTAATGGAAATAATAAATTAAATTGATAAACTGTCAATAAAATCAACTATAAAATTTTTATAATTTGATATTTGAATATAATAAATAGCATAGATCTACATCAAAGAAAGTTAAGAGATTGGGATAATTAACTTAAACAAGTGAAATCAAATAAGATTATTATAAAGTTTGTAATTAGAAAAAACTAATTAAAATGCTTTGAAAATTATTAATATGAAATTAGAGAGATAGAGATTGAGAAATAATCATTTGAAACAAAAACACAAATGAAAGAAGAACCCATATCTTAAGTTCAATATCATAAAAAATTACTATTCTTCATAGAACTATTGAGAGTAATAAGGAAATATTTTTAAATTGCTAATTAATTTAGCAAAATAGAAATAGTTTCAAAAATTATATTAAATAAAAAGAAAAAGATTATCTTAGAAAATTAAATTAAGAAGATAATCTCGATTTTTATTAAAAAGATAGGAAGGTTCTTTTTCAGTATTATTCTTTTCATAATAATTTAGTATTAGATAGCTTTTATTCATTCACTTTAATTATTTATGAGGTTAAGGATTGCACTTTTTAAAATTGTCTAATTCTTTTTACAAATTTTTCAGATTTTGTATTCAGAATCATATTTTACAAGTCATTGCTTCTTTTATATAGATTGTCTATATTGATTTCAAGCATAGAATTAAAAGAAGAATCTTACTCTACACTTTCTTCTCTTGAATTAGATTATATTTTATTAAAATTGGCTAAATAATGTCTCTCATTATTTTTTTAAATTCGAGCAGTCTTACATAATTTATATTTTTGATCCTTTTTTTATTAATTATCATCATTTTTAGGTTTCATGAACATATAAGCATAAAACTTTACATCCTTACTTAAAGGATCTGTTGTATTAAATTAATTAGGTTCAAATTAATGAAATTTCTTATTACCATTCTTAAATTCTCTTATTAAATTTCTTTTAGCTTTAAGAAGAAGATTTTTTTCTTAATTTTTATCTTATTCTAAAAATTCATTTAATTTTGCATTCATCTTTTCTCTTTCCTTTTTTCTTGTTAAATGAATTGTTTATTAATCTGGTAAAGTCTTGCTCCTTAAACTATTAGATAAAACTTTATTATCATCAGTACCTAAACGAACTCTCAATGATCCTTAAGGATTTTTAGAATATTTTATTTTATCATATTCTCTTACTCCATCAGCTTTTTCAGAAAGTAGATTCTTCGATTTAATTTTGTTAACATTTTTTTCACAAGTTTCAAATAAATGTTTAAATAATTGAACATCTTTAAGTGAATCTTTTTTATTTTTTGCTTGCATCCTTTATTGGATCAAAATTTGGATCTTATTAAATCTTTCTTAAATTTTAATTTTTCTTTAAAGTAGATCATCAGTTTATGAAGTATTTTATATCATAGATAATCTAACAGAGGATCTTTATTTTAAATGACTTCTAAATTTATGTACATTTGAAAATAATTTTAGTTAATCCATTTTATGTGATTAACTTATGATATGATTACATTCATTTACTAAATTTAATGCTGTTTTCTGACCTTCTAAGTAATCTCTAAAACTATGCTTCAATTATTCGTTAAATAAAAATGGGTTCGGTTATTATAGAGGACACTCATTTTCGAGTGGGTCTCTTGTTATTTTAATTTTACATTTTTTTGGAGATTCTTTAGGTCTCTATAAGTTTTCCCATAATGAAAAAGTTTCAGTAGTTTAATAAGTTGAAGGAGTACTATCTAATGTTACTCTAATCTTAAATTGATTGTTTTTCATGAAATTAATATTTATAAAATTTTTAGTTATATTATAATTTTAAACTAAAATAATCTCATTTCAGTGCACTAGTTATGGCTTAAGCTAACTTTACTAATTCGCTCACATAACTAATATTTATAAATTAAAAAAAATTACTTTGCTCCCAATAAATGTCTATTAGTTTAAGAGGATTCAATCTTATTTCTTAAAGACACAATTTCATTCAATTATAAGTTATCACTTAAATTTCTTCTTTATTATGACCTATAACTTAATTCAATAGGTCTGCTTTGATATGCTGGAGATTATTGTCGAGAACTTTGTAAATTAATATTGTTTCTACTCCCTAAAGAACTATTAATTCTTTTTAAATTTAAATTAATAATTACTTCTTTTATAAACCCTAAGCCTTTTGTGGGGAATAAGTAATTGATTTATCAAGAATTTAATTCTGTTATTAAGAAGAGTTTAATCTTGTATATGAGAAATCTCTAATTTTAGCTTGTAAGTTTTCAAATGATGGTACAGTGGGCATACTTTCTTTTCTAAAATATATTATCCTATTACCTATAGGAATTGAATGATTTTTACGCAGAATCACTCTAATATTATAGGACTGGTACACATCTATCTTTTACTTAATTTCGAATTGATTTTATATCGAAATTGATATCTTAACTTCTTTAGGGTTAGGCTAACCAAGATCTTTACATTTTTTATTTTAACGATTAATTTATTTATCATATAACATATTAAATTATGTAAATAATATGTCATTAGGTGCATCCAACTAATTCAAAAGTTCCTTCTAATTCTTAAAGTACTTTCATTTCATAAACCTCATTATTACTCAATTCAACTTCTAACTAAAAGAATAAAATTAATTCTCATTCATACCCACCACATTACTCCTGCTACTATTTGAAAACCGACCTTTTCAACTCTAATCCAACTCACTTCAATTGATACATGGCAAACTCCATGAAATTCATGCATTGCTTTCTATACTGCTTTTTTATAATCTTCATCATTATGAAAATTTTATGGAGATTCCCATCTAATACCTCCAGCAAGTTCTTATTATTTTTTGTGCATCTTATTTTCTATATAATGCCTTTTACCTTCCACTAGAAGTATTATTGTTATTAAAACTATTATCGTTTTATTCATTTATTTTATTTAATTAACATTATACTCATTTATGTAAATAAATATATTAATCTATTATAGACTGTTTTTTTATTAAAATCTCATAGAATAATATAATTTTTTACAAAAACTTTAACAATAAATTTTAAATTTTATATTTCAACTCTTGTATGCTAAGATTTGTATTTTTTATAATTATTGAAAGATTAAGCTAGTCTAATATAAAACTTTAATTAATTTATTATGTTTAATTTAAATTAAATGAATATGTTTTCTACTTGAAGCTAATTAAAAGATATAAATAATTATTATTACAGACCAAAGTATTCCTTGTTAAATTTATTTGGCAACCAAAACACTTTGGAAAAGTTCGTACTCTAATTCATTTAACATTCACCTTAAAAGTCTTTTTTAGCAATTTCTATGACTTAATTATAAATTAGAATATTTTCAAATTCAGAAGTATTTTTTCAATCTAGAGAGGGCTTTTTTTAGTTTTTTAATTCATTTGAGCTTGATGTTTCAAAGAAGGAGTTGAGAGTGTTTCATTTAAAAAAAAAAAACATGTAAAGAGAGAACAAGTATAACTAGAAGCAACTTTGCCATTTTTCAAATAAAGGATTGTAAAAAAAAAAATTAATTAGTTTTTTTCTAGTTTTATTTAAGGATTAATCATTAGAATCTCTGGAGAAGGAATTCATATCAAAATAGGTAATGAATGTATCTGTAATAATTTTTATGAAATTGTGTTATTATTTGTATTAAAATAATTTCTTTCAGTAATGATGAATTAGGAACATAGGAAATTGAATTTACTTAAATAAATGAAAATCGATACAAATGATATTTATCATATAGATGCAGAAAAGTTTTTTAAGAAATAATGCACATCCCATGAAACAATACTTATTTCTCGGATGATTACAAAAATCAATAAGAGAAATCATGAATAATTGAGAATGATAGCAATTTCTAATGAATTTGTTTATAACATAGATAAAAAGAATATTAAAAGAAAGATAGCAATAAACAAAATATTTGGAGTCACGATATCGAAAAAAAATTAAGAGTTTATTATTCATGTACCTGCAGAATCTGATTTATTGTACAAATCATAAGAGAATAGAGATGTAATAATATTTTATTTAACTATTGCATTGAAAATGCACAATATAGATGTTATTAAAATTTATTTTGTAGAAGATGATTTTTTATAGCCATATTGTATGCATAATTAAATACCTGACAAATCAAAATAAACTAGTTTACATCCAAAATGTTCAATTAGTATGTTATATCCTGAGAATTTTCAATTAAATTACATAAATATCATGAATAAATCAAAAGTAAATGAACTTTTGGTACTATTTGCTTATGATCCACTAAGATTACGTGTCAAATTAGATGATTATTAGAAATCTGTGGTTTTGTCTTAAGGATCTTTAAGTAAAATTTATTTATTACATAATAAATATGAGAAATAGTAACAATTCGCTGTATTAAAATGTGTCCCTATGAATTCAGTTGATATAGATTTATTGGAACTCTTTCTCAAGAATTATGTGAAATTACCTTTTATCGAGGAACTTGAATTATGTTTCCTCTATAATGGTAATGTTAATTTTATATTTAAATTTGTAAAAGGAGGGGATCTTTATTAACATCTAAAAGAGATAAACAATTTCCCAGAACAATAAGTAAAATAAATAGTTGCATAAGTAGCAATAGCATTATCTGATTTACATGAGAGGGGAATTATTTTTGGAGATTTGAAACCTGAAAATATTTTAATGGATGAAAGAGGTTATGTTTGTTTAACTGATTTTGGATATGGTAAATTGAGAATCTATTAGGAATACAAAAAAACATAAGCAATTAATTTTACTACTGAATATTCCTCTCCAGAATATATTAAAAATGGAGAACTTACGAGAATGTCTGATTGGTATAGCTTAGGAATTCTAATTTATGAATTAATTGTAGGTATCACTCCTTTTTATCATAATAATTTTGAAATTGCCTTGAAACTTATTCTCAAAGGTGAAATTCACTTCCCCAGGAATATAACTTGCTCTTCATAGTGTAAAGATATTATTCAAAAATTGACAAGGCATGATAGCACTTAAAGATTAGGATTTCTCATGGATTTTAAGGAATTACAAAGCCATCCATGGTTTCATGATATTTCTTGGGAAGACTTAATATAAAAAAAATATGATACTCTAGCTTATATACCATAGTTTAATGAAATATCCTAAATATCGGATAGATATTTTATTATGGAATAATTAAATGAAGATGAAAGAAATTGGTGATTCTTTACATAAATACAATATGTTTATTATAAATTATTTTAAGTTAAAAATTTAAATTGAATGTTTAAAAATTTTATGTATGTTGAATATGGACCAGAATTATAGTGTCATGAGAAACTGTATTAGAATGCTTTAAAAAAATAGTAGAAATAAAAGGAGATTGATTACTAAAATTAATTATAAATGTTAATTTAGTAAGTTAATGAAATTGAAGATGAGCCACCTTAATAAATGACAAAAGATTTTTATGATTATTCAATGAAATGGAAAAATCTAGTTAATCAAAAACGCTTTTAAGAGTAGTATTAATATGAAATGAGTCTTTAACAAAAATCGTAACATTAAATACAAAAGTTACCATAAAATTATCTATCACCTATTGATGGTTGGAAATATCATGCTTAATAATATTTTGATAAAAAAGGAAGTAGATAATAAAATGAAACAAGTTTCTAACCAAGTATAAATGAAAAGTCTAAGATGATGGAATTTGATGAACCTGTTGAAGATAGATTAATTAAATATGGTTAATAAAGAGAATAGAAATATTTATTTGAAAAATAATTTGAAAAGTTTTATGAATAAGTCCAAAATGATCAAAGACCTACTAAACCGAATGAAGAAGTCTTTTCAAGATTATATAATTATGGTACATATAATGTCATTAGTAAGAACGTAAATTACCACAACCTGAAGTATATTAATTGAATATCAACAAGTTGCCTCCTGAATTTGAAGAAAGAGTTAAAAAGCGTAGAGAATAGTATTCACTTTTTGAAAATAAATAAAATAGAGCTCAAACTGAAATCACTGATCAAGAAATCAAAGTATTATCATAAAATTAGTTTGATGAATTTCTTAAACGCAATTTTTGTAATCATTATAGAACTTAATCTTTTAAAGAAGAATCAATTGAATCATATCCATTCTAACCTGAATTAAATAAAAAATCATTAGAATTAGCATCCAAAAATAATGACACTTTGATTGAAAGGTAAGAAAAGTTTTTAATTAAAAAGTAATAGACTTTATAATAATATTAAGAAGAATAATAACTTGAAAAATAAAGATAATTTGAAAATGAATTTAAATAAGTTAATAAACCTAGTTCAAAGATAAGAGTCAATAAACCTAGTAAATCACCAATTCGTTAATAAAATGCATATAATTTATAAACATTAGTCAACAAATAAATTCCATAATTATTTTGAACAATTTAATGTTTTCCAATATATATAAATTTATATATCAAATAAAAATCAATAAAGATGGATAAGAATAAAAGTACTTAAAAGGTGTTCTATTACATTCTGACCTAAATATTCATATAATATATTCTTTTTAGGCTTTATTGATTTATATTATCTGTGAACAATTCTAATATTTTTTTATTTTAAAACAATATATAAATTCATCTAAAAATTCCACCACAAAACAAGCATATAACAATAACGATCATCAATTAGCCAACCGTAAATCCATCTTGGAATTAATTAAAATAATTGATATCGACAGCAGATTTCTAAGCCTATTCATATTAATATTTGATAGATTATAATTCTTTTTGTAATGATTATGATTTAAGTTGTAATTCAGCAAGTATAGCTTCTTTCTATTATTATTAGACATCCAAAACTTCAATAGTAATTATAACATGATCCAAGCTTTTTCTGGATTTCCAAAAATCTTTCAAATCTTATAAGGGATCTGTATATTCTGCATATTAAATTTCCAATTAATCTCCTTACAATTTGATATCCTAATTTTATTTAAATTTGATATTACTGCTGCCTCATTATTTTGAATGCAATTATCAAAATCTTAATGACTATGTATTAGTCCAAAGTAATGGTCTAATTTATAATTTGTGTTATTATTGCATCTGATTTTAAATGTAATTGGAACATTACTCACGTTTTTAATTTTAAACCTTAATCTATTAAACAAACCTTGTTGAAATTGAAAACTTTTATGGGATACTTCAATCATATAATTTTTTATATATTATTTTATATAAAAATAAAATAGGTAGCATGATTCAATTTTGGTAATACTTTTTTTAATCGAAAAAAACCTCTAATAATTTAATAGAAATTTTTAAGCATATTTATATAAAAGAAAGGGATAAAAAATGAAATTTGAATTAAGAAAGATAAAAATATAATTGGATGCTCTTAATTAATAGTTTTGATTCCATATTTTATTAATTTTTACTATTGCTATATTTGAGTCTTTTTGGAATTAGTTTATATCCAATTTCCTCTGCTCATTTTACTTTCTAATTTATATTAAAAATTTTTATTTAAACTTTATACTTTTAGCTTTTTCGAAAATCGAACTTCTAAAACCTTTTAATTTTCTCTCCTTATGAGCTTTAATAAACCTTGATAATGTTTTTTAATTTTAAAATATAGAGTAGAATTTACATCTTTTAGTTGAAGTTTGCTTTAATTAGTGCCACATTTAAGATTAATGATGATAAAAATAAAATAAATAAAAAGAAAAATGAATTGATGTATTGAATCAAATTTAACACTTAAATTATTTATTGAATCAAAATTTAATTGAAGATTATGCAATAAGTATAATTTCTGTGGTTTATTTCACAGAAAAATAGATATCTAAGAAGATAAATCAAAATTATTAACTAAATGTTTTTGATTTTTAAAATTATTAAAAAAATAAGAACCATCAAAATAATGTTAAAGATATCGATTTTTCTAAAAAAGAAAAAATGATAATAATTGGTATTTCTAATAAACATTTAGAATTTATTAATTTTGATAATGATTAAATAAAAATAAATAGATTGATTTTTAGCAAGAAGAGGTACGATTATATTTAAAGTAGTAAAATTTAATCGTGAATATGATTATTGTCAATAAAATGTTAATTCTAACTAAAATTGCAACAAATTATCTTATGATTTTCTATTCAAATAGTCTGCAACATTTTCTTACATTAAGAAATTAAAACCTCAATTCTTAAAGATTCTAATGATTAAAATACCCAATAATTTTATTATAAATATAATTTAATTATCCAAAATATATTCAAGTTTTAATCTTCTTTTGAAAAATAATAATCTGATTAAATAAATAGATTAATTATTAAAAAAAATAAAACTATTTATTTTATGAATTGAAATTAAGATGAGTTAATTTGCATATAATGTGATTTTAAATTTCGCCATTTAAAAAATGAAAAAATATAGACAATAATAGTGATAATTATTAAATAAATAAATGCTTGTTAAAACTCATAAAAGAAAGGATTTAAATTTAAAATTATGTTTGTTTTGATTTTTCGAAAAATAAATTTAATTTTAATTACTACAAATTATAAATGTCATAAGATGAGTATTAAGATTTTGAAGAGTATGTTTATAATGATGAATAGCAAATTGAAGAAGAACAAGAGGAAATAGGAATAAATGAATAAAGGATGGAATAAAGTAAATATAAGGTTATTATTTAAGCATGTTAAACTCAATAATATATTTAAATAGTAGATTCAGATAAAAGTGAGGATCCATGCTTTTTAATATTATTATAAGAGAATAACATACCTTAATTGGAGATAGCTCTTTTATCAAATGTTTCTACTTTCTTTGATAGGTAAGCAAAATTATTTAATTATTGTGCAAAAATGATTGGTTTGATTACAATTGGATCATTAGGTATAAATAAGTATTATAATAAGAAAATATCAATTAATATTCAGTTCTATTGTGTAAATTTCTGAAATTGTTGTTTTAGATTTAAGAAATAGGGTCCTATTCTCAATTTTCATAATAATTATTTTAACATTTAGGATGTTAAGATCATCAAATAGGATATAAAATAAATAGTGATTAATAATTAGTTTTATATTTAATGAAACTAATACTAAAGGAGGATGATTAGTTTTAGAGGATTCTGCCTTATTTACCTAGATTTTTAATTTTTGCAATAAATCCACCTCAACCTTTTATTAGTTCAACATCTCCTAGAATATTATAAACATTAATAGTAAACAAAATAAATGAAGAATTATTTGATACATCATTTGAAAAATGCTTAAAATTAGATATTTTGGCATTGTCATACTTTTCAGAATAAACTTAAAATATTTCTATTTATAAAGAAATAATAGTGACATTAACTTCCATATTTGAAAGGTAGTGTGATTTAATATATTTTTAGTTTACTTGATTAGAAGAATTCTTCAAATTTAGATAATTAATTGATTAATTTACTTTAATTCTTTCTTGCATTCACAACAAATGAAACAATTCTAAATACATTATTCAACAATGTTTTTCATAGAGTCCTCTATAATTCAATTAGATTTTCATAGCCTTCATTTGGATCATTAAATCCAGCTAAATGGTCTCAATAACCTCTAATACTTGATGCTATGGTTAATTTAATTATAAGAATTGTTAGTGTAGATAAAATAGATAAGATTTTATTAGAAAATTTGTTTGATGATTTTATATTTCTTTTGGAAAAATAGAAATTCGATTTTATTTATAGAGTTATTCTACCTATTCTTAATAGTGAATAAGTAAGATTAATACAGGTTTGTTTTCATCCTAGATTTAGTATACAAGAATGTAAGTTAAAAGTTGAAAATTCACTACGTGCCCAAAAAAAGAATATTTTATTTTATTCTACTCTTTTCACAGATATATTGACTAAAAATTAATGTTAATAAATTGATTAGCTTGTTTAAGATTAATTAAGAACAGAATAGAATCAAAATAGTTTATAATAATAAATTTTATAAAATGATAATATATCTAAATTGAATGGATAATGGATAAATTTACATTAATTTAATCCATTGAATCCTCATTTGAGTTCTTAGATTTTATTAGAGAAATTAAATGACAGAAATAATGTTTTATTTATTTTTGATTTAATAGTAGGTAATGAAAATGTTAGATTAGTATGTTTTATTAATAACATAGAATCAGATTAAAAAACATATAAATTTATTTAGGCTAAATCAAATACTTAATCATTTTATGTAATGATGATATAAGATGATCATTTTTGGTATGTTAATTCTTTTGATAAAAAATCACATCTTATCTTAGCTATTTAAGACAATATGTTGCAAATTACTCATAGCAATCGTCCAATTGCTTGTATTAATTTTCTAGATTTCTAATCTAGTTAGTTTGGATTCCCTTTCCAAAAAATATAATAAAAGACTTCGCTTATTGATTAAATTAAGTATGCAATGATGGAATAAGATTGTTGTTTGATTTAAATTGAAATCTGGACTTTTGATCAATCCAAAGATTTTATATAAAAAATTGATATATCAGAATTACTTTAGAATAAAAGTTACACTTAATAATTAGACTATTACCTTTCTTAATTTAGATTCTAGCCTATTCATTTGATTCCACATGATTTAACAATTTAAGAACTTTCCATATAATTAAATGAAAAAATTGATTTAAAAGTGCTGAAAGAAAATTAAATTAATGACATTACTGTCGATAAAGCTATATAATAACTTAATTTAAAGAAGCAATCTTAAAAACCTTTGTTAAATTATTTTTAAAGATATATTGGAGATACAAATAAGATACTGGAATAAATCAATAAATATTTGAATGTTGTTAAGGCAGATTAAGTTTATAAAACATTATTTATGGAATTAGATTTCTTATCTGAAATAGATGGTTTTGCATAATTTATCCTTTAAACTGATGGATTTTTATAATTGTTACTTGTTATGGCATTCTTAAATAATAAAAAAGAAGGTAAAGAAGCTTACAATAAAATTGTTTAATTAATGTATTCATCTATTACAATCTTGTTAGATTAAAATCACAATTTGAAAAATAAAGCTTTAATGAAATCAAAAATTTAAATTAGAATAATTAATAGAATAGATTCTTACTTAAATTTATTGAATCAAAAGATTAAAACTTAAGAAACTTTAAAGGGAAAGCTTAAAGGTATTGGATATGGTGATATAAATTATAGGATTTCAGATTTAATTTTCAATCCAGATTAATAATTGGAAGGTGAAAAGAGATATATTGATATTCAACAAAGTTAGAAAGATATCAATTTAGAGACTTTACTGAAATGTTTACGAATATTGATTGATTAAAATTATAAGGATCCTATGGTTATTTAATGCTTTCAGCTAACAAATATTTTAACTTTTTTAATTAAGTACTTTTAGAATATAAATATAACTTAAATTGAAAATTCTTAGGTTTTTGGTGAAGTCTTAAAAATAATAGAAATTTTGGCAAAATTTTCAGTTACTTTAGAACTATTCATAATTAATGATCAAGAGAGCCTATTTAATTATTTAGAAAGAATTAATTAATAGGCAATAATTTATATAAAACAATTTAATTCTAAAATAGAGGAAGTAGAAAAGTTTAGGCAAACTTATAATTATATTGAGTCATGTTTATATGCAGCTAAAATGATTAGTGTAACATTCGTAAGTTAGGATTAATAATAATTGAAAGACGAATAAATTGGTATGCATTAATTTTATAATCTTATAATGAAAAAATTAGCAGTAGCTAAATGTGAAATTTAGAGTGATCAATAATATTTGAATGTTATGAAAGAATTTTATTAANATCAATCCAAAGATTTTATATAAAAAATTGATATATCAGAATTACTTTAGAATAAAAGTTACACTTAATAATTAGACTATTACCTTTCTTAATTTAGATTCTAGCCTATTCATTTGATTCCACATGATTTAACAATTTAAGAACTTTCCATATAATTAAATGAAAAAATTGATTTAAAAGTGCTGAAAGAAAATTAAATTAATGACATTACTGTCGATAAAGCTATATAATAACTTAATTTAAAGAAGCAATCTTAAAAACCTTTGTTAAATTATTTTTAAAGATATATTGGAGATACAAATAAGATACTGGAATAAATCAATAAATATTTGAATGTTGTTAAGGCAGATTAAGTTTATAAAACATTATTTATGGAATTAGATTTCTTATCTGAAATAGATGGTTTTGCATAATTTATCCTTTAAACTGATGGATTTTTATAATTGTTACTTGTTATGGCATTCTTAAATAATAAAAAAGAAGGTAAAGAAGCTTACAATAAAATTGTTTAATTAATGTATTCATCTATTACAATCTTGTTAGATTAAAATCACAATTTGAAAAATAAAGCTTTAATGAAATCAAAAATTTAAATTAGAATAATTAATAGAATAGATTCTTACTTAAATTTATTGAATCAAAAGATTAAAACTTAAGAAACTTTAAAGGGAAAGCTTAAAGGTATTGGATATGGTGATATAAATTATAGGATTTCAGATTTAATTTTCAATCCAGATTAATAATTGGAAGGTGAAAAGAGATATATTGATATTCAACAAAGTTAGAAAGATATCAATTTAGAGACTTTACTGAAATGTTTACGAATATTGATTGATTAAAATTATAAGGATCCTATGGTTATTTAATGCTTTCAGCTAACAAATATTTTAACTTTTTTAATTAAGTACTTTTAGAATATAAATATAACTTAAATTGAAAATTCTTAGGTTTTTGGTGAAGTCTTAAAAATAATAGAAATTTTGGCAAAATTTTCAGTTACTTTAGAACTATTCATAATTAATGATCAAGAGAGCCTATTTAATTATTTAGAAAGAATTAATTAATAGGCAATAATTTATATAAAACAATTTAATTCTAAAATAGAGGAAGTAGAAAAGTTTAGGCAAACTTATAATTATATTGAGTCATGTTTATATGCAGCTAAAATGATTAGTGTAACATTCGTAAGTTAGGATTAATAATAATTGAAAGACGAATAAATTGGTATGCATTAATTTTATAATCTTATAATGAAAAAATTAGCAGTAGCTAAATGTGAAATTTAGAGTGATCAATAATATTTGAATGTTATGAAAGAATTTTATTAATAGACAAATATTTCAAATTCAGCAAAAATGTAAAGGTTGATATCAGAAATTTTAAATATAGGAGAAAATCTACCAATGGAAGCAACAAATTCTATATTTTTGAGATATGATCAAGATAGAATGGATTGTATGAGAACAATTATTTTTGGAGCAAGTGGTACACCATATGCTTATGGAGCATTTTTATTTGAAATTTATTTTGGAGAAGATTATCCACATAAACCTCCAAAAATGAAATTATCTACAACTGGACATGGAAAGGTGAGATTTAATCCAAATTTGTATAATTGTGGAAAAGTGTGTTTGAGTTTATTAGGAACATGGTATGATAATTGGGTTCCAAATTTTTCAACTATTTTATAAATTTTGATATCTATTTAATCAATGGTGATGTGGGAAAATGTCCTGTTTAATGAACCAGGATGGGAAATGTAAATGGGTACTCCATAAGGAGAAAAGAATAATAGAGGTTATTGTAATTTTATTAAAGTTTAGAATATTAGATATGCAATGATTGAATAATTATAAAAACCTCCTAAAGGATTTGAAGAAGTTATTTAAAAGAGCTTTTATTTGAGGAAGGAGTTAATTAAAAAAGAAATTGAAGATTGGATTGAATAAGCAAATCTACCAGTTGTTTATTAATCAGTTAAAATATAAAATGAATAAATATGCAATTATGATTCAGCACCTGGTTTATATAAATAAGAATTGATTAAAGTATATGATTAATTGAAAGTAGAATTAGAAAAGTTGAAACTAAACATTGGAAGGGATTTTTTAAATATTTCTAATGAAAATAAAAAGGAAATTGTTATAAATAAAAATTACGTTAATTATTAAGAATAATAATTGAGTAATATTTAAATGCCTCAAGGATTAAATTTAAATGATATAGATATAGGATATGAGGATAATTTATAATAAAGATAATTTGATTCAAATGATTAAAACTTATAAAATTTAATGAGTAGATATATTGGAGTAGTAGGTTTAGATGCAGTAAAAAGATAAAGTGAATCTACTGTTTTTATCCATGGTGTTAATGGATTAGGTATTGAAATAGCTAAAAATATTGTTTTGTCTGGTGTTAAAAAACTTATTATATATGATCCTACTCCTGTTTAATTATATGATTTAGGTACTAATTTCTATTTGAATTAAGAAGATATTAATCATAATAGAGATGAAGGAGTAATTAATAAATTAAAATATTTAAATCCATATGTAAGAATTGAGATCTTTTAAAAAAATATTTAAGAACTTAACTTAAATGAAATTTAAGTATTTATTACATAAGATCCAAAAATAGCATCTGAAATATCCAATAAAAATTAAGTGTCTGTAATCTTGGCTTAAACTAGAAATATATTTACAAGAATTGTAACAGATTTTGGTGATGAATTTAATATAATTGATAGAGATGGAGAATAATTATCAGAATTAATTATTAATGATATTCAAAATAATTTAGTTACTTTTTAGAATTAAAATCATAATTTAATGGAAAATGATATTGTTTTAATCAAAGAAGTTAGATAATTTGATGGACAAAATGAATCATATAATTAGAAATTTAAAATATAAAATGTAAAAAGAAATTCATTTGAATTGATAACTGATAAAATATTCTGTCCTTATAAAAGTCATGGAATAGCATATTAATAAAAATAAACAATTAAATTGCCATTCTAAAGAATTGAAAATGTTTTAAATTCATTTTCTAATTTTAGTGAGAATATGGGAATGTTGGATAGAATAGGTGAGATTAAACGTGATCTAATTCATTTTTGTTTAAATAATATAGAATAATTGAATGATGATTGGAATTTAGATAAGATTACTCAATTCATTAATTATATGTTATCCTGTCATATAGATAAAAGACTTAATGAATAATATAATGAAGATGTATTTAATAAATATAAAGAGGAATTAATTCCACTTTTAGTATTATTATCAATTAATACCTTATTTTAACCATTATGTGCATTTATTGGAGGTATGGCAGCTTAAGAGGCTCTGAAAGCAATAAATAAAAAATATATACCTATACATTAAGTTTATGTGTAGTCATTTGATGATGTATTACCTTTTAAATTAAGGGAATTAAACACTTAATAATAAGAATATCAATAATTTTTATAGAAATATGGAATAAATTAGAATGCGAATTCTAGATATAAAGATTTAATAAATACTGTAGGAAGTATAGAAAAATTGTATAAATCAAATGTTTTTGTAATTGGGGCTGGTGCGATAGGTTGTGAATTATTAAAAAATTATGCTCTTTTGGGTATTGGTAAGAATGGTAGTATATATGTAACTGATCCTGATGTGATTGAGAATTCAAATCTTAGTAGATAATTTTTATTTAGAGAAAAACACATTAGAAAACCGAAAAGTTTAACAGCAGCTGCAGTGGTGAAATCAATGAATCCTGATATTAAAATTATAGCTAGATTAGATAAAGTGTGTTAGGAGAGTTAAGAAATATATCATAATGAATTTTATAGATAAATGAATTGTGTGACTAATGCTTTAGATAATGTATAAGCAAGATTATATATTGATTCAAAATGTGTTGAAAATGATATTAATTTAATAGATAGTGGAACATTAGGAACAAAGGGACATGTATAAACAATAATTGCAAAATAAAGTGAAAATTATGCAAGTTAATAAGATCCAGAATAAAATAATGATATTCCATATTGTACTTTAAGAATGTTTCCAGAAACTAATTTACATTGTTTAGAATGGGCAAGAGATAAATTTGAATAGTATTTCTATCGTAAACCAGCAGCTTTAGTATCATTAATGTAAGAAACTACTCCATAATAATAAAATATAGATTTAGCTTTAAGAATACTTAAGAAATATCCAAAATCATTTCATGAATGTCTTTAATTAGGAATATAAAAGTTCTAAAAATTATTTATTTGTGATATATAGACTTTGCTTGATGCTTATCCTTTAGATACAATGACAAAGGAAGGTAAATTATTTTGGTCACCACCAAAGAGAATACCATAGAGTATTGAATTTAATGGATATGTTGCATTTAAATTTGTAGAATATTTTGCTATTCTTACTGCTTAAATTTATGGAATAGAAATACCATAATAATACGATTTAAGTAAATTAGACATATAGTTATAATAATAATAAGTCAAAAAGAAAAAGAATAACTAAATAATAAAAGATTTAGAAATTAAATAAGAATAATAAAATAATTAATAAGAAAATGATGTAAAGAATTATGATACATTAATAAATGAGGCAAGAATTTTATTAGATTAAATTAAACCTTGTTTACCATAACCATAATAATTTGAAAAAGATGATGATTTTAATCATCATGTATCATTTATTACTTAAGCAACAAATGCAAGGGCTCTAAATTATGGTATTCAATAAGTAGATTGGATGTGGACTAAATTAAAAGCAGGCAGAGTATTTATAATATCTATATATTTTAGATCATACCAGCTATGTCAACTACCACTTCTTGTATTGCAGGATTATAAACTCTAGAATTAATTAAAATATTATTGAATATAAATTAACCTAGAAATACCTTTATTAATCTAGCCTTATCATCTTTTACGTAAAGTGAACCAGGAGAAGTTAAAAAGGTAATATCATTTATCATTTATTTTAGAAAATCTTGAAAAATGGAATGCAAATTACAATATGGTCTAAATTTATATTGAAAATTAATAAATATTTAGAACCATTGTCTTCTATTTTAAAATAATTAGAAACTTTATTTAATTCATCAATCATTAGTATTTAAAAAGGAGCTAAAGTTATATATCTTGTTTAGATGTTACCAAAAGATGATAAAGAACTATATGAATTGCTTAACTCTCCAATTTCCTTTTATATTTAATTTATTAATGGTGAATCATAAATAAATGTATAACTTTAAGATTCTACTTGGATTATGATTAATCTTATAATTATTTGAGTATTAATAATTATATTAATATTAATATATATATATATGGGTAATTCAAATTAAAAATTGTAAGAAGAAAAATATGAAAATGTGATGAAAAAATTCAAATTAAAAGAGTCTTTATAACATACTTAACTTGGGATGGTTAGAATCTATAATTTAAAAGATGATAATGTATTATTTTTATGATTGAATAGAATTATTCTATTTTTGAATTTCATAAGACAGCCACAACATCAGAGGAAGCTAAACTTATGCTAACACATTATAAAAATAGAAAATGTTATAACAATGATCATCTTACATNAGACTTTGCTTGATGCTTATCCTTTAGATACAATGACAAAGGAAGGTAAATTATTTTGGTCACCACCAAAGAGAATACCATAGAGTATTGAATTTAATGGATATGTTGCATTTAAATTTGTAGAATATTTTGCTATTCTTACTGCTTAAATTTATGGAATAGAAATACCATAATAATACGATTTAAGTAAATTAGACATATAGTTATAATAATAATAAGTCAAAAAGAAAAAGAATAACTAAATAATAAAAGATTTAGAAATTAAATAAGAATAATAAAATAATTAATAAGAAAATGATGTAAAGAATTATGATACATTAATAAATGAGGCAAGAATTTTATTAGATTAAATTAAACCTTGTTTACCATAACCATAATAATTTGAAAAAGATGATGATTTTAATCATCATGTATCATTTATTACTTAAGCAACAAATGCAAGGGCTCTAAATTATGGTATTCAATAAGTAGATTGGATGTGGACTAAATTAAAAGCAGGCAGAGTATTTATAATATCTATATATTTTAGATCATACCAGCTATGTCAACTACCACTTCTTGTATTGCAGGATTATAAACTCTAGAATTAATTAAAATATTATTGAATATAAATTAACCTAGAAATACCTTTATTAATCTAGCCTTATCATCTTTTACGTAAAGTGAACCAGGAGAAGTTAAAAAGGTAATATCATTTATCATTTATTTTAGAAAATCTTGAAAAATGGAATGCAAATTACAATATGGTCTAAATTTATATTGAAAATTAATAAATATTTAGAACCATTGTCTTCTATTTTAAAATAATTAGAAACTTTATTTAATTCATCAATCATTAGTATTTAAAAAGGAGCTAAAGTTATATATCTTGTTTAGATGTTACCAAAAGATGATAAAGAACTATATGAATTGCTTAACTCTCCAATTTCCTTTTATATTTAATTTATTAATGGTGAATCATAAATAAATGTATAACTTTAAGATTCTACTTGGATTATGATTAATCTTATAATTATTTGAGTATTAATAATTATATTAATATTAATATATATATATATGGGTAATTCAAATTAAAAATTGTAAGAAGAAAAATATGAAAATGTGATGAAAAAATTCAAATTAAAAGAGTCTTTATAACATACTTAACTTGGGATGGTTAGAATCTATAATTTAAAAGATGATAATGTATTATTTTTATGATTGAATAGAATTATTCTATTTTTGAATTTCATAAGACAGCCACAACATCAGAGGAAGCTAAACTTATGCTAACACATTATAAAAATAGAAAATGTTATAACAATGATCATCTTACATAAATCTTTTTTATTTCTGAATAACATAGTCAAATACTCTGTTAGGATCAAACTTAATTTATCATAATAGGTGAGTTTTTTTATAATAACATCTAAAATGAAATGAAAAATTATATATAAAAAAATAATTCATTTCCAGAAGCTAGATTATGGTAAATAACCCTATAAATTGTGAATGCATGTACTTATCTAGAAACAAATGGAAGAAATCATGGAGAAATTAAATCTAAAAACATTTATATACATCCAGATTAAAGTGTTAAATTGATTGTATTTATTCAAATTTATAATATTAGGAATACAATTTTATATATGGTAGTATGAATGGATATTAGAAAGCATTATTATTGAATGATTTCTAATATTTAGCTCCTGAATTATTGAAGGAAGTGAAAGCTAAGAAATCATCACCTAATATTGATTTCATTAAAGGCGATGTTTTTGCTTTAGGATTAACTCTCTTAGAATTAGCAAGTTTAAACTCTTGTGAATAATACTATGATTGGATTAGTAAAGAAGTACATACAGATAAAATTATTAAAGCAAATGATCTATTGTTATAGAAAGGTTACTCTACACTATTTACTAATTTAATTTATTAGATGATATCTGATGTTGATATTAGACCAAGATTTAGTGATTTAAAAGAAGTACTATCTCATTTTGAAAATTAAATTAATAACAATGTTGATTTCTATTCCAAATATTAAATGAGATAGAGTAATTAATTTAATATTTACAACTCTGTCTACACTTAACAATACTAAAGACCTGGATAAATCAATTAAGCATAATCCATATATCTACCTAATGGATCATATTGAATATATATAAAATAAATTAATATATATCTTTAGATAAAGAAAATATTTTTGTCAATCCATTACTTTTTTTTAATCCATTACTTTTTTTAAACAGAATTATATCTTAATAAACTCATGAAAGATTGTGATGAATGTTTTAAGTAATTGGATTAGCATGGCAGATCGATTAAAAAGGAAACCAAAGATATGTTCATTATTTTTACTTAAGCTAAAGTAAAATTTATCATTCATAACCTTTTAGTTACTAGAACGTTCATACAGAAAAGTTTTGGAAGGAAAATATAAAAAAGTTTGAAGAAAATGATTTTTTACTAATAAGGTATGTAAATGTTTTGAGATGATAGAAAATTGTCTGATATGTTAAAATCAAATAATAATTAGAATGTGGTAATAGCATGTTATGATTTGAGAGAGTTTTGTAGATTCCATCCATTTGGAAAGCGTAAATAAATGTTGTAAATATAGAATATTAGAGAAATTGGATGCTAAGTAAGAGATTATGAGTTAGGCTCGAAATGGTGATTAATAGATAAAAGAACATTCTTTATTATCTTTGTAAAAGATAATGCTACATAATTGGTAGATGTGAAATAAGATTTAATTTATTATTTTAGTATTAATTAAATATAAAAATTGTTTAGGTAGTTCAAATAAGAGTTGTTGATGTAGGATGATAAGGAATAATTGAATGTATTAGAAATAAGTTTTATTCATCTATAAAAGTAATGATTGAATATTTATATGAAAATGAAATGGTTGATTAAATAAAATGATGTAAAGAAAATTGATTTTGATAAGTAGGATGTATGTATATATAGAACAGATAAAAAGAGTAGACAAGGAATGTATTATTAGATCAATAAATGTGAAAATGCATTCAATGAATAACGAATTTAATAAAAAAAGAATTGATTAATAAGTGAGGATAGAATGATAATAAAATCTAATTTGGGGATGCTTTAGAATGGGGTTAAGGTTAAGAAGATAAATAAATTTTATAAGAAGATGAAAATAGTAATCAAACTTAATGTTATCGAATGGATATAATATTTAGATGCAACAAAATAATATTCATCTCAAATTAAAGACAATTCAATTGGAGATTAGAAGAATATTAGAAATTGAAAGATTGAATTGAAGAAAGAGGAAATATTAATATGTATTAGAATACAATATTAATGAAAATATTTTTGAAATAGTAGTTCTTATCTTTTAGTGTAGTGAATAAAAAAAGAAGAATGATAAAATAAAGAAGAATAAAACACGATATAAGAATTATATAAATACAATAAAAGTAAAGAATGTAAATTAAATGTAGAGAAGTATGAAACTTCAAATTAATGGAAATAATAGTACATTCACTGATCAAATAGTGGCTGATAATATAATTATAGAGTATTTTCTATATTAATATGATTAGTTAATTAGAAATCAAATAAATGAATCTCAAAACTGAAGTGGAGTCATATCTAAAGTTATTCTTTTAGAGAATAAATCAATAAGTTAAAAGGTTTATTAGATTATAATGAAAATAGAGTTATTTTTAATGAAACAGAGAAGTTAACATATTTAGTAATATAATTAATTACACCATATAAATTAATTAATACACTTGTCATTTTATTAATTATTAATTATACATGCCTTAATTATCCAAGTAAATTCAATATGGACTTGTTGCAGCTTTTGCGTAAGAGTTTTATATCTATAAATAGAGTTGGATTGGGTACACTCAAAGTTGCTTAACGACCTTTTGAAACATGCATTGGATATGTTCTCTCTTTGGGATCTATTGTGTATTTCATTTCTCTATTCAAGTATCTTATTAGGTTGGGATAAATTACCATTTAATTAAACTAATTCCACAGATGCTGAAGGATTAACTAAAGATGAATTATATGAAAGAAGAAGATTATTAAAAGAAGAAAAGAAACGATTAAAATAAATTGAAGCTAAAGAATTGAAATAATAATAATAAAGATCACCATCTTCTGAATCTCCAGATAAAAAATCCCCAGAAAGAGCTTCATCTCCTTCAGAAAGTGAAGGAGAAAAAAAAAAAGTTTAGGAATCCAAAAATAATTCAAAATAATAATAATAATAATCTAATGTTAATACTTAATAAAACAAAAAAAATAATAAGCAACAATAACAATAATAATAATAATAATAATAATAGAACACAAAATAATAGACTAAAGAAAAAGGAAAATAAACATAAGAAAAATAAAAACCCTAACCTGTTGAAGATGATGATGAAGGATGGGAAGAAGTTTATGATCCAAGATAAAATAAAAAAGCTAATTTATAGAAATAATAATAATAATAATAAGCTGAAGCTAAAGCTGCTACTGCTGCCAAAATTGCTGAAGAAGCAAGAATAGCTGCAGAACTTGCTGCTAAAGCTGCTGAAGAAGCTGCATAAGCTGTCAAATAATCAAAAGGGTACTTTATTTATTTATATCTCTTTATAGATCTAAAGGTAAAAATACTAATTCTAAGTAACAAAAATAAGAAGAATAAGATGATGGAGAGTAATTATTATTATTAATTATATTCTTAGTGATGATGGCTGGGTTAAAGTTGATTCACAAAATAAAAAATAAAAGGGAGGAAAAAAAAACAAATGAGCTGTTTTTATAATACATAAATATAAATATAATAATATATATTATATATTCTTCTATTCTTTTATTCTCCCCTTATTCATAATTAATAAAATATAATATTCATATTCATTCTATTATTATTCATCTTCTTTACTACTTATTTAACTCATCTTTATATAAATCATAATTAATATCATCATCTTCAAATTTATACTATTTTGAATATGTTTCATTATCTCTGGATCTAATTAACTTAGTTTTACATGTTAGTCTAGTTGTTACTATTTACAATTTTCTTTTTATTAATTTATTTTCTCAATTAATATAGAAAATATTAATAGAAATAGAAATAAAAATAGAAAAATAATGATAATAATGATAAGCAAGAAATAATATTAAAACATCACTTAATCCTCTCAATTTAAGAGTTTCCTTTCCAAAGTTAAGGATTACAAGCTCCAACATATGCATTAACGATCAAACCATAATTTTCAGTAGGATCATAAATCATATTACTGTGAACTTAGTAAAGAGGCAATTTATTTTTTAAAAAATCCTTCAAATATTTCTAACTTTTTTTATCTTAACATGCATTTCGGAAATCTGAAATAGCAAAAGATAATTGTTTTCCATTTTTTTTCATTAAATCTGCTTAGTTTTTAAGTTATTGAATTCCAATTGGAATTTCTTATTCAGGAAATTGTTTGATATGTTTAATCAAATAATTTCCTATCTGTTTAGGGAAGTTTTTACCCTTTTTTTTTTTAAAAATCTAATTTTCAATAGGTACTTCTATATTTTGAATCTCTCCTACAATGAACTATTCCTCATCTTAAGAATTTGCCTTCTCATTTTATTCTATCTAACCCTATACCTTAGTTTCAGCAAGATTTTGATGAGTGTTGAAATATTAATCGATATCTATTTTGGAATCATAACTAAGAAAACTTCCCTGACAATAGAAATAGGGATTATCCTCTTCAAAATCTCCATCGTTTTGGTATGAATTCATTTTTATTAGTTAAAGTTTTCCAAAAGGGTTCTTCATTATAATTAATATTGTAAATTTTAATGAAATAATAATTTATATGATTTCATTACAGATAGAAAAATAATATACTTATTAGCATTAAAATTTTAAATATATTAGAATAATATTTTCATAAATCATCATTATTATTAATTAATATACTTCAAATATCAAAGGGCATCGTATTATGTTATGAATATTATCTAAGTAATCTAAGAAGAACTATTAAGTTTAGAGCAATTAAAAAAGATGTGTATAATTTATAAAATAGTATATTTATATAGGATTTAAGAATTGTTGTTAAAAGGAAATTTAAATCAATCACCCTTATAAATACTATAGTAGCACCTCTAATTTAATTGGCATCATGATGTAGGTTCCTAACATATCCATTTCCCCATTTGAATTATATATCAATACAATAATTTTGAAGTTATTGTTAACACCAAGAATTTTTGTGATTAAACTATAAATAGTTGTAAATATAATTACTCTCTATAGTTGAAATTTGGTTTATGGCAATTGATAATTATGTATTTATACAATTAACATGAATTGTTCAAACATTTTTTTTCCCTAAGAGTTAAATTAATGTATTTGAATGAGTCTTATTCATTTATAAATGAAATATTATCTTAAGCATGTTGCTTAAGTACTATTTCAAAATCTTAATTTGAATTAATAATTAATTTTTGATTACATTGACAAGATCCATTTTATTATTGAATGTTTTTCAATCTTCCCAATTCTTGAAGTTTCATCATACCAACTAATTTTGTTGATTTTTTGTTATTATTGACATTAATTGGTTTTGCAATTTTTTGAATTTATTACCTATTAATAAGTAATGATCTAAGTCCTTTATTAAATCTCTATAAATATTAAATTTGATCATCATCTCTTATATATCTCTCTAAAATTTCATCTTCATCTACATCTAAATCCATTTCATCTTAATGTACTTCTTCATCAATTATGAATTATGTATTGAATTCATCCAAAGCTAAATTTCTGATTGAAAAAGATATACTCGTTCCACAATCTTATAAAGATTTAATTCTCAAACCTTTATTAGCAACTTATCCTGTTATTTTCTTACAATAAAATAAAGGACCCAATAATTTACTTAAATAATTAACTATTTATAAAGATCGAATTTAATTCTTATTAAATTTTTCTTCAATAATTTCCTAATTAATTCCTTTACCAGTATCTTCAATAGATATTTAGATAGAGTTTTATCTCTTATCATCTTCAATAATTATTTTTATAAATCCTTCTTTTGTATTATTTATGCTATTGCTTATAAGAATTTGAAGCATTTACATTAATCTTAATTGATCTGTTTTGAATTCTCCATTATTCACATTCAAATTATTTTTGAATAATAATTTAATATTAGGATTAATTTAATTCTAAAACTTAGTTTCTAATTAATTAATTAAATTATCAACATTTAATTAGTCCTCTTCTAAATATTGAGTTTTTGAATACTTGAGAGTATTTTTTATTTCAATATTTAGTAATTTGAGAGGAATCTATAAATTTTATTAAGTAAATAACAATTATCTAAATTCTTAACATATATTTGGAAGATCTTCTTCTTCTTGATATTTCTAGTTTAAATTTATATCTTAATATATTTAAGTTACATCTTCTAGAATTAAGAATATTTAAAAACTCTCTCCTTTAGATACTTTAAGCAAAGTAAATTAGAAATATTTTGATTAATTTTTAGGTAGATTAAATTTAGATATTCCTTTATATTCTGTCTACTAATCATTAATTAAATTATTAAGTAATTATTCTAATACACCATCTGGATTGTAATGTATTATTCTTTAATTCTCTTGAGGCTATCTTAAAATTCTTAATTATTATAGAGCTGGTCCATTCAATAGAGAATGTAACAGTTCTCCTTTTTCATTAGTTCCACAAGTTGATCCAAATTTAGCTAGTCTTTTTAATTATACCAAATTATCCTTTAATTATGGATTAGTTGAAAATAGTTAAATTACTTCCATTTTTCTTAATTTTATTTCAGCAGAAACTAAATCTACTTTATTAGAATCATCTTCCATTTATAATTATTTTAATCCTACTCCTGAAATATGGAGTAATTCTTTTGTTTAATCAAAAATAATTATTGGAAATTAATTAGTAATAATTTCTAGAATCTATTATTGAGTCTACATTTAAACTTATGGGATCATAAATTAAATCTCTTCTTTATTGTTTCTAAATTACATATTATTTTCAAATTAATATTAAGAGTAGTTTTTTAATTCAGCATCTATAATGTAAATAATCTCCAAACATATATACGCTATTACTTTTACTATTTCCTATTATAGAGTCAATAATTACTTTCATGAATAATTCACTCTCTACTCTGAATACATAATAGATATATAGAAATATAACTATCCCTATTCTTAGCTTCCAATCATAAATAAATAATTAGATTATCTAATTAATTTATATAATAATTACCTTTTACCAAATTATTAATCCAAAAATTGCCCAAAAATAAGATTAGGAAAATTAGTTGAAATTTGAAATTCTTTCCTTTTTTAAAAATAAATAATTTATAAATACAATAATTAGTGTTCCTTCAGCAATGCTTAAACACATGAATATGTAGGATGTTATTTTACCAAACAATAAAGGGTTCTCTATTTTTTTAGGAATAACTTCACAAGCTTTGAGAATCATATACATTATCAAAGTCTATGCTGTTTGTAACAATAGAAATTAAATCAAAGCAGGTATTAGGGGTCCTTTAATATTTTATAATATTAAACAAATACCTTCTTGTATATTTTTAAAAAATAATAAAGTTAGTTAAAATGTACCAATAGCAAGACCTACAGGTAGTATTAATATTAGAGGAATAGTTTAACCACATGCTCCTTTAACATTACAATAGTCTTAATATTCTCTAGAAGATAGTAATGATATTTACTAGTTTGTTAGTCCTTTGACGAGAATATGATACTCATGGATTAACGATTATAGAACAGTACGAGTTATTTATTATTGTTGAGGAAGGAAAGGTTTGTTTTCATTTTTAAGAAATTCTTATTATTCTTACATTATTAATTAAATTATATATAATAAGATTAACAAATATTTATTTAAATAATTTCAATTTTAATCAATAATGCTTACCAAAAGTTTTTTAAAATGTAAAGATAATTGATTGCCATTTTCAGGAGATAAATCTTTTCTTTAAGATTCTTTAACATAAATCTTTTCACTTTTTTTAAAAGGTTCTCTCTAACCAGCAATGTATTTTTATATATTTTATTCAACTGAATCAAGTGAGAAGAATTAAGCTTATCTATGATTCACCTTTTATTAAAGTGATAATTTATAGATAGGATTTTCATGTATCTTATGATCAAATATATATTTATCTTTATTTTTATCATATTTAGACATAATATCAAGAGCCCTTCTAGGTAATGATGTTTTTTTTAAATGTTCTTTTTATGTTTAATCAATATAATGATATTCAATAAAATATTCTGTATATTCATGTCCTAATAGAATTTCATTAATTAAAGGAATTACTTCACAAGTATTATATTTTAAAGTTGAATTAGAATCAAATAATAAACCTGTTTTTATATTAATAAATGGGATATGTATATATCTGGCAATTTTATCATCAAATTCTTTACAAAATGGTTATGATCTTTCATATAATTATATAAATTCTCTAGATGTTATTCTATAATAAGAATCTTTTGGTTCAATTTCACATTTCACCCATTTATTATGAAAATGATTTGCTTTACTAATATCACCTTAATAAAAATAACAAAGTCCTAATTTATCATAACAATCTATTTCATAATCATCTAAATTCTCAGCCCATGCATAACTTAATGCCTTTAAGATAAATTTATGAGCTTTATCATATTATTTTAATCTATAAAAATATCTATTGTATAATTTTACTATTTAGCAATTGAAAATAATTAAATTAAGATTTTAATTTTAAGTTAATGATTTCTACATAACTCTGATAATTTTAAGCAATCTTTAAATAAAAATGTAGCTTTATTTAATTGTAATATAGTGTTGCCATAATAGGCAATAAAGTATAATAAATCACAGAATGTACCTAAAAGCTTTAAATAAAGATTAAATATTACATTTTATTCTTAGGAATATTGGAATGGATAATTTAAAAAGCTAATTAATTTTTCAAAGTCTTTCTTTTTAATGATATCACAAAATATAGCTGAATTGTCATCTAGGTACTTTTATAGGTTCTAATTTCTCCTTTATCTAATTGACTCCAACTTAGAGGGGTATTTAAACTTCCTAACATGTCTCAATTACCTTTGTAGTTTGATAAGAATGTACTGAGGGACTACCTTCAACGGATTTTTCAATAGAATCTTTCATTCTTTCTTTCTAATGTCGAATTGAATAAGTTTAGTGATTCAAGGCTTTATAATAGAAATCCCCAGAGTTGTTAGTTAATTCAATTCTTGATGTAATAAAACCATTTGCCTCATTATTTAATGATAATATTCTAGAGCGTGGAATCATTTTGGATTGATTTAGAGACTCTGTGATTGATAATCTAGGAAGAATTTTTTTGAATTTATTTGAATCTTTGCCTGAATTTAGTATAATATTAACTAAATTTGACATCTTTGAACCAAATTTTGATTGGAACTTATCTGAAACAATATCCTCATTCATTTTTGATATTATAAATGTTAAAAATATTAATAAATTTTGAAGTATTTAATAAAATAACAATTGTTCTATTAGATTGATAATTATTTATCTATTAGAAAATTATAAATCCATACAATTCTATAAAATAAAGAAATGTATTATTATATTAAATATAATTGATATGATCAATGCTGATATAATATTGTCCATTTAATTGAAAAAAAGATGAATTTTGTAATTAATAATTGTTCTAATAATCCATTTTTCTATTAATGCAAAGTTATGATCCTATAGATGACTTAAAACCACCTATTTTGTAAAATTTTTAGAGTATGTATTCTAATTTGAGTGATTGTGATCGTTATAAACATTCTCCTTTAAGACATTCTCCAGTACTCTAAAAATGGTAAAAGAATATTTTTATTTTAGGAATTCATTCATAGATCCAGAAGCAGTTCATGAAAAATCACCTATAGTTTAAGTAGAAACAAATAATATTCATGAAGAAATTTCAATAGTTTAAACAAAATTACAAGAAGAAAAATAACAAAATAAATAAGATGAATTTTAACCCTGTAGTTGTTTAAAGACACATTGTTTAAAGATGTATTGTTCTTGTTTTCATAATGGGAGAAATTGTGGAAAATCATGTAAATGTGAAGATTGTAACAATACGGAAGAATTTAAAATGTAAAGAAATTAGGCTATGGATTATGTAAAGAAAAAAGCACATAGAAATAAAAAAGTTCCAAAAGAAAAAATATTTGAGACCACTGAAATATGGGGGTGTAATTGTTTTAAAACTAGATGTATTAAAAAATATTGTGAATGTTTCATAAGAAGTAAAAAATGTACAGTTGAATGTAATTGTGATCATTGTGATAATGGAAAAGATGAAGATCTATTCAATGAAATTAAAAAATAAAATGAAAAACCTAAAATACAAAAAAGAATAAGAAAAGAAAGATAAACTATATAATAATGAATTTGTTTATGTACTCTAATATATTCAATATATACTATCATATTATAAAAATCAAAAAAAAAATGAATTGTTATAGAATCATCAATTAATTTTTTCAACATTAGATTTATTTTAGTTTTAAAACTTCTTTTTCTTTTAATACTTTTTCAAAATCTTATTACATTCTACTTAAAACAACACTAAACATTTTAGCTTTTTAAGCCATTTCTATTTTATCTTTTTCTTCTTTTGTATTCTATTATCTTAAAATAGGTGGCATTGTTTATGCTAATTTCTTTTCACCTATTGTTAATATTTTATCTCTTACTAAAATAATAATATTATAATAGATATACTATCAATATCTCTTTATTTTGCTATTATTGCCCTTGTTCTACTATTCTATGGATTCTAAATCATTATATCTAAATATGGTGATACTCCAAATATTCTTTTATGCATAAATTTTGCATCATTACCTATCTTTTTTTATTTGCTACTCTCTAAAAATATAAATCTACAAAATAAATTATTCTAATCAAATAATCTATCAGCAAAATAAAATATTTTATCCATTGCAATATTACCAGGTGTATTTATTTCTGTTCTTGGTTTCTCAAAAAATATTATATAATGGTTTTTGTACAAATATTCAGTTGCCATTTTTAATGATACCAATATCATTGGCATTACTAAATGCATCCATAATTTAGGAGAATAAAAGGATTAAAAGGATTCAATTATTTCCATCATCTATATATACATTTACTTTTTTGTTAATGTTTATATTTATATCGGTAATGTTACACCAAACACCAACCAATATGATAAATGGATAAAAAGTCCAATTAATTTTACCATTTCACTTTTCTGTATTAATTAAAATACATTTTCAATTTATTATTTCTCAAATACTATATATCGTGTTTCTACATCATCATTCCCTTTTTCTTTATTTAATTATTATAATTATTATTTCTCTTAACTTTTTGAATTAGCTTTAATAGGGAAAATACTCTTTGGAAATAATTTATCTATTTATTTTAAAACCTTTTCAATATCTTCTGGTTTCATATTTGGTGGTCTCTAAACATCTTTTAATAATGGTGCTGGAATTTCAATATGAATAAAAGGTAATTAAAATATCTTACTTTCAAATACTAAAAATTTATCATGTTCTGAATGTGTCTCATCATTTTATTAAAATTCTAATCTATCCTAATTTACCATATTTTAATTTTGCTTTCTTTAAAATGTTTAATTAAAAGGAAATAAATATTTATGTTTAATCTGCTCTATATTAAAATCCAATTTAAATTTGATTTTCTTCTCTTCCTCTTTTTCTAACAATTCCTTTTATTATTCAACTTCATTTTTTTATTATAATGCTAATTATTATTATGTTAATTATTAATCTTATTCTTATTCATTCTTCTTTATAGTTATTTTTTTAAGATCCTACTCTTTCTACACTTCATCTAACACATCCTTATCCTTTTATCCTTAAGGTATTTCAATGTTCTTTTTCTTTTATCTTACAACTATATTAATTGTATCAGCATATAATCCAGATGCTACAATTATATTAAAATCTTACTATTCCATCCACCTGTTATTTCACATCTATTTAATGGATAGTTCTTTAAAATCATCTATATATTCTTTTAATTAGCTTCTATTCCTAAACTCTCTAAATATTTTGTTGCATATTCTTATTCAATTATTTTTGTAAAATTTGCATTCTTTCCAATCACTACTTCCTATTTATTAATCATCTATATCAATGTACATGTTATGTGTTTTTTAATTTTATTTAAAATATTCTTTCCTCAATACGTTACTTTACATTTTCTCTTTCTTATTTATTCATTTTAATTAATAATATATTACAACTAAATTTATAGTTAATACTTTTTTTATAAAATTCAAAAATCCTCTCCGAACATCTCATATGTAAAATCCATAATCTTATCAAATTTATTTATGTTAATAGGCATCTCTGCATAACGCAATTTTATTGGAACATTATCCAAATATTTAAATTCACGACATGTCTTTTTTATTTACTTTATTAATTTACTCCTATATTAAATCTTATTAGAAGCCTTATTTCCATTGAAATTTAAATATACTAATGATGGTGGAAATTCTAAGTCCTCAAAATATTCAATTTGATTATGTTGTAAATTTAAATATTCTATTGAATTTGGTAAATTTTCAAGTGAAGATATATTATTATATGATAGATCCAATACTTTTAGGTTTGGAAAATCTAAAACATTTGGTATATTGTCTAAATTGCATTTTATTGCTGTAATATTTATAACTTCCTCTTTGTTCTCTATTGAACTCAAAATTTTATCAACATTTGACTTAATAATGGTTAATTTCATAAATAATATTATATTAATAATTAATTATTATAAATACCATTTCAAGTGTCTTCATTTGAATCTTCTTAGTTCATTTTTTAGTAAATTTAGAAAAATAATTTATCATCTGCATTTTTTTCCTGCTTTAAAGAGTTTTATTTTTCAATTACTAATTTAGGGACAGGCATTTCATTATCTGTTTAAAACTATTTTTTTGTTTTTTGATTAATTTTTTATATAATTTGTTTTTTCTTTGATTTTGGTTCACTTTACTTAGATTGTTATTGTTATTTTTCTAATTATTTATTTTCCTCAATTTCAATAATATCATTCTCTTCAGAATTATTTGAATTTTATGATTATCTCTCTTATCCTCCTACTTCTTATGGTTATTCTGTTGATTATTAATCTTCTCCGTTTTTTTTTAAAAATTAGTATCCAACTACTCCTGCAAATACTAATCCAATAGGTATTGATATCCTCTTATCCATACTTTATGTATAGTCATTTATTGTTTTAAGAATTTTCGAAATTTACAAATTTTGTACTAAACTTCTCATTTATAATAGCCAGAACTTATATTTAATATATATATAATAAATATAATCTTAACTTATAACAATTTTATATGATTTTTATTAATTATAAATTTAACAAATATTGAAAATTCATTCAGTACAATTATCAGCGATTAAATGTTAACTATTTCTCTTACTAGATGGGGATATAATAACCTTCTATTATTCAGAATTTAAATCCATTTGAAATGTATAACAATTTTAAGGAGGTGGAGGCTATTATGCATGTAATGATTATTAATTCGAAACATTATCTAGATCTTGATCTAAAGATTTATTATCAATTTCTATTTCTTTTTTTATTTCTTCTTTATTCTCTTTTATAATTTATTCATCAATTTCTACGGACATTGATTGATTTACTATTTAACCTAATTGAGAAACATTGCTATTTTTTGGGCAATGATGTTTATTTTTGTGAAAATTATCATTTTAATCTTCATCAGAACTTTCATTCATTTGAGGTTCAGAATCTTCAACAATTACTTAATTATAAATTTATTTATCCTTTATTTCATCTAAATCTTTTGCTTAAGATTATTAGTTTTATTATTGTATACGATATTTTTTATCTTAATCATTTCCTGGAGTTGTTGGTTTTGACGTAAATAAACTAGGAATCTATGTGAATTAAGGTTAAGATGGAGATGATTATGGATTCTTTTTATCATCTTCCTATTTATTTGAAAAATAGTTCTATTTGTTTGATTTAGAATCTGCAGTTTTTAAAGATAATTATGATTTTAAATCAAATCTTTTTGAAGTTGATAATAGTTATCCATATCCAGTTCCACTTTCATTTTGATTTGATTTTTATTATGGATGTTATAATTATGCAATTTATTATTTTTTATCTTATTTTGATTTTATATGTTCATACGTTGTTATGTGTTTATAACTAAAAATATAAAATATAAGATAAACTTGAAATATAAATGCATAGACAATAAGTATATTAAGACTACTAAAACAGGAGGATCAATTGCTATACAAATATAAACTAGTATTTATAAATCATATTCTTAGAATAATAAATTAATATCCAAAGCTAATTTAAATATTTTGAATGTCACTAAGGATATAACTAAAATAAAGAAGTATGAATAGTTCTAATCTCCAACACAGTTATTAAGCCAAATACAATGATGGTCAAAAAGTGATACACACCTATTAGAAATTTTAATTTACTTATTACAACTCCAACAATGTTTAGTTTTATCTTAGACATGTGCTTAACAAACAAGACAATATGATTTAATATCTGTTTTAAATTCTTTACTTAAGCATTATAAATATTTTTACCCTTATTATTTATATACTTATTCTTATTTGACAATAGGGTCTATTGGATCAATGAGTGTAGCTTTAAGACAACTAAAAATTATAGTAGTAACAATAATAGTTAATATAATGAGCAAAAGTTCCTAAATAATAAAATAAAAAAATTACATGAATTCCAGGTTATTCATAAGAAAATGAAAACATGTAAGCAATAATAATATCAATCAGAGTATAAATCCAACTTACAGCTTGGTATGGATTAAGACCATTAATTAAGCCGTTTCTTCGAACAGATCTTTCTCTTCCTTTTTATATATCAACGTTCATTAATAATATATATATATTATTGTTGTTATATTGTATTTATGATGGATAATTCATGGAGCAGGTAAATCTTTTAAGGGTAATTCTCCTACAGTTAAAGTCTTTTAATATTCTTCTTCTTCGTTTCTAAAATAAAAAAATGGGAACAAATAAATACCTCTTTAATCCAAAATATTATTTTGAAATCAATTAAGTATGATTTGTAAGGAATGATGTTTTTAGTTTAGGATTCCAGAAAGCATCTTCTTTGTATAAATACATCAAATCTTGTTTATTTAAACATGATAACTCATACATTCCAAGATCCTAATAAAAATAATAATAATATATAGATACATTTTATCTCATATTTTAAACACCAGATTTAGTATAATATGGTAAGACTTCGAGATGATGAGTTTCAAATACATCTTCTCTAACTACACCAAATGATCCCATTCTAGTAACAAATATTAATTCCTTATCTTTATTATATTGAACTCTTGTAACATAGTTTTTTCCAATATCATTCATAGACATATGATGGAAATACCATAAATATGCAGATGCAGCTGTAGCAGCTAAAACATTGATTCTCATATAATCCATATTATATATAGATTATAAATGATAAGGATAGAATGAAGCATCAATTTAATGATCAAACATTAGATTTGTTTTATATACAATGTTATATGGTAACACCCAACATATCCAAGCAAAACTGAATGTTCCAGTCCACCATACAAACTTTAACCATTCTTATAATCTTGTATTTTCATAGATAACTTCTCCTTCTTCAAAATTTAAAGTAGGATCAGGATCACCTGATGGATGTTATACAAATGGTTAATCATTATAACTTGGATGATACATATCACTTTCTAATCTAAATAATCTTTAGAAAGGATTTGCCAAGAATTCTGGATGTCCTAATCTATCAGCTAAATATGGGAATCTTAAATGATAAGGTGTTTCAACATCATATTTCGATCCTTTATCTGGATGGAATTTTTTAGTCACAGGTCTAGATTCTAATTCTTTTTCATGTCTTTTTTCACTTTCAGTTCTTTCTACTGGAGCTATTGTTTAAGCTATCCATCTTTTCTCATTTCTAAACACATTTTCATATTCTAATTCTTCATTCTCTAGATTTCCTGTTTAAGCATATGGAATATCTATTGGAAAGTAATCTCTAAGACCACCAGTTATATTTCTAGTCACTCCAGCCTTTCCTTTTAAATATGGTCTATCCAAATTCTTTATTGCTTCATCCACTTATTTTTACATGGCAACATCTCTTTTAACTCCATCCACCAGCATATTGTGAGTATCAATTGTTAATCTTTGTTTGTAATCTTGTCTTTATGCTGGAATATAATCTGGATGGGCAGGATCATAGTGAGTTATGTGATATGGATACACTTTATATTCCAATTTGTTAGCCAATCTCTCTAAATGCTCTTACATCACATTTTTGCGTTCTATTTCATAATAAATTTTTACCTTTTCTTCTTTATATGGCATTCTTAATGACTTGACTAGCACTATATTTAGGAATATAGGATCTACAATATAAGAACATCCTAATTTAATTTATTTTTATATCTAAAATTTACAGGAGAAATTAAAGCAATAATTTATATTTAAATGAATAGTAATAATCACAATGAATAACTTTGCCAATATGAGCAATAAAAACCAAGATATCAACATTTCTATTTGGAACTTTATAAGAGCAAGATCTTATAAATTCATGGGCCAAAATTATAATAAAGTGATACCCTAAAATGTTAATAAAATAATGGTGAATAATTAAGTAGTGCTGATGATCCAATTTATTTGGATATATAAGATGAGAAGGAATAAGAAATATAATTTGAATTGCTTCCAAGGTAACAATAAAGTTAAGAGAAAAACAAAGCATTCTAAAATTTTTTAAAGAAATATAGTATAATAAAAAGATTTGGAATAAGAAGATTAAGATAGAATGAATCATCAGATGAATTGGAATCATAAGAAAAGAGCGATGAAATATCATAAAATTAAAAAGAGTATAAGGAATGTTAAATATGTTTGTCATAAAGAAAAATGAATTAATATTTACCCTGTAAACATGAATTTTGTAAATCTTGTGTAGGAACTCATTTAAAGGAGAATATAATAAGAGGGAATGTGATGATAATATAGTGTCCTTAATTATCATGTAGTGAACAATTTTAAAAGCATTAGATAAAAGAATTAGTATCTCGTAGTTTATATGAGAAATACGAAAGATTTTATAGTCGTCAATAAATAAGTTAGAATAAAAATGTAAGATGGTGTCCTAGAGTGGTAAGATATATAAATATGATATGAGGATTGTGAATAGTATGTGATAGGTACAGGTAATGATTAATTGATATGTTCTTGTGGATAATAAATATGTTTTAAATGTGGAAATGAATACCATTTGAATATATCATGTGAATAAGCAATGGATACACAGTATCTTAAAGTAAGAAAAGAATTATAAGTGAATAATTGTCCAAATTGTTAAGCTCCAATAGAGAAGAGAGGTGGTTGTAATCATATGACATGTTATAAATGTAAATATGAATTTTGTTGGATATGTCATGGTAAATATTCATCAGCTCATTATGGTATATTTAATATCTTTGGATGTGCTAGTATATTTATAATATTTATTATTATTATTAGTTCCAGGAGGATAGGTATCTAATATTAAACCATTAAATAATCCTATGTTAATTAGAATTATGATGATAATTCCTAAACTTATCCTTACCTTATTATTATCTATTGGATTACTTATATTGCTTCCCTTTTTTATACTATACCTAATAATATCCGCTCCATATCAAATAGTCAAAAGAATATCCAATTTTAGAATAAATAATTGTTCAAAATGTTCTTAGATTGCATACTTCATATTATACTTATTTATCGGAAGTATTTTATCTCCAATCACTATCATTTGTGCAATACTAATAAGTCCTTTACTTTTGATTAATTATATTATTGATAATTTATGATTATATAATTAATTCTATCTATATTTTATATCCTTTTTTTAATATAATATACTTATCAATAAACTAAATCTTTTAAATCATTTTCCTTATTTCTTTAATCAAATGATTATATATCTACTTCTACTGGTTCTCCCATCGTTGTTTTTATTCTTGCTTATCCTATTAATTATCCTTTTAAAGATGTAGGTCTCTTTTAATTCAATGCTATTGAAAATGCTTTGATGTTCATTAATATCACTTTATCTTCAAATGATTTCTTTCCAACAGGTACCATTAAATTTGAACCTGAATCCACTCTAAATTCTATAGAACCTGCTTTTGCTCCTTTTATTGCTTAAGTTAGTTCTTAAGGTAAAACTAATGTTCCAGCCTTTGGATTTGGCATCAAACCCTTTGTACCTAATAATCTTGCATAAGGTTTTAAATGAACTAACATTTCTTATGTTGTTATTAATTTCTCAAATTTATATGTTCCATCTTTAATTGATTTCAAAATCTCTTCTTAACCAACAAAATCTGCTCCTGCCTATTATTATTTTATTATATCAAATTACTCTTAATGCAACTTCATTTAATTCATTACTAGTCAAAACTGCTATTGATACATTCTTTCCTAATCCACCTGGTAACATACATGTTCCTCTTACATTTTAATCACCATGTTTTGGATCAACATTCAACCTTAATTAAAAATCTATTGTCTCATCAAATTTTGCTTTTGCTCTCTCCTTTATTAATTTTACTGCATCTCCTATTCTTATTTTTGGAGTCTCTGTTACTTTCACTTTTGCAAAATTTACTAATACTCTTCCTCTCAATAACATTTTTATTTAATAATCAATATTAATTATATTATAATTTAATAATATCACATACTCACAAAATAGATATTAATTATTCAAGAAGTCTAACAAAAGAAATCAACAACATTAAATCTTAATTACTAATCATCCTATTAATATCATTCCTCCTTTATTATATCATTATTATACAAAAACCAGTCTTTATCTAGTGAATATAGAAGAAACTATCATAAACATATACTAATAGTTAGTACAGATGTAATTGAGATCAATTGTATTTAAAGTTTAATCATATTCTAAAGTATTATTTAACCTCATTTACCTGATCTAATAAACAAAATAGGCAATTATTGTAAAAAATTATCAATCAAATGTCAAACTTATTTATAAGTAATGGATCATTCCAAAATATAAACATAATTTTATTAAAATGAAATAAAATTATTTCTTATACCTTTATCAGGCTTTTATCAAAGCTTTCTAATATAGAATTATTATTTTACAATACAAATTTAGCATAGATTAAATTAATCAAACACTTAAATTCTATTGTAATAAAAGAATTTTATTCTCAAAATAAAAGACTTGAATTCATTAAAAAAATAACAAAATTTATTAAGTCTATTTTATAGAGAAACAAATATAATCATTATTTAGAATTATAATAATAATACCATTAGGCGAAATCCTATCAGTTAATTTTAAATTTTACATTTTCTGATTTGATATTTGATTAAATTATTTTATGGTTTCTAGTTATTTTTGTGATTTTAGGGTTAATTTGGACTCTTGTACAAATTAGCTTTATTAGCTTTGGTTTTGTTCATTAGAATATTAATTTTTAAAATCATTAAAAAAAATATTTTACAGCAATAGATTTTTAAGTTGCTTATAATGTAACTATGTTTTATTTGAAAGAGTAGTCTCAATTTTATAAATAATATAAAAATTCTAATCAATTTGAAATCATATATCATGTAAAAATATTCTAACACATTTTCATTATTTAAACAATTTGATATATAAAGATTTTGAATCTCATTAAAAAATAAATTTGTTTCAGTTGAAATAAAATGTAAACATTATTAATTAATTTTAAAAAAAATTATATTTCGTTTAATATGAATTATAAATATTAAGAATCTCAATAAAAAATAATTGTATTTCATTTTATAAAAAATAACAACATTATCAATTTGAATTTTATTGAAAAAGAACATTACTACCTTTGATATAAATATTAATTTTTATCAAATGAATTAATAATATGTTAAAATAAAATTCATAAAAATTATATTTTTTATCAAATGAAATAAAATGATTTTTAAATAAAATTAATAATGTTTATTATTTTTATAAAATGAAGTAATGTTCTTTTTAAATAAAATTCAATATACTTATATTTTTTATCAAACGAAATAAAATTATTTTTTAATAAAATATATAAACTTTATATTGTTTATCAATTGAAGTAATGTTCTTTTTAAATAATATTCATAATGTTTATATTTTTTATCAAACGAAATAAAATTATTTTTAAATAAAATTCATAATGTTTATATTTTTTAGTTTAGATTTTCAAGCTAAAATGTTTTTATTTTAACATTAATTTATATTTGAGGATATTAAACAATGAAAGATATCCTTAAGGCAATTTAAATTTCCAACAAAAAATCATAATTAATAATAATATTATCAATAAAAGTAACTTCGATTGATTTTTTAAATAATGATGAAATATAATAACAGACTTCAGATATCAAGCAAAGTAAAATTAAACTTAAAGCATATGAGATAATTAATAAATATTAATAATCTATCTTAGGCAATCTCTTTAAATAAATTAGGCTTTATCATAAAACCGGCATTAATTTTAATATTTAAGTTAATATTTTTGATAATAAACTTTATTCTAGCAATATTAATCAAAGAGAAGCAATAGTTAACAGTTTTTTATAGGAAATATTCTCGTTAAAAAAATCTTTTTTTTTAAATTAAAATCTCAAAATGTATGAGGTCCTCTTAAGGCAGTTGCCCAAACCGTCCTGAAACAGAAAATTACTGTAAAGCTGTGAAGTAGGCCTCCTGATCAATACCCTGCTGTCGGGATGGTATAATTTAAAATGATAGTGTGGAATACTCTTAATATGAATCCATAGATTAACTTAAAGGAACTATTTTGATCTTCTTGGAGGTTAATAATAAGTTCATTCCCAAATATTCTCAAAACAATATTAACTATCTTAAATATCGTTCCCTAGAACCTATATGGTTCTTTAAACCCAGAAATGATAAATTTCTAAAAATTAAAATTCTCCAAAATCTCAGAGCTCAAAGAAGAGAAGTTCTAGANGTTTAATATGAATTATAAATATTAAGAATCTCAATAAAAAATAATTGTATTTCATTTTATAAAAAATAACAACATTATCAATTTGAATTTTATTGAAAAAGAACATTACTACCTTTGATATTATATGATTAAAATCTTAAATAAATAATTTAGACTAAATTAAAATTAATAAAATGAATTAGATTTATAGTCATCATTTGATTACAGATCTCTCTTTCAGAGTTATTTAGTTTATCTGTTAATAACTTATCAAACATTACCTCAATCAATTAAAATCTTGTAATGATGTACCTAGAATTTTATGAATCCCGAAAAAGTTTAATTTTTCAATATCTTCTGTTAAATCTTCTATTAAAAATTTTTCTAAGACATAAGTAGAGTTTATAAGAAAGTATCAAATTTCGTTCTAATGATAGTTTAAACTGTATCAAGAATTCATCTCTTTTCAAATTAAGTTTCCTCTTCTCCATTTATTTTTTATTATCTGAAACAATTAACCTTAAAATTAATGTCATAATAGATTTATCTAGGGATAACATTTTGGAGTAGTTTATAGATTGATAAATCTATTTGATCTTCTTTGTTATTATTGAGAAATTTCATCAATTATATCAATTATGATACTTTCAATATAATTTTTTAGTACTTACATAGTTTAGATTTTCAAGCTAAAATGTTTTTATTTTAACATTAATTTATATTTGAGGATATTAAACAATGAAAGATATCCTTAAGGCAATTTAAATTTCCAACAAAAAATCATAATTAATAATAATATTATCAATAAAAGTAACTTCGATTGATTTTTTAAATAATGATGAAATATAATAACAGACTTCAGATATCAAGCAAAGTAAAATTAAACTTAAAGCATATGAGATAATTAATAAATATTAATAATCTATCTTAGGCAATCTCTTTAAATAAATTAGGCTTTATCATAAAACCGGCATTAATTTTAATATTTAAGTTAATATTTTTGATAATAAACTTTATTCTAGCAATATTAATCAAAGAGAAGCAATAGTTAACAGTTTTTTATAGGAAATATTCTCGTTAAAAAAATCTTTTTTTTTAAATTAAAATCTCAAAATGTATGAGGTCCTCTTAAGGCAGTTGCCCAAACCGTCCTGAAACAGAAAATTACTGTAAAGCTGTGAAGTAGGCCTCCTGATCAATACCCTGCTGTCGGGATGGTATAATTTAAAATGATAGTGTGGAATACTCTTAATATGAATCCATAGATTAACTTAAAGGAACTATTTTGATCTTCTTGGAGGTTAATAATAAGTTCATTCCCAAATATTCTCAAAACAATATTAACTATCTTAAATATCGTTCCCTAGAACCTATATGGTTCTTTAAACCCAGAAATGATAAATTTCTAAAAATTAAAATTCTCCAAAATCTCAGAGCTCAAAGAAGAGAAGTTCTAGAAACAAAGAATTCCATCATTATTCAAATCTTTTTTTTCAAATATATCTCAATTCTGATTGGCTCAATCTATTAAACTGACAATAAAAAAAATTTTAAACAATATTAAAATTGAACTCTGCAAAACAGCTAATATTAGGAAAAGATCTTTGATTAAGAAATATTTTTCTGACAAAATCTATTGCCTACTCTTTGTGATAAAAATTATGCCACATATAATAAAGCTTTGTAATTGGATTGGACTTAACTAACAGTCATTAATAAAATCTGGAAAAATAAAATTTAAGGTTTACTAATTTAGACTTCCTTAAACAAGGGTATCATATTCTATGAAGTTGATTCGAATTATTAAAATAGCTCCCTCTATCCTAACAATCCAAGAATGCAGACCTATATAATTGATGTTTCAT